GGGAACATGCTCGCAGCCACGAGACGCCACAAGGCCAAGATTCGGTTGCAGTTCCTGGGAGTGAGAGTGAAGGACCCCGGCGTGGAAACTCTTGGATCCGCAGGTTCGAACATGTTGGTATCGATCCCTGACCAGATCACCGAGATCCAGAACAATGATCGTTGCCGGCACAGCCAGAGGTACCTGAACGTTTGCAACGGCTGGGTGAAGCCATGGGCAGTTCGGGCTACAAGTGGTCACTCTGCGCACTCAGATCCCCAGAACAATTTGCTTCAGTTGGACAAGAACAGGTTCGCAATATCTCCATCTATGACCCTCTTGCAACGTCTTGGAGGCGCGTTCCACGCTACGGCATGCCGCAACCTTGATTCCATTGTCACGCAAGGCATCATGCCTGGTTCGGAGGACCCCGACGGGGACTTCGACCATAGGCGCCAATTTCGAGGCAACCAAGGCGGCAGACTCCACAGCTATTGGGGGGTGTTTGCACCGTTCGATCACCGGAATGCGACGACCAAGATGCGGGTAAATGGACGAGATGCCAAGCACATGCCGCTGGCGGTCCTCCATGTCCCATCGCAGGACCTTGCACGAGAAGATGGACGTATCACAGACAGCGGCATCATGATCGTTGGCCGAACGATACCGTTCCAGTTCGTCAAGGAGGTATGGTTTTGCGTCCCGGATCCTCAAGATACGCACTCTTTCGCTCTGGTGGAAAAGATCTACGATGAACGGTTGGAGAAAGAGCTGGTGTTGGACTACAATGCATCACCGTTGCTTCCTGAGTTCGAGAAATACCGAACGCCAAGCAAGATCATGGAATTGCTTTGCGAGATGCCTCCTGGACCCCACGACACAAGCAAGGAGCAGATCATTCGAGACCTCACGACTGTCCTGGAGTCCCACAGGGAGAACACGGTTCGGCATCACTACATGGACAAAGGAATCAAGTTTGTCATCAAGAATTGGCGACCCGAAGACCTACGCATAGACGAGGATGGACGGAGAATGAGGGTATGCCCGGCATGCTACAACATCGTTCCAGCATGTTTCTCCCGATGCACGTCTTGCTGGTCACAGTTCATTTCGAGCGGATATTACCAAGGTTCTCCACAACGGGAGACTCCTACGGAGATCCCCAGTGACTTCATTGCTCAGACAATGGAAGCCGCGGCAGCAGCAGTGCCTGATGCGCCCGAAGAGGAGCAGGAAGCCATGGAGGTAGAGACCGTTGCGGAACCTGAGGAAATCCCAGAACCATCTGTCATCGCGGAGGACGATCCAGAACAGGAACCTGATGAAGAAATGGACACAGAGCCAGGGGAGGACTTTGATGACGCAGTACCAGATGCAGTTGCACAGGAACGACGTCCCGTCCTCATCGCCGGCCAGTCTTTGAACATCGATCCTGAACTACAACTCGCACGTACCGCCATGCAGCCATCCTACTACTCAGGGAAGCGAAATGCCCATTGCATTGACGCCAACATGGTCGCTCTTTCGTATATGGCATTCGTGGTATGCAGGACCATCTATAAGGCTTGGTCAGGATTCGCGAAGTGGGCTACTATGCCGTTGTTTCAGATGAAGGAGAATTTCGCACTTGGCCAACGCTATGATGTGCTGGGAAAGTGGGGATCTTTGGCTGTAGTGGACAGAGAGACGGGTGTGAGCAGGGATGTGACTGATGAGGAGATCATTCGCTTTGCCAAGGAGCCTGAGAACCTCAAGCAGTACGATCCCAACGGGACTTACACTTTGATGCGCTTCCGGACGAATCAGATGCTTTCGTTGCTTACGCGGGGAGCCAACATGATGGGAATTGGCAGGGACAACTTCAACCCTACTACGTACTTGAAGAGCAACAGGGATGAAGATGTGAAGGCTATGCACTTTTGTTGCCTGAACGTCCTGTGCTAGGTGATTCCGATGGTGACAGGACACCAACAATTCTCAGTGCTACGACCAACGCCAACTGGACCGGTGGACTTCTTGTACATCGACCCCGTCGGTATCCTGCTGACTCATGCCGATCATTCAGTCCAGACCATTGGATTGCTGGTGGACCACAATGTGCAAATGCCTGCGCATTTCATGGACAGATTGGTCAGATCCAAGGCTGAGAGACAGCAACACCCGACGACCAAACGTACTGAAGCCCTACATCACATTTCGGCCGCTGACTATCTCCCTCCAGGTGGTACTTCCATCCTGGACACGCCTGTCACTACGGAGGAACGTGCAAGCGCTTCTTCGGCCAAGGGACCTTCAAAAGGGCGTGAGAGAACCGGAGGTGAACAGCATGGAGGCTGGAACGCCAACTCCTACTACGACTACACCGCCGGCAAAGGCCGAAACAAAGGCAAGGACAAAGGAAAGCAAAGGGAACAGTATCCAGAGTAAAACCTCCGGCCCTGGGACCGCGATCCTGCGACCACGCGAAGATGGAGATGAATCAACGCTTGGTCTTCCTCGCCTATCAGTTCGTGACCTCTGAGCTTCGCCCATGGAATGCCATCGCGAATGCTTCTTTCTTCGGTGACGCCTGATTCGTTTGCCATTTCAGGGGATCGTTACTGACGTAGATGAGTGTCACAACGTTTCTAATTGGGATGCAAAGCTCTGATTTTCAATGTCAACGTTGCGGCGGAACATTTTCTGTTGTCCTATCGTGCCATCTTCCGGGTGAGCAGCGTCGGAGACGCAACTCATGGGGGGTGCGAACGGACTGCGATGCCTTGTCAAGTTCTAAGGTGTCACTATAAGAGCTGTGAGCAAGACCGTGTAAAGTGCAAGAGAAGGGGGCACGCTACGCGTCCCTCGACTCTAAGGGGGCACGCTACGCGTCCCTCGTCTTTACCTTTCTATGTGACCGCCCACGCAACGTTTGGCTCAAGTCAATGCCCATAGCTAAGTGCTATAAGTGTCTTCTATCCTGAGCAATCAGAGCTATCCCGTTGCACAGACGAACCGCCGCCGGCAGTGAGTGCAAAAGGAACGGCCGCCGGTTCTGCCTGCATAGGATTGCACGTGTGGAAGTGTGAGAGAGACAGGGTCCAGTCTGTGGAGAGTGCAAGCCAGCCACACCTACATTCATTACAGCTCTGGTGGGGAGAGCAGCAACCTAGTCGAGATCAATCCCCCACGCATCAACGAGTCCAGAAATCACAACGGCGCAAGAAACGGGGTACGGAAGGGAGGAAGTTCCGTGCAGCGCTCACAACCGAGGAAGCTGGCCGATGTGATCGCAGGCCCGGTGACACTGTAAGTAGTTGGCCACTACTCGAATTCCTATCCTGTTGAAGGCCTGAACATCCCACGCTGCAAAGACTTCCATCAGTGCAGCACTGAGTCTTCGAAGTGTCAGGATATGTTGGCATGCTCGCAGGATTCTCGGCTGGTTTGTGCGACTGCAGTGAGCAGGGACCACCATGTTCTCATGCCGGTGTCTGCAAGGCGCGGTGGATGTAAGCGACCTCCTGGAAGGCCAAGCTCCACGTGCAGTCATGCGCATCCCAGACTCTGCGAGCGAGGTGCCACTTTTGGCATTTGACGGATGCAAACGTTGCTCGCTGGGCCGGCTTTAACTTCTGGTGCGAGACATGCTCGAAGGCACCACGCACGCTGGCGCAGACAGAGTTTTGGGTCCCCAAGCCTTGCAGGCTTTCACCTCAAAGGAACAGATGCTAGAGCCGTGCCCTCAGCCCTCAGAGCTTCATGGGCTGTGCAAGGAGACCCCGAAATTGAGAAGTCGCGGCCACAAGGATCACAGTTCCGAGAGCCTGGTCCGAGAAAATCGACGATTGCGTCCAGCCTTCTAAGAACAGGCATAGCCCCACGCAACCTGAACAGGAACCACGTCGTTCTTTGGGCTTCAAGCTACAACTGACCTGGTGCCAACACTGAGCTGCTTGCAGCAAACACCACCAAGTGTCGCTGTATCTATGCTGCGAATCCAACTTCTGGGTGTTGTGAGTGGGTCTTCTGTGAGATTCAGCAGAAGCGTGGTCCAATAAATCTCCTGCAAACTGTGTACCCCGTCTGGTCGCGACGTTGTGAAGCTGAACCTGCCAGTCATCACAAGTTGGACGTCACTTTCATCCTGTGTCCGTCCAGCATCATCACGTCTTCGCTTTTTAAGATCGGGTCTTTGCCATGCAGGGCAGCTTTCCTTTTGAGGGAAGGTCACCTCACCGTACTCACGGCCTGTATTTCTGCTCACTTCTCCATGTGGCATGTGGCAAACCGTGGTTCAAAGCAGCCGCGCTCAACACAGCGATCCGGGCAACCGCAAGGGAAGCTTGGAAGTGAGGCACGAGCAGTCAAAGCCTCACTGCGAGCGAGCCGGCATTGTCTTCTCGGGAAGGCTGGGCATGTCTTGTATCCATGGAATGAGCCCCTTGCGAAGCTTCTGAGCACGCGAGGCTTGGGCAGCAAAATGCAGGCAGGACAAGCAAAGTGCGCCGAGAGCCTTCAAGTAAGTCGCCCCAACACCGTTCTTCGGAGGATCCGGGGCAGCGCCCCGGGCTCGAGGAGGTCGTGGAGATCGTGGCGGTCGTGGAGGTCGTGGCGGTCGTGGCCGTGGCTGCAGCCAGGGATCTCAGCAGAAGTTGGGCCAGTTAGGAAGCTTCCCTCCTCCCAACCCCATGTACCGAGGTGGCGAGCTGGAGTCTGACCGGCCTGCTAGGGGACGAGGTCGAAGTTCTGCAGAAAATCGGCGATGACGAAAAAGCCCCCCCTCACAGTGGCACCAAGTCAGTCACTAGTCTGCTTCACGACACGGCCATCTGAGCCTCGCGTTCCATTCTGCATCCTTTACCGTGCACGCTATACCACTTTTGCCTCCACGGGCCCACATGCAAGCAAGCATTCTTGTGGGTAGGGCGGTAGGGCATAGGGTGGAGCTTTTTTCCACATCAGGCTCGGGGAGGCGCCGAGCAGTACATGCTGTCCCTCTAAGGAAGCGTGCCTCGGTCAGCTAATCTGTGCAGGTGAGAATGATACCGTACATCGGAATGGTCAACTTTGCAGTGCAGGACGGGATGCCGCCTTTTGATTTCGAGGCATCAGCTTCAGTAGCTCCCAGCTCCGTACATGCGTGGAGGTAAGGCCGTAGGAAGTAGTCGCAGGCTTCACGATAAAGTTTGAACATGCGAAGACGTACTGGAAGACTCTGCACAGCTACAGAAATACTGCATCTGCCATTTGCTTTTCTCAGGAGAGGACGGCTTTTCTTCCGTGCCGGTAAGATCTAAAGATGTCCTTATCAGCAACGGTATTGTCAGCTCTGGCTGTGGGTGGGGCAATGAGCGTGTGCGCCCTCATTCGCGTGCTCGACTCTGGGAATTTGCCTGGCAGCTCCACCCATGTCACCGCCTGGCCCGCAGTACTGCTATCCCGGCTACGAGACGGCGCGCCTGCTGTTACAGGCCCGGGAGATGGGTCCTATGGGTGCTCGTGTAAGGGCCAAGCGAGAGTGCACTTGCTGGCAGGACAAGCCTTCGAGCCACCAACTGACACAGTGGACCTTCTACTGGATGATCTGTGCCAGGTGGGAGACTTTCTTGAGCCTCAGGAGCCTCTTCTGAAAGAACTATGAATCCTCGCGCCAGTTTCCTGCAGCTTGAGAGCACGCTTCTAGCCCTCGTCGTGGAGTACGTGCCGCTGTGCCCTGTATGCCAAAGACACAGCTGAGCGTGTCGAATCGAAATCTTTGACAGGTACCTCGAGTTCAAGACCCTGTGCCTTCTGTGGCTGGTGCATCCCAGCTACAAGGCCTTTTGATCCGAGCTCGCGATCCTGCCTCATCTTAAATGGCATGGTGGTTGTGGCTGTGCTATCTGGCAGGGTGCTCTATGGTTGTGGCACAGCAAGCTGAAGGACGGATCTTCAAACAGGTGTGCAAACACACGCGAAGGAATTTTGGTCATCGTGTGCTCATAGTGACCACCACTACAAGACATAGATCCACACCTGTTTGCAGTGATCCCCAGCTATTGTGCTCTTCTCGCCCGTTCTCTCTCTCTCTCTGTTCACTCTCTCTGTGTCTCTCTCTCTCTCTCTCCCTCTCGCTCTCTCTCTCTCTGTTTGAGGTGGCTTGAGCCGCACGAAGCACTGGCATTCCGCAGAGCCGTATGGCCAACAGGAGCAGCCTTCATGTCTGTTCAAAAACAAAATGCTAAGCGACACTATGTTACACTCCATAGACTTTATGGATCTACGGTAGCCAGTCGAACACTGCGCAGCCAGCCCCGCATGCACAAAGGCATGACAATGGTCCCTGTTGGACGTTGGTCCACTCTCGCCAGAACAGTGGCACCTGGTGCCTTCCGACGCTTTCACTCGCAAGACTCCGCGCGTTTCGTGGATGCCTTGTGTGAACGACGAGTTCTCTTCGTATCGGGAAGCAATGCCCGGGGCCGGGCCTCTGTGGCAGCTGCTGCCGCACTAGCACGTGCATGCAACCAGGGGCCTTCCTTGCTGGTGGATGCTGATGACCCTGTTCACGGTATGGCAGACGTGCTTGGTGAGCAGCTCGTTAGCATTTACGTGGCAGAAGGTGAACACTTAAGTGTCCCTGCGTCCCGTTCTTAGCCGAGGCATGAGCTCCCAAGCGATGGGCGGAGCCTGCTGTGGCTGGAGGCTCCAGTTCAAAAGGAACAGCAGGTGTGCCAGGCCTCCATTGCTGCGGCACAGCTGTGTGCTTGGACCACACGCGAGTTTCTGGAGGAACTTCTAGCAGCAAAGCGCTGGCGGGCCTTGTTGGAGGATGGCACTGGTGCACGGCTTGTTGCAGCGATGGGCATGCCGATGCAAGAGTTGCTGGGTGTTCTGGATTGTGTCCAGCCACCCCCCGGGGCAGAGATGCCTGTTGCACTGGCCCAGCTTTTGCAAAGCTCAAAGGAACCGATGCGTGCCGTAGTGGATGCAGGAGCACCTGCCCTTGCAGTGCAACTGCAAAGTGTGCCTCCCGCTGTGGCCGAAGGTCTGGGCGGAGTTCTCCGTCTCCAGGAGTTGGTGAAAGCTGCGAAGCAAGCGGCGGTACCTTCGGCGGTGTCTTCTGGCCTCCAGATGCTTATCGGCAGCTCTCCCGATCGAGAGGATTGGCGGGACCACTTCAAGGTGACCATGGCGGGGCTCCAGCAGCTGCGCCAGGACATGGCTGCGCTCGCCGAGGCCGACACTGGCGTGCTCCTCGTGGTGCATTGGCCCGGACCAGGCGAGCGCGCAGCCCAAAGAGTCGTGGACCGCCTCAGTCCCGTCTGTGCAGTCCTCGTTGGTTTCCCGGGAGACGTCCCATTCCCATTTCCAAAGTGGTTGTCTGGCATTCCAACCGTCTCGCTCCCGGCCTTCGAGGACGCGCCGACCTGTAAATTCTGCCACACACACAGGCACAGGCATCAGGTAGCGTTGCATGATGTTGCAGATCCCCACCGGTAGAACAACGTGCTTCAGAGCTTCTGCATACTGCCGAGTCCCTTTGAGGAGATGTCTCCTGGACTTGGTGGCCTGCGCAAGCTGTCTGAAGCCATGCTGCGCACGTAGAAAACGGCTGTCGTGCTCATAGGCCATGGGGAGCGTGGGGATTGGAAGATTTGCGAAAGCTGTGCAGGACGTGCACCACTCGATTGACAAGCAGTTTTACCCAAAGTTCCTGCAGGCACATCTCTGGTCTCCGTCAGAGCAGGGCTGCTAGAGCAGGGAGCAAATCGCACCGGCTCGTCTTGAGAGTGTTGAAGGCGGTGGGGGCAAGCACTTCGGCTGAGGCGGGTACAAAGCTGCTTGCACCAGTACCGTGCGAGCCTCTGTGCGTCGCCACGCGGTATCACAGGAGCCCCGCGAGACCCAGCAGCCCATACCAAATGGCCGCCCCCTTAAAGCCTGGCGTCCGGACGGCGGGCTCTGTACGTCGTAGTCGTATGCATTCTGCAGTATCGCCTTGTGATGCGGGAACTTGCGGGAAGGTGTCGCCAGCTTCAAGTCCCGAGGTGCTGGCAAGACGGATTGACTGCCGTCTCTTCCCTGGGCTTTGTGCTCGGGATGCCTTTCCACACAGCTTTGCAAAGTTCTGTGCCGGCAAGGTCCTTGAAGACGAGCCTTGCATTGAGCCTTCGAAGTCGAGTTGAAGCTGAGATCCTCGCACCGTCGACCCGTGCTTGGGATCCACTTGCAACACAGGCAAGGGACCTTGGATCGCGCTCTCTGTACAGTGCGTGGAAAGGACAGATGCGTAGTGTCGAGGGTTTTGGCAGCAAGTGTTTATGTGGACGTGCTGTGAAGAAAAAAGCCCGTGATATTAATGCACGACATGGCTAACCGAGCTCGGCAGTCAGTGTCCGCGATGCCGTGCCTTCGTTTTCCATGGCTTTGGCTTTGGCTTTGGGCAGGCACGGGCCGGCGGGCCGGGTGGGGAGTAGGACGGGACTTGGCCCTCCCAGGGGGCGAGAGCCTTGGCCTCAGCCTCTCGAGCGTTCGGTGATATCATAGAAAGGGACCGATTGCATGCGCGCAGCTGAGGCCGCGACCTTCCTCGTCCCTCTTGGCTCCGGGCGATGAGCGGGAGTCCAAGCACGAGCTGACAGCGACATATTCACAGCACGCAAGAGCAAACGGTGCCAAAGGCACAAGCGCGGACACGGGGCAGAAAGGTGGCCCTTCTCCGGATGACGAGTGCCCCTTCAAAGCTTGGATGGAAGCACACAGCATGGACGCTGCTGCTGTCTCGGGCAGACCGCATTCACCGGCTTTCAGCCAATTGCTCTCCCTGTCATGTCGTCGTGCCGTGTGTCGCACGAGGTCACACTGCCAGAATAACTTTGCGGCACTAGGTAGACACACAGAGTGAGAGAAAGCATGAGGAAACACAAATTCAGGGAGCAGTGCTTTTGCAGGTACCAGGGCCAGATAAGTAGCATTCAGCAGATCTTCGCTGAGTACGACCACAACGGTTCTGGCAAGGTCGGAGAGCCAACAGGTTCGCCCGGGCCTCGTTGCTTTCGATGCGCTGTGGGAAGGTCCGAGTCGAGAGAGTTCCGGACTTGATCGTGAATCTGGGACGAGACCTGCAAGTCGGCAGAGAGGCCGCAGAGAGCCCCCGCAGAGCCGGTTCGGGTTTGCAACCGATCCTCTGGTGAGGTTGCCCGGCAACTGAGCGGCGGCGAGCTCACGCCGTCAGCTGTCATCAGCTTTGCGCAGTTGCGGGTCTGCACAGAGGTAGCGGTGCAGTGGAGCTCACCACCTTCGAGGAAGTCGTCCAGACCTTGAAGAGAGCAAGCGGCCAAGATGCTGGGGGCAACTGCGACGCTTCGTGCGATGCGAATCTTGGCAAGGTGGAGGAGAGCCAGGACCGGGAACCAGACAGCGAGACCACCACACCACTGACTTTGTCGCATCCCCGTGCTATGTTCACATCGTCAGTCTCTGAGTGCTGCTTGGCCGAGGCTGAAAAGGCTCAACGCCTACAAGAAGCAGTGTGAGTCGAACGGGGAGTGCGCCAGGGCGAGCCATGCAAAGGTGGGTTGGTTGTTAAGTGGCATAGTTCACCTGTCCTCTGAGCTTTGGTTGTCTGCAGTCGTGGTGGCTCAGCGCTCCTTTCTATTTTTCCGGCTGAGTCGTTGTGACTTTCGAAAGCGATCCTGTGTCGGAACCTTGACAAACAGGGGGCCCACTGACTCGGATGCCGGCCGAGCGTCGCTGCGACGAGCTTGTGAGGTCATGAGCTGCTGAGACCTCCATGTCACCAAGGCGCCTGCAGAGACCCCAGGCCGTAGCTCTAGCTGGGCAGTTCGAAGCGTACACCTCACTGCCTTCAAGGCCTCCCGTCCGATCTCAGTCTGCCAAGCTGACGCTGCGGTCAAGCCGCGGTTTCGGGACAAGGCGAGATTTTCTCGCGGCGGAATGTGCAAGGCATTTTCATTTGGGGCATTGCCTGGCTGTTTGCAGGAGATCTCCAACAGCAGACCTCTCCCGACTCCAGCCACTACCTCCACCAGTTCAGGCGAGGTACCAGTGAGGTCATTCTCTAAACGAATGCAGTAGGATGAGAAAGTGGGCAATCGCAGGTCGAGGCAGGGGAACAGCCCTCGGGAGTTGTTGCGTCCAAAGATGATGCGGTGGTGTGCTCAGTTCCTGGAGCATGCCGCTCATGTTCCTCGTTGTTTCTGTGGGGGCGGAATGGACGAGACGCAACAGACGACACTCTGCCCTCATTGGATCGAGATGTGCTTGTCTGGGAAGCGTAAGGTTGAACATGTGGAGCACAATCAAGAGTTGTGCGCGATTTGTCTAGAGGGACTTGCCCGTTGGCAGCAAGAAGAAGATGAGCAGCTCCAAAGGTTGTGAACCATGACTGGCTGTGGCGGTCAACTGCTCAGGATGATTGCAGCTTCAGCTACCCGTGTGGCCAGGGACACAGGCGGTCAGCTGGGTCAGCTGCAGTCGTATGACGTCGTATGAGTTGGCGATGTGTTCTGGAACCTTGGTAGGCTGCACTACCACTGCATGCTCCACTTCCTGGGCAGCATCCTGGCCCTTCCCCTCTCGGACGAGACCCCTGGGCCACTGCGAAAAGAGCAAGTCCGTGGCGCTGACGCAGCTAATGCAGCTAATGTTTAGCGGTAGTTGCCCGTTTCATCCTCTTTGCTTCAATCCTGGACCTTGTCGCTGCTGCTGTCCTGCGAGCTTGCTAGACTTGGCCTTTCTTTCACATTCTTGTCCTTCTCGCTTTTGCTTTGTACTCGGTATCCCGTCATTCATGAATCTCGTCGTCTGCTTCAGGTGAGATGGGCACGGGATTCAAAGCTGTTGCCTTGCTGGAAGCAGCGATGCAAAATCTTCATGCCGAGACGCGGCGACGCTTGTGCTGCCCGCTCTGCAGATGCTCATGGCCGGACGAAGCTGAAGTTTCTCTGGAGCACACCATGGCCTCGCTGCGTCAATGTCGCATAAAGAAGCTGGCAAAGAACGTAGGAAGTCTTGAGAAGGCAGGGGTGGAATATCATTCTTTAGCGTCTGCTACCTTCTCAGCTCGTGGCATCTCGCAAGGCCTTCAATTCCGTGAAAGCCAGCTATGACCAGAGGGTAGAGATTGGGCAGCACCCTTAACCTCATTTTTAGAGCTAGCTTTGCGGGTGCTGGTGGCTGAACTGAGGCGGCACCGGATGGGACATGGCTTGACAGCCGCGCACTTGGCGGCTCCGAGCAAGTTCAGGCTGATCAGAAAGGACCAGCTGACAGGTCCTCGACAACAACCTTCACACGGCTGCGAGCTACCTGAGCCACGGCGACACGGCGTGCGCCACGGTTCTGCGAATCTTTGAGTTCCTGGATGCGAGACATGCCGCTGGGTCTGGCATAGACTCACGCCATGGGAGCAAGTTTGCGACGTTTGAGAAATGCATCTGGGGCAGACTACGCCCCAGACACAGCTTGAGGTCACGTCAGTGTCAGCCTGCTGTACAGCAGCAGCACGGCATTGCTGGGTGGAGTGCAAGCTCCGAGCTCCTCACGTGAAAGCAGCGACAGTGCGTTCAGAGACTTGCCTGAAGTCATGCGACCCGGTGCGAGCCGCGTTTTCTATGGCGTTCTATCGAGGCTACACACCACATCTGGCCACAGACGACCAGGTCGCTGCTGATCGATCCATCGCTGCGAACGGCCGTTCAGAAAGGGACTTCAGGCCGGGAAGGGAGACGAGGTGCACGCTTCACGACTCTATGTGAGATGCTCTCAGCTGGCGCCTGCATCTGCCAGGCTTAGATGTTGTATCCTTCTCGAAGTGGCTTGCATGTGCTGCTGGCCTCCTGGAAGTGAACATTCATGCAGCCGGCTGGGAGAAGCTCGACCCCGGGGCGGCCTATCTGTCGCAGAGTCTGCCCATCCAACATCTCCAGATCCTGGATCTGTCGCATAATGGGCTGACTGACTTGGGTGCTCAGAACTTAGCAGTATCTCGGATGCGCGCTAGTGAGCATAAGGTGGCAAGCAGCCGGTTCAGGTGTAAGAAGAGGCTTCAGGGTGCTCTCCAGCAGGAACGTCAGAGCAAGCCTGAGGCAGCACTGACGAAGAAGCGCCCAGTTCGTTTGGAAGTGCTGAAGCTGGAGCTGAACTGCATCACGGAGGCCCACCCAAGCCTTGGATGGTTGCGGTGTCTACGAATAGGGGGCCTTTCGGTCCTGTAATGATAATGCAGACAGCACGGAAGACGGAAGGGTACTTTCTCGAGGCCGGCTTTGATTCACTGCTCAGCCTGGGCAAGGAAGTTGGCAATCGCATCCGCTGCATGTCTAGCAAAAAAGTTTCATGACGTCATGTGCATTTCACCCCGATTCGTGGGTTTGCCGTGATGATCGGTAACGTGCAAAACGTGTCATCAAGGCAGTTGGGGCTTCCGACACAACAAGCTTGGCGATGCGTCGTGCAAGCTTCTAGCAAAGGCACATGCCGCATGACATCTTACGTGCCATGTGCAAGATGAGTGCGTTGCTCGGTTGGCATGTTGCCTGAAGGCTCTAGATCCAGAGGGTATCGGTGCTCCGAATCGTCTCAACGTCTGGGATCTGCGCACCAACCGAATCGGTGACCTGATGCACTAGAGCACTAAAGCATGTTGTGCCTGACGCGGGCGAGGCAGTCATGGCAGTCATGCGACCTTTTCATCAGGTCTTGAAGGCTGCAAAGCCTTGGCTCCTCTCTTAGCTGCTTCGCCAATCAAGCTCATGCCAGCCTGGGTACTGTCCTAGGCACCCGTCATCGGATCGATGGAGGTAGCTCGTCTGGGGTGCAACCCCCTGGGTGATGCGGGAGCATCCCGGCTTGGAACTACAAGGAATCTAGCTTACGCCAAGGAGCAGCCATTCTTCCTGTCCCTGTCCCTTTCTGAGGGAGAGCAGCTGGCGAACGGCCTGGGGCGCAACCTTCGCATCCTCGCGGTTTCGGTCGCATTTGGGGGGCTTACAGGGAGGGCATGGAAGGCAGAGATCTGTGAGCCGGACTCAGGACCTTCGGCAAGCAGAGCTGGGAGAGGCCGGGGATGCGCACAGGGCAGCGCAGGAACCCATGCCCACGTAGCGGCACTTCTCGCTTGCTTTGGAGACGGTTATGTCTGCGATTGTATGACACGTAACAGAGGCAACTTAGCCACGAATGTGATTCACTGTGGGCGAATCATCAACTCAAGCAGCCGCGGCAAAAGTGAGTGGGAGGCTGAATTGCTCGTCAACAGATTTGCTCAGGCGGCGACCCTGGCTCTGGGAAGAAAGCTCCGGGAAGCAGCAAAACTGCAGGCCCAACTTCGGTGCAGAGCTTTGTGTCAGAATCGTCCCCGACTTGCAGGAGCTCCTCTTGTCCGGAAACAACATCGGCCCAGCAGGGGCGCAGGCTTTGGCAGAAGGCTCTTTCGAAGAATTGGGGGCTTTGTCGGTATTGCGTGCGATTGTGCACATGAAGTGGAAGATGTCAGGCTGGGCTTGGATCTCCTCGTTGAGACACGTGGACTTGTCGGGAAATATGGGCATTGGGAGAGAGGGTGTGGATCTCCTGGCAGACGAGTTGCCCTTCTGGCAGCAGGCCGATGTCAGGGTGGTGCAGCTTGTAAGTGTGACCTGTGCACCTGGCATGCTGCTTTGCATCAGGCACCATTTCGGCTTTCCCTTGCCAGCATCGGCTGCGAGGCAAACTGGCGGGCATTCTCTGTGTGTTTCTCCTCAGCATAATATGTGACCGGAGGACGAAGGGGCAAAGAGATTGGCTGCTGCACTGAGAAAGAATCCGCGTAAAGGCCAGCTCATTCAGCAGTGAGCCAGCTCCTTTAGAGTTTAGACTTGCTATCTGTTGCAGACAGGACGCGGTTGGACGATCGAGCTTCAGAACAACCCAATTGGTGTGTATCTCAGCGTGTGTGAACTTGCAGGGTTTCAGTCTGTGAATCTTTATTTCCGGTGCACTGGCAGATATGTCAGGCAGCTGGATGAAGCTGCAGATCTTGCAGTTGCTGGAGGAGGTGCCGGATGTCTGCATACCTGCATCCTTCCACAAGAGCCCCCACGCAGTTGAACCAGGACTTATTCCGCTGTGATGAGATGCTTTCATCACGCAAATGACACGGTCAGCAGAGCAGCGTGGATCTCCATCCGCCTTGGATTTGTCATGTATGGACCGCCGAAGCGCTGGTGCCGGGCCTGTTTCCGAAGCGTTTTGGTTCGTTTGACCAAACAGGAGATGTGAGTCACCCGAAATTAGCAAACCGAGCGTGAATCTGCCCGACATGTTATTCAGCCCGGCGGATTAAATGTAGCTAGGTTACCTAGGTCCGCTCTGCGAAGCAGAGACGGACAATCCTGCCATTATCAACGGATTGATGCGGGCACCGTGGGTGCGTGTACAGTTCGACTTCCACTGTCCATAGAGCCTGCAAACAGGCTATCCCGCCTCGAATAGCATCGTTTGCTCCGCATTAAAGGTTCGGTTTACAGCCGTTCGGCCAAGCTCTGAATTCACTAGGTCTTCAGGTGGCCTGACGCAGTTCATGTCTCGAAGTACAGGTATGTTGAAGCACAGAAGGCCCGCAAGAAGTACGAGGCTTCCGAGAACCTCTCTTTCTGTATGTTGCTGGCGGTACGGTGCTTGTAGAACACCAGGAGCTTCGGACAAAAGAGGAGGAGCGACAGAGGCGCCTGGTCGATCAGGCGCCTTTCTACAGAAGTTCTGGAGTAGCAGACTGCCCGGCAACCACATGAAACCAGGCCCAGCAGCATGAGATGATGGAAGTAGAGCAGGCACGGCTCTGGGAAAGAAGAGGGACTGCAGTGGGCCCGAACAGTTCCTTCATGAGGCCCAGCGAGCTCAGTTTCTGGGATTCTCCAATGCCTGGGACAAGTACATGGTGAGCCACCCGAGTTGAAGACGAAAGCGGAAGCGGAACAGCGGAATTCCTACATGTGTTCTGAGGCAGATTATGAGTCCACAGCCTACATGAGTGGGAAGCCCGGTTGAGTCACCTGACAGCTTCGGCCCCAATCGGTCTCCCTCGGGTCCCGTCGTTCCATCGCCCTGCCCGGCGTTTCGCTCCGCATCCCTCTCTCTGTTTCTTCAGGACCGAGATAGAGTCTTCTGTTAGATAAGGATTTCGAAAGTTCTGATTTGAGACTGGCTTGGCTTGGCTCGGTATGTAGACCACTTGTTGGTTGTGCAGGGTCCTCTGTCAGACAGGTCTTCGGCTAGACAGGGTCTTCTGTTTCACAGTGCTTTTTTTAAACAGGGTCTTCTGTTAGCCATGGTCTTCTGTTAGACAAAGGGTGTAAGAGTTCTGGTATGTTCGGGTTTTACCATGGCTTGGTTTGGCCGGGTTTGGGCTTGTAATCCCCTCCCACCCGGCATCCCTCGTGTCTCTCGTGTCTCTCGTGTCCCTCGCGTCCCCTCCGTCCCGCCCACATCTCCTGTGTCCGCCCGCCTGCTCCACACATGTGCTACTCGCGACAGCTGCAGCGAAAGGTTGATGCTCGCAGGCACCCTTGCCTTCAAACGTATCACTACGACACGAGCCTCGTTTATGTGGGGGACGAGGTCGAAGCATGCTTCATAACCAAAACAAGAGTTATGTGATGTACGGTCAGCGGGACCGACATCACCCACATCGTCAGGCAGTATAAGCAACAGCGGCTAGCATCAGCTAGCACAGGCATAATTCTCACATGCCCTTACTAGCACAGGTCTCGAGCGGCTGAAGGCAGGGCCTCACAGTCTTTGTATTTTCAGATGCCTTTGGCAAAATTCCGGTCCGTCCGAAACGTGTTTGCATCAGGAGCAGCATGGCGAAGAGCTGGGACGGTTTCAGGACGCTCTCTTTCGCCGTTTTTTGCAGAGCATCGACAAAAGCGGAGTTTGAGGAGATGATCCGAAACCAGCCTCCGCGCGTGAAGTGCTCCAGGGAGCTGCTAGAGCTCCGAAGAAAGCAGGAGGCCGGCAGCCCCGGAGCTCTCGCACACCAGAGACGGAGATGGAATTGGAGAAGCGCGACGGATTCGCTTTGCCAGGCTCTGGCGAAGCTCGGAAAATATGAGGATGCGTGGAAGGCAAGGCGCCGGTGCACAAAGAGGTGTAGCGAGTGAGCGTGAGAGTGTGTCTGCTTGTGTAGGCCCGTGTCCGCAGTGCAAATGCCTTCAGAAACTCAGCGGTGTTCCATCCTGCAGTGGCGAGGTAAAAGAAGATGGAGATCAATTGGAGCAATGGGAGCAAGCTCGCAGTGCGTCCGGACTGCCATGTTTTGTCTTCGAAGGCGATGCATCACAACATGGCAACACAAGCCAGGTCTTTGGTAAGTGACAGTGTGACGGCCCTAGTTGACAATCAGGTCTGCAGTTTGCATCGCATCGGCATTGTTCTCCAGCAGCAGCAACCGTCTGTTATCTGAGGCCAAAAGACAAGAAACCCGATTGAGATCACAGCAGCAGAAGGCATCACCAAGCAAACTCTTTTGAATTCATTGTGTAGAGTGTGTGTCTGTGTGTGTGTGCGCATGTGTGTCTCTCTCGTTGTCTCTGTCTCTGTCTGTCTGCGTGTAAGTTCTTGGCAGCCAGTTTCTGACAATGTGCCAGAATTTGCGACAACTGCGGCAGCAATTTTTGTCAGCTTGACAGTGCTAGCGTAGATAAACTTCGCGGGAAGCGACGCAGACAAGATGGCGGAGGGCCGCGTGTACAACTTCTCAGCGGGTCCCAGTGCCATGCCACTGGAGGTGCTGCAGGAGGTCCAGCGTGAGATGGTGAACTACAAGGGCTCTGGCATGAGCGTCATGGAGATGTCACACCGATCGAAGGAGTTCATGGCCATCGCGGCAGAGGCAGAGAAGAACTTGAGGGACATCTTCGGCGTGCCAAGCGACTACAAGGTGCTGATGTTGCAGGGAGGTGCCACCCTGCAGTTCTCGACGGTCGCGCTGAACATGCTCGGAACCAAGGGCAAGGCGGACTATCTCGTCACCGGTCAGTGGGGTGAGAAGGCGCACAAGGAGTGCAACAAGTACGGGACCGGGCAGTTGGCCTGCAACACCAAGTCAACCAAGTTCACAACGATCCCTCAAAAGTCGGAGTGGAAGTTGGACCCAGAGGCTGCGTATGTGCACTACTGTGCCAATGAGACCGTGAACGGGGTCGAGTTCAGCTACACACCGGACGTTGGCAGTGTGCCCCTGGTGGCTGACATGTCTTCCAACTTCTGCTCAAAGCCCATCGAGGTTAGCAAGCACGCGTACATCTATGCAGGCATTCAGAAGAATCTGGGTCCCGCAGGCATGGCTGTGGGCTTCTTGCGACCGGATTTCGCCGATGGTAGCAAGGAGCTGAAGATCTGCCCGACCTACTGCAGCTTCAAGACGACGGGCGAGAATGGTTCCATGTACAACACTCCCGCTTGCTTCACCTTGTACGTCATGGGTGAGTACCTCAAGTACACGAAGAAGGTAGGTGGCCTCGCCCACTGGGCAGAGCAGAGCGACAAGAAGAGCGGAATGCTGTATGGCATGATCGACGGCTCCGACGGCTTCTACCAATGCCCTGTAGAGAAGTCTGCGAGGTCGCGAATGAACGTTCCTTTCACAATCAAGGGTGGGGATGAAGCGCTGGAGAAGAAGTTCTTAGATGAAGCCAAGAAGCACAAGCTCTACACCCTGGCCGGCCACCGGTCTGTGGGTGGATGCAGAGCATCCCTGTACAATGGTCTGCCGCTTGAGGGTGTGGCGACCCTGACGGACTTCATGAAGTCCTTCATGGACGAGAACCGTAAGTGAGAGATGTGCCGCTTGTCGCCACAGCGCGACCTTGCAGCCTGTAGCCTCTCTCCTCTCTAGGCCGTGGTGTGAGACTGAAGCCATTGAAGCCTCAGCCTTATGCACGGCACGCCATTGGTGGCAAGGAGGGATCTGGAGGATTCTCTCTGAGCTTCCGAAATCTAGTGTTTTATGGTCCACATGTTTCTTGACTAGGACTAGGTGGGATTTTGGCAGGTTTCTCTTGCAGCCAGAGTCAAGCATCTCGAAACGACTGCCAGTTCGGGGAAGCTGTCATGGCTGGGTCTCATATCACTTGCACATGGAACAGCGTAACACACTTCTGGGACCTAGCAGCTGGTGTATGAAGGTCTTGATTCCGCAAGACATTTTTGGTGGCTCTGCGTGCTTTTAGGTGTATTTACCCCGCTTTGGACAAGATGGCGGAGGGCCGCGTGTACAACTTCTCAGCGGGTCCCAGTGCCATGCCACTGGAGGTGCTGCAGGAGGTCCAGCGCGAGATGGTGAACTACAAGGGCTCTGGCATGAGCGTCATGGAGATGTCACACCGATCGAAGGAGTTCATGGCCATCGCGGCAGAGGCAGAGAAGAACTTGAGGGACATCTTCGGCGTGCCAAGCGACTACAAGGTGCTGATGTTGCAGGGAGGTGCCACCCTGCAGTTCTCGACGGTCGCGCTGAACATGCTCGGAACCAAGGGCAAGGCGGACTATCTCGTCACCGGTCAGTGGGGTGAGAAGGCGCACAAGGAATGCAACAAGTACGGGACCGGGCAGTTGGCCTGCAACACCAAGTCAACCAAGTTCACAACGATCCCTCAAAAGTCGGAGTGGAAGTTGGACCCAGAGGCTGCGTATGTGCACTACTGTGCCAATGAGACCGTGAACGGGGTCGAGTTCAGCTACACACCGGACGTTGGCAGCGTGCCCCTGGTGGCTGACATGTCTTCCAACTTCTGCTCAAAGCCCATCGAGGTTAGCAAGCACGCGTACATCTATGCAGGCATTCAGAAGAATCTGGGTCCAGCAGGCATGGCTGTGGGCTTCTTGCGACCGGATTTCGCCGATGGTAGCAAGGAGCTGAAGATCTGCCCGACCTACTGCAGCTTCAAGACGACGGGCGAGAATGGTTCCATGTACAACACTCCCGCTTGCTTCACCTTGTACGTCATGGGTGAGTACCTCAAGTACACGAAGAAGGTAGGTGGCCTCGCCCACTGGGCAGAGCAGAGCGACAAGAAGAGCGGAATGCTGTATGGCATGATCGACGGCTCCGACGGCTTCTACCAATGCCCTGTAGAGAAGTCTGCGAGGTCGCGAATGAACGTTCCTTTCACAATCAAGGGTGGGGATGAAGCGCTGGAGAAGAAGTTCTTAGATGAAGCCAAGAAGCACAAGCTCTACACCCTGGCCGGCCACCGGTCTGTGGGTGGATGCAGAGCATCCCTGTACAATGGTCTGCCGCTTGAGGGTGTGGCGACCCTGACGGACTTCATGAAGTCCTTCATGGACGAGAACCGTAAGTGAGAGATGTGCCGCTTGTCGCCACAGCGCGACCTTGCAGCCTGTAGCCTCTCTCCTCTCTAGGCCGTGGTGTGAGACTGAAGCCTTCATTCACGGCAGGTAGCAGCATTCGAGAGAGCTCTGGAGGACTTTCTCGTGCGCCAGAGCTCCGATTCAAATTAGGGTGGCAGTTATGACCCAAAGTGGGCTTTTGGCAAGTGTTTCTCTTGCAGCGATCGCTTGGGCTACTTTTGTGGCGACTAGGCCGCTACAGGATAAAGGAGTGTGTATCAGCTGTTCGGCCGACGTTTGTTGGCTTTGAGTTGCCTTTTGTATACTCTGTGCTGATCGCGACCGCGGTCTTTGGCTCGAAACCGGCGGCGCTTTTTTCCAGGCGGATGGGGTGCAGCTCTGGCAGATTTGGAGATCCTCATTGTCAAGTTGGGGTTGGGCCGTCCAATCCGCCAGGGGCAAAATTGTACAAAGAAGCGAACCATCGCGGCCCCCTTGCGTGGATGCTGACTGCCCAGAGGTTTTCACTTTTTGGGGATGTGCTGGCTGGCATGTGCTGGCCTTCCGAGGAGGTGACGTTACCAAAATGGTTATCCTCTCCGAAAAAGTACTTGAGGCCGCGGGCCCCCTGATTTGTAGTCTTGTGTCCACCTGTCCTATCTGCAGGCCTTCCGCAGCTGGGATGTACAAGGCTTGGCTGGCGCCGTCAGCAACACACGGTAGCGGACACATGGTCTCCGCAGGATGCGGCACGATTAGCCGCAAGCAGCTGATTCGCATTCTCCAGAGGCTCCTCGAGTCCATGCAAACCCTGACGCCGAAGCACCCCAGTGAAAAGTCGCCAGGCTCACGCCCCAAGTCACCGAGTCGGATCTGGAGGCGGGCGCTCTACGTGCTGCTTACTGCAGGTCCTCAGGTGCTCGCGTGTGTTGCTTCCCTGCCCCTGCAGGTGCTCTTCGTGGCTGCCGGCGCGGACTCTGGCGGGGGAGCAGGGGCCCGAAGTGAGATCAGAGAGGTGCAGTGTGCAGAGTGTGCAGTGCCTCTAGAGCGACCTCGGACCTCGCTCTGAATCTGGAGTGTAACCCCCTGATTTTTGTGAAGTGCCTTACTGCATCACCAGAGGTTCTACTCTGTAAGCTCGGCCTCTCAGGTGAAGTACAATGACTTCATCTCCTACTTATGGGCTGACGGCCATGGGCCCCGGTGTTTTCCTGGAACAGGCCTCCTGCGAGCGGCAGATACTGCTCAGGCTCCTCTGCGGAAGATGCGAAGGAGGCAGCTAGAGCGCCGCACCCCCAGTGGATCTGCGAAATAAGCTGAGAGCGTGAGAGTACAAGGGACGTAAGTCGTCATGGCCCTTCTGACCCATCTGGTGGATTCTGGCCGCCCTCAGCATCATCAAATAAGTCTAAGTCCATATCTCCCTGTCAAGGCGGGGACTCTGGGTCAGTCCAGCATGCTTCTGCAGCGGACTGGAGACTTCGGATGGGATCGGCAACACCGTAATTGAGGTCCCCGTGTTTTGACAACTTGCCAGGAAGATGCTCTAAGAAATGCTAGAGAAAAGACTGTCGGGATCTCAGTGATCTCGGGGAATCTCATGATTGCAGGAGACAGGCTTGGCAGTGTATCGGGAGGCCAAGACTTGGCCCGCCGACAGAGTGGATCGCTATTGGAACGAGGTGCCGTAACACGATATGCTAGAGCAAGCAAGAAGCTGCAATGCTCACCTCCACGCCGCCTGCGCAGTCAGGTTGAGACGAGATTGTGGTCAAAGGACTACTTCGATCACGTAAGGCTCTGAGAAAACGACTTTGGCTTTGCAGCTAATAATGGTGCTCCTTGCTAAGAGGGTAAGAGTGGTTTAAGTCACCAGCGGATGAGGTCAAGACCAACATGTTCGTCCAGGCGGACCAGGACTGCATTCGACTCCGGCAAGCAGTTACATTGGAATCACCTGCCCAGCAAGAACATCTGTCCGGTGCTCGTGATTCTCGGGCCCGCGTCGGTCACATCCGTCGCAAAATCTCACGCCCAAAATGCCGCCCAGCCCTTGGATAAGCCAAGTTCTGCCCGAAGCTGTAAAGCTTCCAAGCTCAGAGGGACTGCTTCAGGAGCGCCTGGCCCTTCCAAGTCTACCCACGGTGCATGAAGGTTTGCTCGTGCCTTTTAAAGGTCTAAGAGTGCGAGTGCGTGAGATTCAGATCATGGCTTTGGCCTTTAGCCCCACATGCGGTGCCCCGAAAGCCATGTTCGCATTTTTGATGTCTCTGAGGCTCTTGAGGTGCTTGTTTGTCATGATCAGCTCTTTCACCAGGACAAAGACGGCAGAGTCAGCTTTGATGAAGCGAGAGCATTGATTTGCAAGTCGCTGCGGTGTGGCTGCCTCAGCAGTCTCGGCTTCGTTCGTGAATGCAGACTTGTTTAGCTGCTGTGTCTGTCTATGTTCCTCATTGGAGGTGCAGCCGACCTAACAAAAGCCCCGCAGCCGACGCAAGAAGAAGTTCGCGTGGACCTTCTCCCCGTGTGTTGCATTAGACGTCGGTGCAAGTTGGCTTGCGGACGGTCTCTGGTTAAGGCCAAGCGTTCGACGCACATGATACGCTTGTTGAAGGCAGAGCATGAGTGCGGCCTCATGGCGAGGGAGTTGAGGGAAGAAGCTGATCCCATGCGCGATGCCAGGAAGGGGACGAATGGGAGTTGGTGAGCCAAGATCTCAGCTTCACAGCTCAGCTCAAGCATGCTAGGGGGCCATAGGAGGCCTTCTGTGAATAAGGTTCGTGAATCTTGCCCGTTACCTCCAAGCCGATTCCTCAACAGTTGGGGCACTCAAGTTTAAAGCTTCGAGTCGAACGTCGAACGAAAACCAAGGTTATCGTGGCCGAAGCTATGCTTCCTTTCAGCAAGGCCACGTGTTCCCAACACCGCGAGCTGCATCTGTTGCATGAAACGAACCCGTCTGCAGGTAGTATCAGGTTAGGGACAAGTCCATCCTGAATGGTTTCACCACTTGAGCTGCGAGCAATTTCTGTTGCCCTGCTGGAAGACAATGAGCATGTTCAGCACGGGAGGATGTAAATTCTTGCAATGACTCCGACAATGCAGGGCGTCAGATCTCTAGATGTCGCTCGCACGAGAGAAGGTTGCGGAGGGGTCGGGCTTTGGGTCATGCGCAAGCGCGTAGTTGCAGCATGTGCAGCGATCATCCCGGTGGAAGCCCTGTCGCCTCTTCAAGCCAGCGGTGCTGTGGCACAGTTGCGAGATTCAAAGCCGGGCTGGGCAGTTTGCTCCCTGTCTCGGCTATAGCCAATGCTGTCCACCCTGCAGGTCCCCCGTCCTGGCCCGGCCAATCCAGCAATGCATGCGGAAGCGAAGCTTGCGGTGCCAAGCGTGAGCTGCTGTAGGCAGCCGTCAGGCTCCTCAAAAATCCCGCACAGCTGGGCGCAAAAAGCTCTGTCACGCCCCGCACATTGGAACCATTGTTAAAAGTCCCCCAAAAGCCCCCAACACATCCCAATACCCAATACCGTTGCGTGACGCGCAGAGGAATCGAAGGAAGGGTCCCTGAGCTTCAGGCGCTCCAGGCCTTGCTGAAGAGGATTCAGCGGGATCGTGGCGAGCAGATCAGGCACGGACAAAGGGCGGAGTGTGGGGGGTGGAGGGTTCCTTGTGTTGAATTTGAATGGACAGGCACCGGCAGCTTGATTCTCAGCGCTTAATCCAGAGGAACAAGAACCTGAAGGCCTGTGACGCGACAGTCCAGAAGCGACGGAATCCGAACTGTCGGCCTATTAGGCCGATCTTTACAAGAAACAGCACCTCGAATTCCAGAGGGCTGAGGCGGCGATCAGGTCCATCATGCCGGCCGCTTGGGGTGCCTCCGTGCTGCAGTTGCTGTTGGTGCCTACAATCGATTAAGGTCTCAGCCGGAGCACGCACAAAGACTGCTGGACGAGCATGATCCCGCTTCCGTGGCCAGGCCAGGCGTCGTGTGCATCACACCAGCATTGAGGGAGTGCTGGCCGTTGCAGGAGTGCGGCGATGGGGGAACTTCCAGCGCTCGGCCGGATCAAGTGGAAGGCTGCTTCTGCTGACCATTGGGGAAGCTGGGCAGTTTGGAGCTTTCTGGCGCTATGCACAGGGCCCTTGTCTGCCGGAGAACTACATGCCACCGGGCGGGATCTCCAAGGGCCTGGTGTTGTCCTAAGCATGTGCGGCTGCTTTCAACATTCTGAGTTCGGCTAGGCAATGTGCATCTGCAAGATCCTGTGCCTTGCAAGACGAGTTGAGCATGTTGAACGGCAGCGATGCGCAAAAAACTGAACACTATTCGTTGCCGTGTGTCAAGAGACCTGTGTGACTATGGTCTGCAACTTTTGCAACCAGATCAATCTCGTAGCGAAGCTCCCTGATTGTCGGCATCGGCTTTACTAGCTTGGCAGTAGCATGTTCTCCTTGTCTCTAAGGTGAAGGCGAAGACCACGCCTAGGCCAGACGACAGGCAAATCCAGACAAGTCGAGTCTGAGCAAGTTGACTCCTGCGTGGCCGGTTGTTTTTGCACAGGCATACCGACATCGCTCTTTGCCCAAATGCCGAAAAGAGCTGTCAGGCAGACGATGCAAACAAGTGCAAGTGCTGCCAGTGACGCCACGTAGTACCTCCGCGGACATGCTCCCCAGCCGACGCAGCGGGCTACTTGTCACTTAGCCGGCAAAGCCGGATGAGAATCAGAGATCTTCGCCGGAATCACATCTAACCCTCGCTGGTTCTGGTGCATGTCCAAGCGAATCGAAAGCTCGTGCTAAAATTGGGCAGACGGGCTTTTTCAGTGTTTCATTGTCTCACCTGCCACACGGCCAATTGCCTCCACAACCCAGAAGGTGTAGAATCACGCGGAAGCCGCCATGGCAGCATCGACCACTAATGCCCACTGGCGACCCAGTAAAACTGGGGCGTAAACCAGTTTCAGAGCAAGGCTGTGCCGTGCTATAAATTGCAGAGTGCAGCCCAGCTCTCAGCAAAAGCGAGTAGACACGGGGATGTTGACAAGAGTTGAGTTTTGTTTCCATGGGAATGAAGGCTCACTGTGAATCATCTGAAGACATGTTGAGTCGGAGTTGCAGGTGTGAACGAAACGGACGTGCTGCGTGTTCCTGTCAGACAAACCCATTGTGGCATCGGACATGGAAAAGAGGCAGCTCGGATCGTGCCAGGGTTGCCGCCCAAATCTGCGAGCTGGCGCGGAGTTGTCAAAGTCGTTGCGCCGCAACACTCGCAGTCGACAAGCTCAGTCCAAACATGAGACTTTCACACACATCTGCACAAGCCGCGATGGGGCAAGTCAGCAGCTCGACTAGCAGCAGAATGTCCGCGCACAGGCGCTTTTGTCTGGTTGCCCTGTCACAGTCTTTGGCTGTGATCCCCATGGCTCGGCGAGTTACATCTCATGCTGGTGCGCATCTTGTTGTGGACGTGCGAGGTACTCTTCTTGTGCTTGTCGCTAATTACCAAGGCAGGGAAGCTCATCGAGCACAAGGTGCAGGCAGGCCGGTGTGCCACTTGAGATCAACTTGCAGCGCGTGGGTCTTTCACGGAGAATCCCGTCCGCTGACCGAAAAAGTTTCGGCCACTTCTAGGACGAGTGCTTTGGCCGGCGTCAGGTGACCGTCGATGCGCTCCAGGCCAGTGGACAGGTGCAGCAGTGCAGCTATGGCTCGTCAGATTCAGACTAGTGACACGCACCTCTACGCAGGTCGCTAGCAGTAGCCAGTCCGGAGTCATCAGTCGAGGCCCGGGTGTGGGTTTTTCTCTGGCGAGAGCGCGAGAGATACAGAGCAAGCTTGAGGCGGTGATGGGGCATGGCAGTGCAGAGCCACAAAGAGGTCCTGTCGAATGGTCCAGACCTTGGTGATAGCAGAAGCCGTCGCATGGGCGAAGGGCACTGTCCGTGCTGCCTAGGCTGGGGGAAGGAGCTTGCAGGCACGCCTGGGTTTCCTTTGTTTTTTGAAGGACAGAGAGTGACAGTCGAAGTCGAGATTGGACTTCCTTCCCTACTGCTGTGCCTCCCCTCGACCAGGTCCAGCGGAGACCTGCAGAAGGATGTCATCGAGCCTCCCTCTCGGCTGCAGCCCCGTCGTCTAGCTTGGTGCTCTGCGGCTCTTGTTGCCGAGCATGGCACACTCAGGCCTCCGATGCCAAGCTTCGGAGCAGAAAGAGAAAGGGCCTTCGCGCAAACAGAAAAGGCCGAGGGAGCTGAACTGCAAGGGATCTGTTTGGCTTCTGCTCTGGACTTCAGGCCGCGCCCCTTGCAGCTCGAAGTGCCGAAGACACAGACAGTTCAAGCGGTGGGGGCCACGGGCAATGGTCCAATGGGTCGAACTCGGGGTTGCTGATGGATCTCGCCGGATGAGGCGACGAAATTTGCTTCTCCGGGAAGCCGTTGTCTGATACTCATTGAATCCTCAGAGCGATCCACGTGGAATACGCACTGTCTGGAACTGAGGCTGGCGTGTGAGCAAGCGGACTCTGTGCCGAAGGCAGTGACCCAAGTAGACTGCGGAATAGATAGCAGTAGGTTACGATCGGGTGGAGAGCACCCGGATTGGGAGAAAGAGGGCCCTATCTGCAAAGCGTCACAGGGAGGATAGCAGCCGTCCTCGCTTTACAACAGCAGGCAAGGGTCCCAGTCAAGCAACCTACAAGTTCTTGTCCAACAATGGAGCCAGATTTAGGGCACAATTCCTTTCGAAACGTGTATTCTCTGCCTTTTTAAGCGAGGACGACGCACTCATTGGAGGAAGGGGTTCGGTCTCCTCCATGTTGGCACAGAAGAAAATGCTCAGCGCACAAGTGGTGCAGTCCCACGGCACTCGAGACACCGGGGAGGGAACCAGAGACAAGGGGCAGATTTGTTCAGAGAGAGGGATGTGACTAAGCCTTAGCTGACAGTGAAAGGCTCGGGTTCAGAAGCTTGTGGCTGCTCTCGGGAGGCGAACGTGCCGAGCCGGAGCACTCCTCCGATCACAGAGCCCTCCAAGGCCAAAGGATCGTTTTTGAGTTTTGCGTTCCGGGTGGAGCTGTCGGCTGACAAGGAGGCACGACTGGCAGCTGCCCGAGCGCGTATGCAGACTTTGGGATGTTCCAAAAAGGAGCGGAAGGCCGTGTCAGAGTCAGAGACACTAGCGAGCGTACGGCGCAAGCCGTTTTTGTGCTGGTCTCTGCCTGTCAGGATGCCCAGCAGGGGAGCGTGGGCAGGGGGTACAGTGAGCAGGACATCGAGTTGCCGCCCGGCGACGGAAGTGGCCCTGACGTCTCGATGCTTCCAGCCAGCGTCTTCGAAAAACCCAAACGGGTGGAAGATGCGATGGAGGCTGAGGACCCTCACAGACATGGTGACGGAGAACCCACGAGCCAAAGTGAGGGCAGCGAGGACGAGTCCCAGGAGCAGCACAATCAGCGCAGCTGGTGGGCACAGTTTTTCCGGCTTAAGCTCCTTCAAACGCCTGGAGCTGCTAGCCTTTGTGTGCCTCTGGCCCGGATGGGTCTGCAGGACACTGGATGTACTGCGTGCCCTACTCGTACTCGCTTTTTGGATCCCTTGTGCTGGATGTCTCGGCGAATGCAGCATTTGCGCTGTGCACTGTTAACTTCGTGCAAGCCTCTCTTCTGCGCCATATATGAATTCCTGTTGAATGATTTGAAATTTTGGCGGTTGCTGCTGGAAGTTTGTAAGTTGCATCTCGTTTCGTGGTGCTGATTGTTTTGCCGGCGACCTCTCTGCAGATAGTCAGCATCGTGTGTTGTCGTCCGTTGGTTGGGTCTTGGATCTTGGCTAGGCTGCAACTTGCTATTTGTCGTCTTCAGAGGTACTAACTCGGTTTCTTGCAATGGTGATGATCGCCGCAACGTGTGTGTGTTTTACATATTATGTTATGTATTTTATGTTATATAACTGCACATATTTTGATGTGTGTACGTGCGTTTGTTCAAAGACCTTGAGCACCCATGTCGGAGTAACTCCGGAAGTTCCTTCGGTGCTTCGGTGCAGGATACAGATCTCCCATCGGTGACGGCCAGCTTGGACCGCCTGCTGGAAGACCTGCGTGGTGAGCGGCTTGACACGGCCGAAAGCAGCGAGAGCCTGCACCGGCCCCCTGTGCGTGCTCTGCTCGAAATCGACCTCTCAGACAACAGCATCTCCGATCCGGGCGCTGTCTTTCTCTTCCGCTGGCTCTTGCGGCGTCGCAAGGAGGTCCGGTGTCGAGCTATCCGCTTGGCTCGCAACAAGTTGGGAGATGCTTCGATGGAGTGGCTTGCAGCCCTGATCTGCGCACAGCACTCTGCCATCGAGGAAGTCCATCTCTCACAGAATTACATCACAGGTTCTGGGGCGCCTCACGTGGAGTTGGTATGTTTTGAAGCATGCTGGGTCTTCTAAACGTGAATGTATCTGGAAAGCTCAAAAGGAGGTGAGGACATGTCATGTTCTTCGCACTCTTTGCAGCCGAGGCTGGACAGCTTCTTCTCGCATTGGCCTTGCATCCTTTCGAGGCCTATCCCTGGCTGGACAAACGCGGCCTCTTTGCCCCTGCTTGGGTCAGCCTGGACCAGAACAACGTTCAGGAGTCTGCAGGTCTGCTCGGGCGTCTCCGGCTGCGTACAGGCCTACGTGCCGTCTGCACTGACGGTCCGCAGAGGAAGTCCAGCTTCAATGAGGCGCCACATGTGCAGCTTGGTAGCAACTTTCTGAGCTCAGTTGCGTCACGCTCGAAGCCATCCGTGCTGCCGCTGGCGTTGGAGAAGGTTTGTGCAGGTGGCTCTTGGCCACCCTTGCCTGAAACGGAGAAGCCGTTGCCATACCTTCCCCGGACATCCGCTTCACAGAGTCTGTGGATGGCACCTGCTCAGACTTTTCGCAGGGAGCTCTTGGTGGACGAAGAAGAAGGAGCCGGCCTCCACTTGGAGACCGTAAGCCAGGGCCTGAAGATTTGTGAAATCGCGGAGGTTCCGGGCCAGCCTGGCCTCTGCACGGAAGACATCATCGTCGCAGTAGACGGCTTGCCTTTGTGGTGGTCAGCTTGCGAGCACGACCCCAAGGCTCCCAAAGAAGCCGATACGGGGGAATCCGAGAAGGATGCCGAGAGCGATGACGATGCCCCAAGTGCCCGCTTCCGGGCTCGGTTTCGGCGTGGTGCACGCTTGGACGTCTTCCGACAGAAGGCTCCCGAAGCTGCGAAAGCGCCCATGCGACAGCCCGTCTTGGGAGCACACGGGTCACGGCGTGCTGCTCGTTTCTGCTGTCCCATCTGCTGGGATTCCTTCGACCGCTGGAACGACTGCTTGCAGCATTTACGTGAACTAGGACATGAGCCAGAGCCACCTCCAGACCAACGACGCGAAGAAGCAGCTGCTTGTTTGCGGAGGTGGATGCCAGCGCCTGAGCTCCACCAAGAAGCCTGCTGCTAGATTGTTGATCGCAGGAGTCATCTTCACATGCAATATGAGCCTGCTGCCCTCTACTGGCTATCATCGAGGTCGGTGTAAATCCCCTCGACGGAGTCGATGTTTGTGTCGAGGTGCAGCACCTGTCACCCGAGTCGAGTGTCCACGCGCTGTGCAAACAGAGCATACGCAGAAAACACAGCGCGCAAGAACCCCAAGCATTCGATAAGAGATTCGGCAGCAGCGGACATGCCGGACCGCTACCGCGACCGCTAGCCACCGCGTCAAGTCGCGCCCTAGTCTTTGTCTGGGTGTCAGTGGCGACCACGGCTGGGCGGCAAGGATGAGTCTCAGTCAGAGCCCTTTCACATCACACAACGGATGGCGGCTTGAGGTTGATCTGATTGAAAGTTGAAAGCTCCAGTTGTTCCACACGGTGAGTTGTCGGTTTCATACTGGATTGACGGAACGCAAAACACTCTTGGGCAATTCTCATCCAGGGCTCTGAAGAAAATTGAAGAAACCAAGACCTTAGAGGATGGGAGAAAGCAAGAGTTTAAGGGGACGACTTCGAGAAGATGCACAGGGAGACGAGGCCCCGGTTCCACTCCACTTTGCATCAGAAGCAAGGAGTTTTGGACAAGACCACAGCGTACCAAGAAGGAGGCAAAGCCTCGGTCCCCTTTCTTGAACACGTGCTTCCCAACCTCTCTGGTGGTGGGCAAGGATCTTGTCTTCCGGTGAGCTGCGATCCAGTCCTTCGGAATGTCGACACCTCGCAGACTTGACCTGCAACATCAGTCTCCAAGAATCGAAGGGCTACTAAGAGGTTTTGCACGCGCATTATGCTTGCCAAGGAGTGTTTTCTAGCTTTTTGCCCTTTCAGGTCAACATGCATGTCGGCCGCTCGAAGTGAACTGCCACGACCAGCCGATGTCAAAGTTGAGGCCAAGCGGATGCCGAGTGTTCCCAATCCGGAGGACAAGGCTGAGACGGAAACGCTGCTCCTTCCGGCGCCCATAGGGTTTTACGGTCAGCGCAATCGGTCGGTTATGGAGGCTCTCGCAGAAGAGATCTCTCGCTTTGGCTCTGAGCATGGCTGCGCAGTCTGGATGCTGCCGGATGGGTTGCGAGCGCAGTGCCCGCAGGGCCCTGAGGCTGCACGCAAGATTGCTTCCATAGCCGCCGACTTACTCGAGATTCTGCACTTTTACCTCCCTGACGTAGCTGATAATGCCGATGACGGCGCCGGCTTCGTACCCATTCCAGAGAGCCGTGAGTATGCGGTGGAGTGGGCAGATGACTGGGCCTCCTGGCTTGAGCAGATGCTGCAGCAGCAGGCAGAAGAGGCTCGAGGGGCCGAGATGGCGGAGATGGCGGAGTTGGCAGAGGCGGAGGTCGCAGCTGAGGCCTCGCTGCGCTCGCTGCGAGCTGAGGCTGTCCCCTTTGTGCCGCAGCAGCAGGCCGTGGATCTGGCAGCCTTGAGGTTGCTGGTGTTGTGTGGCTTGCCAGGAAGCGGCAAGAGCAGCTTAGCACAGCGGCTTGGGCTTTCAGGGAATTGGGTGGTCGTAAACCAGGACTGCCTTGGCTCCCGGCAAGCTTGCATGAAGGAAGCTCGTGCTGCCTTGAGGCGGCCAAATGGCCGCATTGTCATCGATCGATGCAACGTCAACGTGGCACAGCGGGCGATTTGGACACAGCTGGCGGTCCAAGACTTCGACTTGGAGCCTGGCCAAATGGGTTGCGTTTGGCTCGATGTGCCTGATCACGAATGTGGTCACCGGGTGCTGCGACGCTTTGCCCACAGTCTCTTGGCTTAAAGCCGAACCCATTGAGTGCAGGGGTCTTTCTGAAAAGCCACTGCCAAGATACGCTTCCACCGCATGAGGCATCTCTCAAGGCAGTGAGCGACGGCCAAACATTCACAGTTCTGCCTGATTGTAGCCTTGAAGCAGGTAATCCGTGGCTTTGCGAAGAAGTGGCAGGCACCATCTGCGGAAGAGGTGTGGTCCATGAATTGTCCAGCCTATTGTCCAGCCTGGTTATCGAGCTTTCGCCTGAGGGTTCCTTGTGCCAGGGCTTTGCACACCTTTGGCGAATTGCCTCTGAAGTGGATGCAGAGGCATGCCGAGTTCACTCGTGCATAAGGTAGCTAGGGGAGCAGTAAGCGCACCTTCGAAACTTGCCTGAGCTTCCAAGCCTGCTTTGGCGCCATTGACGTGATCCACATGTTTTTTATCACCGACCCCAGAAGTTTGCAGTGCTGTCTAAGAGCATTGTGCTTTCTTGTGTGAACTGTGGTGCATTCGTCGGATGAGTGTGCCCGCCTCCTCTTGAACTCGGAGGTGTTCTGGTCAGAGATGTCAGCTGCTGGTCAACTGCTTACGGACAGTCGCGGCAAGGACGGGAATATGGCCTACCGGTCCCCAGATGCAAGATCCCCGCCTGGTCGGCGTTCGAAGAGAGGAGAGGGTCAACACGATTGCCAGGAGCCGGAGAAGCCCGAGCAAGTCCTTGGAGCCTCACCCCAGTCCGAGTCTTTTCCTTTGTGGAAGCCATGAAGCAAAAGTAGGGAAGTCCCATTTTGAGCAGAGCCTGAAGGTTTCCGGCGCCTTCTCAGAGGGAGCCCTCCGAGGCCGAGGCCAAGGCCTGTGGCTGCCTGGTGCATCGGTGCCCTACAAGCGCTTCGGTGCTGCGTGCTGCGTGTCGTGGAGGGAGCCACGGACGTGGATGGAAAACCCGGGTCGCATGGCCCTAGCCTTGGCGGAGGGAAGAGCTCTTCAAGATCCTTCGAACATCTTCGAACCTTGTTGCATCCTGCGAAGAGATCAGTCTCAATCGGGCAGAACACCGTCCCCATGGGATGTGCAAGAAGCGCGGGGTGTCACATCCCTCTACAGGAGCTCATGGCGTGCAATCCACGGTGCGCTACTTCTTGGAAGGGTGGCCGAACAGCCGCATGCACGCCAGAAGAGCACAGGACTCGTTCGATCTGGCCCTGTGCTTGTGTCAAGTTCGAGGATCCTCTGCCGTGTTGTCGGCGCACTTGGAAATGTGTGTGGGCGCCGGAGCTCATGGACGTTTGCCTGGGCTGGCCGGTCAGGGACCTCGAACCTTTGCGAAGGCTCCACGAAATCCGCTTGCCGTCCCATCCATCCCTCCCTGCATCCATCCATCCATTCCTGGTCCCTGTCCAGTGCTTGATCGTGTCGAGCAGGCTAGTCTCGGGCCCTTTTCCTTTCGGTTTGCGCCTTTCCCTCAGCTTCTCCAGTCTCATTCAAGCTTTTGCTCCGCTTTCTCAAGTCTTCTAGTCACTTTTCCAGTGTTGTATTGAGAATTTGGAATCACAAGCGGGTCGCGCCTTTTTCTGAAAACGCTCTAAGTTCGCTCCTGTTTGAAGCGGCTTGAACTCTCTGGCCTGTTGCCAGCGGTTTGCTTCGAGCCGTTGGCTGCTCTTGCTGGGTTTGCTTGGAAAAACCGTGAGGCTCTTTGCAGAGGTGTGCTTTTCTCAGACGGTCTGTGAGTTCGCGAACTTTGGCTCAGTGTTGGCAACTTCTCCAGTGTGTTTTCGAGCGGTTCGCTCCTCTATTCGGAGCGGTTTCGTCCGTCATCTTGCTGGGAACCACTTGCTGCAAGGCCAGCCGAGGTCACTCGCATAAGTTGCATATGTTCGCAGAAAGGCTGCCAGGCATGCGATGACATGCTTGTTGACACGCACAGCCCCGTTGATGATGTGCCAAACGGCTTCGATGGACAATCACCAAGAAAGAATGGACTGGTGGACGATGTCAACGACAAAACTATCAGGCAGTTCCAAACGTGTGATAGCACAAGAGCCGAGGCAAAGTAGGATGCATGCCTGCTACAGCACAAACAGTACGTGCGAACAGAAGAAGCGTACATGCTGGAATGCCGCATGCGAGGTGGCTTCCGGCCGGAGGCTGCAAAGTCGCCGGCGCCTGCAGCACCTGCTCCGCGGCCGGAGCCTGCTGCCGCCGAATCCCTCGGCCTCGAGCTGGGCAAAACTGGAAGTTCCGGCGAAGCAAGCCCGGGGCTCGGCGGATCTGACCTGCTGCGTGCCCTTCTCGGCTTCCTGTAGGTCGCTACATGTCTGAACCGCTTCCAGCAGAGGCAGTTTTGGGGGTGGTGACCTTGGCGTGTCTACGTTGCAGCAAGAATCTGCCAGGCGGCAAACTGCGCCAGTCCGATTTCAAGGCCAGGTCGGCTGCGGCTCTCCGTCTTCGCCCCTACCGCTTCTCTGGGCCTGCGGACTTGGAACGACCACAGGACCAAAGAGGTTGTGCTGGAGCCCGCTCAGCTGGACAGTCCGGGCCAAGGTGTGGAGCCGCAGACCATGAGCTGAATGGGCCGCAGTTCATGTCTGGAGGATGCGGTGCGGATTTCTGGCGTCTGCCGATGGGTTGGCGGCCCAAGAATTTCATTCGCAGCCAGAACTACCGTCGAACTGTCATCAAATGTTGTGGCGGTGGTAGGTAACGACCAAGAGCTCGACGCGCAGGGCTACTCTGGGGCAAAAGCTCCAGAAGGCAAGGAGGGTGAATGGGATTTGCGATCGTTGCAGTTGGTGTTCCATCAGGAGACGATGCTGCAGCAGGATCAGCAGCGTCAGCAGCATCAGCGGCAGCATCAGCGACAGCGTCAGCGGCAGCAGCAGCATCAGCAGCAGCGGCAGCAGCCGAAGCGGCTGCAGCAGCCGTAGCAGGCGAGGTTGCATGCGCCGAAGCTGCCCAAGAAGCCGCACCAAGAGGACCTTTCTCCTTCTTCTTTTTTATTCTCGTCGGGAATACTCTGAAGTCTGCACGAAAGCCTGACTTGAAGCAGCCACCTGCAGCCTGAAGCCGCAGGGGGTGGCATTGACTTCTGGCGGCTGCCGTTCTCCGGCTCCGGCTTGGAGGAGCCACGCGCTTGGAGAGCCATTTTGGGACCCGAAAGAGTTGTACTGAGTACATCTGAGTACCAAAAACCTGCAGCGTTTCGGGGCTAAGGCTGTCAGATGACTCCACGACCTGAAGTGACTTTTAGAAAGGCCGACAGCCACACTGCCTTTTGAAGGTCGAGTGGTGAGTTGTCGGCGGCAAACGGACAGATGGAGGAACTCCTCCGAATTTTCATGGACCGCGCGTCCATCCCTAGACTCAAGGCTGCTCGTCTACTCGTAGGCTTCTTAGGTTAAAAAGAGGAGTGATCAGCAGCCAAGCAGGGCAGCATGTTCTGCAGGGTTTCAGCGAAGAGGCAGCGGTTGGCCCTGGTGTCCGTGGCTCAAGCTTTATAGCAGGAGAGATTCCAGCAAAGCGCTGGTCTTCCATGGATCTAAACTACTCCAAGTACCAGGCACTCAAAATAATTTCCGGGCTGCTTTTTCCAATCTCTTTGGTGGCAAGGTGCGGCGGATGCCTTCGCATGTCCTTCTGCTGTGCCTCACGCTGGCCGTGGCTTCCGGAGAATCCGAGGAGGGCGGTGTTGAATCGAAGCTGGTTGGAATGAGTGAGACGGACACTGGGTGAATTGCCATGCTTCGACATACGTTTCGATGTCATGACCGCTTACATCCACAACACCAAACGAGTCCTTTGATGAGCTGTAGAGTCCAGTTAACCAGTGACCAGAGGGTTTCAGCTATAGTGCAACCCGGGAGAAGGGGGTTTTCGGCAAAGCTCCGTGACAGAGGCGGCATCTTCATCCTCATCGCACTGGTTGAGGCCGGAAGTCGGAAGATGTCGGAAGCTTGCAGAGCCTCCAAAGCCACCCCCGTTTTTCTTCAACGCATGGGAGGCGGGAGCAGGGCGCCAAAGCGGAGCAAGGCACTGCCTCCGCATCTGAAGGACCCGTTCTGTCCTGACTAGGCCTAGGCTTGCAAGCATTTGCAAGCGCTCGGAGTTGCAGGACAGGCGGCGTTGAAGTCAAAGTCGAGATACACGCAGGCTGGTCACGACTGCTCTCCTTCGGGCTGAAGCTGCAATTCCTTCGAGGTCTCAGCTGCAGGTGCCCTCAGCTCTCATGAGCTGGAGGCCGTCACATCCATGTGGTAGAGATGCTGATTCAACTGGTAGTGAAGAGGCACAGCTTGCCAGACTCGAGAAGCCACGCCAGTTCGGCGGGGATCTCGGCACATCCTTCGACCGTCCTCCCCACACCTGGGAGTCGTAAGCCAAGGTACCTTGGCGGAGCTCGAAGCGGCCGCAGGAGATAAGCTGAGGAGCTTGAGGGGACATCTCGACCGAAGTACTGAGAAAGAGGGACAGGAGAGCCCTGCAAGGATGTGGCAAGTACCGCTGACGGATGCCACCGGCCAGATAGAGGCACGGCAGGGCATGAAAATCAGGGAGGCTCAGTGCAAGGATCAGTGACCGGTGACCCCCTGGCAGAGCGTGGAGACCATCTGGACGCAGCAAGGCGATCCCGGGGCGGCGCTCTCAGAACCTGGCTGCTCTTCTGCTGCACAACCACGAATCCCAGACAGCCTGCTTCACATAGTGCTGGGCTTTCGACTGCACGAAACTTCTACATTCCTGTGACTGTATTGGCTGACCGGGAAATCGGAGTAAACTAGAACTGCTCGTGCTGGTTGCGAGTGCAGCTACCACAGGTGAGTCTCTAGCACAAGCTGCTGTTAGTCAGGAGCAGCTGTAGCTAACGGCAAGTGGCAAGCCGCTGCGTGATTCTCGCTTTGCCCAGCCTGCGGGAGAAGCTGGCACAGTGGGAGTCCAGGGCCCACCGGGCCCGTCAGGACCGCCGGGCCCTCGGTGGGATCGACTTCGCGTAGCACGTTAGCGCTTCAGATGTTGCGTGGTGCTCGAGGCCCGGAGACGATAGCACAGCGTCCGTCGACATGGATTCTGTGGGGCCGGATGGGCAACGCTCTTGGATGCTGTGCGACGGCTGCGCATGTTTCCGCGTCTGCCCACCGTAGGCCACCTGGCCGGGCTGGATCAGAAGGCAAGGACCTAAAAAAGTCTGGCTTTTCAGAGTGTCGTCAGAGGGAACACCCTGAGGTGACATCGGAAAGCCCGGTCCGCAAGGAGATCCTGGCCCTGCAGTTTCCTTAAAAGCCTCAGGGGCCAAACGGGCATCATTGCGTATCACTTTGGGCAACAACCCCCCGCCTGGTCCTTCAGGTTGGTCCACCAGGCTCGATCCGCTGTGTTCCGGATGCGCTTTCGAGACAACGAGCAGGGCAGAAGGGAGTCCTCTGACAGGCAGGCAGGGGGAGTTTAGCGACGAGCAGAAGGCTGAGTTCGTCAAAGGCCTCGGGTGGCGCGGTCTGGGTGCAGAGTCGTCCCGAATTGTGCTGTTCACACGAGCCCCTGTGAGATTTTGCGGTATTCGCATCACCATGGAACTGGCATTTACCCCTGCTGCCGGTACGTTTCCTTGTGGATGACGGTGATGATGGTGGTCAGGACCATGATGATGATGGTGAGCATGACGAAGGGATGACAATGATGTGGAAAAAGAAGGAATTTCGAGCGTTCGCAAGTTGTTTAGCCTGGGAATCGCAACGGCATCTTCCTCGCTGAGTTACCGACTGAGATTTCTTACCGCCGACCTCATGTTTTTTCCTTGACTTTCTGGGCCATCGGATCCGGTGCCCTGTCCTTGTTTTCCGGCTGCGCAGCCATGATCAGCTGTATCCGGTTCCGATCCTTGGCCGCGGAGCTGAGTGAAGGTTCTGCTTTCTCCGCGTAGCTCAATGAACCGCTTGCCTCAACGAAGCAGAGGAATGTGAGCATTGCAACGGTTACGAAGGAGGGAGAACCTCAGGCGGTAATTAATGAAATTGTGATTGCTGTGAGTAAATCACTGCGACAACGCAACAGTCTGAGCCGTCGATCTAGAAGCATTGGTGCCTTGGTCGTGGCGGTTCGTACGCGTAACCTGGAAGAGAGAGAATGCAGTCCAACTCGATCCTTCGCTGATGCAGTTGTGCGGCAGCTGAACAAAGCCGTGAAGCATGCGGTCCGTCAGCCATGGTTGCCATGCTTTCTTGCCGTCTCGTTAGGCACCGGGACCAGACTTGTATAAGTTGTGGCCAGGCAGAGATGGACATGATCGAGAACACAGTGCTGAATCGCAGGCCGCGGCAGCCCACGTGCATGCGTCGTTCTCACGCCAGACCTTGTGTCCACATGTCGGAGAGGCTTCAAAGGCTGAAGCAGCACTTCTTGAAAATGCAGGCGCAGTGAGTTCCAATGGCCCAATTCAGAAATCTTCGCATGACCACTCGGCAGGCTAATCTGACAATGGCGGAGCATATACTGATGGAGCAGACAAAGCAGGCCGCCTCCCTAACGGTTAGTTTAGGAGTGAGTTTGTTGGCCCACGGACACGATCGCCAGGTCGAATGGAAGGTCAAGAACTTCCTGAAGACGGACGTCAAGGTAAACAAGACCATTGCAGCTGCCAAAAAGGTAAAGGACTCCACCAGCATGGCTGAGGAAGAGCACAAAAACCTATGAGGGTCTATCCAGCGGCTTGCGATGCTTTGACTTCGTCCAGGCGTTGCAAGGCCTGCAAGAGTGGGGTTCACCCATGTCGAGGACACCGAAGTGCAGATTTTGGCAGAGGAGGAGAAAGTGAAGGACGAGGTGCGCAGGTTGTCGATGGACTTGGAATCTACCGTCGCCTTCTTCCCCTCGCCTTCTTCACCTCTGCAGATTGTGGAAGCCACGGCAAACGAAGCTAGCCAAGCAGAGAAGACCGTCTCCGACACGATGGCATCGCAATCCCAAGGCGGATTGTGCTTGCAGCTTTGCTCGCATGTCAGCTTCCGGAAGTCATGCAGCGGCTCGGCAGGTGCCTGACGAACGGGAGCTGCTCTTGCCATTTCAAGCTGCAAAACAGACATACGGTTCCTGAGTGCGCGAAGAGGGTTGGTGACAGTGTTGCAATGTGCAGCCATGAAAGAGGCAACTGTTACTTCGGCAGACATAGAAGCGGATCAGGCGAATTTTGTAGCACTCAGCAGCATGCGCAGCTTCCTAGCAGCAGTCGCGTTGATGCAGGCCGGGTACTTCAGATGCATGGGGAACCCGACACGACGGCAGCCACTTCCACCATCTCAGTGGGCTATTCAAGCATTGCATCGCGTGATGGCTTCAATCACTCTTCTGCCTGCTTGCTTCTAGGCGCTAGAGAGTTCTGTAATGTTGAGCGGATCACCCGATGTTGAAAGCAAGTCACAACAACTGTTTAAATTGAGGTACAGCGAAGCTGTTCCGAGCCAAGCTTCCGACAGCGTGATTTAGCCAATTCTAGCCACTACAGCCACGACCAGCCCGCAACCCTGCACAGCCACCTCTACCACTGCGTGCTTGCTGAAGACCAAGCCTTACAAAGCTAGCCATGATCGAGACGTGTAGATGAAAGCACACTGATGACACCACCGCTCCTCCAGTCCAGCCTATCTTGCTGAACATCGCCGATGCAGGCATCGGGTGCTTTTGCCTTCACGTCGCTTCGAGGTGCCAGCTCAGTTCTGCTTCATTCGAAAGCGGTCTTTGGGCTGCAGGCAACCTGCAGACAAACCAGATCACTCTCACGGCTGCCGATGTGCAGGGCAGGAAGGCCAGGGTCGTCCGAGTCTCAGCGGCGTTGTCACCACGTCCACACCTGGCATTGCGCCATCGCTAAGGCCAATGCCGGTGCCGAGTCTTCGTCGCTTCCTGGAAGCGTGTCCGGCCTCCGGTGCTGTGGAAAAAGACAATGTGCAGTCTCGTGCCCCAGTGCCAAGGTTTGCCTGGGCGGCTTGCGGAGTGCTGGGAGCAGCAGCAGCTCATCGCTTCAACCGCAGGCTGACTGTCAGCCGTCAGCTGCTCGTGTTGACAAGCCGTGACTGCTATCCCGCAGAGTCCGCAACATGCGTAAGATCGAGAACGGTTGGAAGAGTGCAAGGGAGCGCAGCCGGGCCTCTGCGAGCCCAGTTGCTTGCCGAGCACGGCTCCCAAGCTCACATCTCGTGAGAGGTTTTCCAACTTGCACCTCGTTTTCGTTTCGGCTGAGGCGAACCCTGTTGCCACGTGCGAGACTTCCATGGGAACGTTCAAGGCATGATGCGTCGTCCGCAGATCTTTAAGGAGATGCCCGCTAGCCTTGGCGGTAGAGAGCTCTGCGTGTGGCCAACATCTGCATTCACTGTCGCTGGACATGCAGGTAGAGCTGTACATGGACCAAATGCCTCTAACTGCCTCAAATTGGATTGATTTGGCTCTCCGGCACGACAGATCATGGCATTTCGGACAAGTTTCGGAGGAAGGTTGCATGTCTCTGTGAGTCGTTGTGTAATGGCACCACATAAGGCGAAGACCGGATTCTATGACGGAATCCACTTCCACCGAGTCGCAAGAGGCCCAGGTAGAGCCGGCACAGGCGTCACGGGAATTCCAACACGGTAATGGGTTTGCACGCCGAGATTCCCAACTTTATGTGCCAGTTCGGCTGCCCGTGCCTGCCTCAGCACATCACCTGAGCCTCCCAGAGCCTGCCGCCTCGCACCATCTCTTGGGGTGAGGAACGCGAAGGATCCTCGAAGCCCTAGGGCTGGCACCGGCGGCCCGCCAGATGGAAGCTTTGAGGACCCGTGCCGAGAAACCGGCCTTGCAGTAGGCTCCTTGCAGACTCTGCGGATCATCGCAGGTCCTGGATGGTTCCGGCCGAGAGGCTCGCCGCTCAAACGGAGGCTGCCCCCATGGCCTGCTTGAGGGCTTCGCCGTTTTGGAGCTGTTGCCGACAGGGAACATCGAGGATGAATTTACTGCCAAGCTTGGCAACGAGCCGGGCACACTGCCACTTGGAGCCAGGAAGGGCGGACTGCGCAGTTCAAACGACAAGGCATGCCTCACACCGAGGTCCATGGCCAACACAGGGCGCCCCAACTCCGGCGGTTCCCAATTCTTCATCAACGTGAACAACAACAGTGGCCTTGGCAAGTTTTCCGATTTCTGCACGCGAAGCTTCTGAAGAGAGCCTTGCCAGGCTTCTTGAACTGGTTCGACCGATCTTCGCCATCGGCACATCCGGTGTTTGGCAAGGTTGTTGAGGGGTGCGCTCGCACAAGCTTTGGAGCTGTAGAGAATGAGGATGCCAAAGCAGAGTAAGAGGCTCTGTTGGCAGGGTCACGCCGGTCTACTCGCCTTCAAATAGATTTGCCCACGAAGTTTCTCCTCTGTGGGATGCTAGAAGTGCAGCAGGTACGACCTCATCGAAAAAATCTCCCAGGTGCGGACGACAAACGTGGGACTCCAAGATTGACATTAGACATTAACAGTGCGAGTTTATGTTCTCTCGCTTCGTAGGACTGCCCGAATGACCCGGTCCAGATGATCAAGATCACCGTTGAGGGAGCCTAGACAAGCCCTGATCTCTTGGAGCAGGCGGGTGCGCGTGCACCCCCGGACCTGCGGTACTGCGGTACATGCATCGTGCATTACGACTTATCATGCGGAGTAGGAATTCTGGACCTCAGACCACCTGAGAGAAAGAGGCTCGACTCTCTGATGCAGGCTACGTTACCTTACCTGCTGGCAGCTGGAGCCAGGGGGCTAGAATAGGTCGGCTTGCTACTTTGCTAGTGGATATCGACTTGATTTGAGGCCACGGGCTTAAGCTCAAATTGGAAAGCATGCAAGGCCATCCAGTAGTTGGCGTTTCTGGTGACATCACGCTTGCAGCATCTCGCAGCACACCCAGGAAAGGTACATACAGCATTGACATAGCCGTCACGGAATCCAGAGCAAACCCACAGCCACTTCAGCCTGCCGAGCGCCGTCAGCGAAGTGGTGGGAGGAGAATGCCCAAGCACGGTCTTCCCGGCCTGTGCTTTCCGGCTTAATCTGTCCTGACCACACAAGATCGCAGCTACCTATGCCTCTTTTGCAGCCGCAATCGTGATGTGGCTTCGTTTGTTGGAGCGGAAGCTCAAGTAGCAGATTATGCGAAGAGCGCAACAAACGGCCTGAGTATGGCGATATTTGTTGGGTAATGTAACGACGTCTCACACGTCTGCAAAGGTCCTGCACTCGTGCTGCATCATGAGCTGTTGAGATGTCCGCCAGGTTGCTGTCTCGGCTCTCCGCCGAGCGGGCGGAGTCTTGTCGAGGCAAAAGCTTACAGCATCTTGCGACCGGAAGGCTGCAAGGAACTGCCTGCAGGCGCGCCGGGCTGAGGACCTGAGCTGCTTGCCGAAGGAGCGCAGTCGAAGTCCAAGCCAGGGCCCCAGCTTGCGGCTTGCGCTGGATTCGCTTACTTTGGGAAAGGCACCGTGACTGAGGCAGGACTTGCCAGCCCAGCCTGCTGTCAGCCACGTCCCAAGCCACCTGGCGAGTAAGCAAACAAAGCACGCCAGCAATCCGAAGGTAGCTTGCCCAGAGACAGATGCCGACCATGGACCTTTGGCATGCCTGTCGTGTTTTGGAGAAGGATGCCAGGGCGTTCTCCAGCTCTCCTTGTGGTGCCAGGCGGACGGCCTGCTGCCTCTTGCAGTTTGCAGAGCAGTGACGCGAGTCATCTGGTCTGCTGCCAGAGCACAGGTCAGGTGGAGTCGCCGTGCAGTTCGTCTGGAGTCTCCGTTTAGAAGCGCTATGTCACAGGCAGAAGCTGATCGTGCTCAGAAGCAAGGCCGAGAGTGCTCGGATGTTGTTTCAGAGCAGCTAAACTTTCGTTCGCAGACGCGGAATGGTGGTACTGTCTCGCCATATCTGCAAGCATTGGCTACGGGAGCTGTTTGTGCTAATGTCTTCTCCATGCAAGACAAGGCAGCCCAGCATCACAAGAGACTGTGTTGAGGAAATACGTCAAGGATGAGCTCAGCTCAGCTATAGCTCTGCTACAGCTTTGCTTCTCTATCAAAACAGGGAGACCTCCCAGCGCTGCCATGGAGGATCTACAAGCCGGTGTTCGTAAGGCAGCAGCACAGCGAGCAGAGCACTTACCACTAAGCACTTATCATCACCGTCTCTGCACCTGAAGGCCAAGAGCCTGCAGATGGACCCCCAGCCACTGAGAGCAGCCGCCGGGCGGCTGAAGTCACAGGTGCAACGAAGAGATTTCAAACCGCAGTTCCTTCGAAACGGAAATCGAGTTCTGAAGGTTGACTCCGGACGTCTTCCAGGCGTCATGACTTGCGCGGTGAAGGAGGGTACTGTCATCCACTTCGAGGCACACTCTGCAAGGCACTTCCGGACTAGATCCAAACGCATTCTCCCGCAGGCCCACGGTTTTTCAGACCTGGCCGGCCAAGTGGCCATGAACTCTCAGACGCTGTTCCGGCTCTACTCCCAGACGAAGCCAGTGCTGGTGATAGGCTTCCTGATCCTCTTCGAGCGCGGTGAAGTCCTTCTCGATGATCCGGTTGAGAAGTATTTGCCGGAGTTCAAAGATGCAGCAGTCGGCCCGCAAAGAAAACCACTGTTGCGCCCGATACTGGTGCGCGACCTGCTTGCTCACACAAGCGGAATTGGATTCGGGCCTGGCTTTGGTGCCTCGGTTGTCCGAGTTGCATGCTGCCTGGGTATGAGAAGACATGGCACAATGAGAAACACCCCAGAACTCGTACTGCTCCAAACCGTTCCCTTGAATCCCAGTTGGGAGTTTCCGAAAATGGGGGACCCTTGTTTAGTACCTAAATAGTAGGATCCTCATTATAAGGGCCCCCGAAATGCGGTATCCCTAATCTTCAGAAACTCCCAGTGAGGCTACGAGGCCGAGAACGACTACGAATCGACCTATGTGGAGTTGGTGAGAAAGGTAGATGCCGGGGAGATCCATTCTCTGGCAGAGCCAAAGCTGCGACAGTACTGTTGATGATGTAAATCCTGCATTACCCACAATAAGGAATATACCATAATTCCCATAGTCGAGGGTCCTTAATGTAATGCAGGATTTGTACCATCAATCGTAGTACCGCGAGCGCCTGTTTAAGCCCGAGGAATGGTGTGGTGAGCTGGCCAAGATACCCTTGCGGTTTCAGCCCGGCAAAGACTGGGGATATGGCTACAGCTCAGATGTGCTGGGAAGGTTGGGGCTTCTTTTCCTAGAGGGCTGTATATATCTGCTAAGTGATGTTTTCTCCAGAGGCTCATCGAAGTGCTCACGAAGAAGCGGCTGGATGACTTTCTCAGGGAGGAGGTGCTGGAGCCCTTAGGCCCGGGCAGCGGACCCGCTGACCGCTGAGTTGGTATGGAAGCCGCCTTGCCCTGCACGGCAGCATGCAGGGATGGCCAGCACCTTCTTTGCAGTTCCGGAAGACCAGGCTGCAAAGCTTGCAGCACTTTACAAGAGGCAGGTTCCAAGCTTGAAGCTACCAGCTGACTTCAGCATTCAGAACCGTTGCAGCGACATGCAGCGACTTCGATTCCAGCAATGCCATGCTTGACGGTGTTGCGCACAGGGAACCCTGGCATGGGAAAGCAAAGACCGTTCGCTTCGTGACTTCGGATGTGGGCGGCAGCGGCATTATGGAAGACCTGTCCAGAAACGTGCTGGCGAGGCGTTCGACGTTGCCAGTATCAAGAGTCTTTTTACAGTGTTTACAAAGACTGATGCAAGACTCTGGCAGTCTGGCAGGCCTGAAGTGGACAAGTCATCCGTGCATCCCATGCCAACCTCTGTTTTTCTGCACGGTGGGCCGGCATCGAAGGACGGGGGATCAGTGAAAGGTCTCGTGATTCTGCTTGTCCGCATGGAGAGGTCATCCAGGGTGGCGGCTGCATCTGTAGTGTTGCAGGCAGGGCTGCTGCTGCTGATACGTAGCATCGTCCACTCGATCATTCGTTGGGCATCTCCGTTTGCAGATACCTGGTGACATGAGCTGCGAGGTGGGCTTGTCAGCAACCTTGCCGATTGCTCGCGGTTCTTCCAGATGATTGTCAACAACGGAGAGGTGCGCGTGCCCCCTCGCGACATTCTGCACACTGTGTCGCCAGACGGGTGTCTGCTATCTTTCCGTGCTCAGCTGGATGGTGTGCGACTTCTCAAGGCCGGCGTCCGGAGCCCAGATGAGCCCAGGAGCCCAGGTCCGGTTCAAGAGTCGTGGGCCCTGGGCCGTTTCCAGAGCGTACAGCCAAGACTGTGCAGCTGCTCGGGCGTGACTGGTTGAACGAGTTCACCACTGAGAAGCGGAGGTGGGAAGTTCTGCAGCACTAGCCGTGGCCGAGCGAGCTGCAGCAAAACCATGCAAAACCAACGCCCAGCCGCAAGCAACATGCAATGCTTGGGATTCTCCCAATCAGGCGTCCGCTGTGGGTTTGGAACACGCCTGGCATTGGCTTTTCTCCACTGGGCCAAATCGGTGTCAAGTTCAAGGGTGCCAACCGCCGAACAGCGGCTTGACGTTCTCGGCCTGTCAGACCGGCAGTGGCAGCAGTTTTTCCGCAGAAGCAGTCTCAGTCGCAGCTCTTTCAGGTGGGGTCGCAGCTGCACACCGTGCACTGGGGTGGTGCCTTGCTGGCCAATTGAAACTGGCACACAGCGTCATGGAGACTTAGTCGATTTGTTCTCACAGTGGAATATCTATGCACTCGACGCGAGCAGCACTGCAACGCAGCGAGGTGCAGGTGGATCTGGCTACATGCTCAACTGGCCCCATAGATTGGTCGTCACTTGCTGCATTGGCAAGGTCCCTTGAAGCCGTCGCCGACGTTCTCCCTGAAAAGGTGCTGACCTACAGCGGAGTCGTCTTCGATACCGATACCCAGAAGACGATGTGGCGAGCAGCCTTTGGCTCGCTGCGAAAAGGCGGCGCAAAACCGGCCAACTACTCAGAGGGAAGTTGCGACGATGTGCAGCTTTCGCTTGCAGAGCTGAGGTGGCCTCAGCCCCCCAAGAAGAGAGCAAGGATCCATGGGGAAGCCTAATACTCTTTTGTTCTGGCACTGATGTAGTTTGTTTGTATTCACAAGCCATGTGAGCATGCTACCGTACTGCCTCCTTGTGCACGTTGCCAGGACACCACGACTCCTGCCAAAAAGCGCAGAGTCTCGCGTTGAGCGCCAGATTGTTAATGATGCCACGCCTGTGGCGGAATTAGTCGTGGGTTTGACTGCTGAAGACGTCGACTTCCCTCACACAAAGGTAGAGCCTTCACAAGTCCGAGTGTGTCAAAGTCCGTCACAAGGCAGACAGGCTGGGAAAGCAGCCAAAATCAGCTGCAGTGTTTGCTGCAGTTTCGAGTTGGCTGCTGGGCATAAAACTGCCCTTCAAGCACCGTGCAGCTGGGGAAAGCTTGCGGAAGTTGTGCCGAGCAACAAATTCCTTTGCAGCGGAGATGCAACACAGGGCCACAGCAGGCTGATCTCACGCTGTCTGATTGCAGGCGCAGTCGCGATTCAGAAAGGAAAGCAGGTGCGTACACACAATCAAGTGATTGGATGTCATCGAGTCATAGCTGCCTGCATCGGATCTACTTAGAATCTACGTACTTGTAGCTGGGCGACCAAGGCCTGTGACGCTTCTGCCTCTGCCTTCCCCATGACGCTGGGAGCAAGTGAGTGCGAAGCTCGAACAGCAGAGCTTGCAAAGCGCCCTTGGTGGCGCACGGCTGGACAGGCCGAGCCAGACGCAGTCCACTCAACCCGAAGATGTCCCATCCAACTCGGAGGAGGTCGGTCGAGAGTTGTTTTTGCCTCAACTACCTTACAGAGTCGATGTTGCAGCTGCCGAGGTAGTACGCCTAGCGCTTTCAACCTTAGCATCGGCACTGGCCCAGGCTTCAGAGTTGGAGAGCCGAACTTACCTGTGGGACTTGCAGCAGTGGCAGAAGCATGATGCAGGCCAACGGCTGGCACAGCGAGCGTCTTGGTCCTGCCCTTTGCGCGGCGCTGCGCAAGGAGGGCACTACCAAAAGGCACGCTGTCGGCTGTGAGTGTATATGAAGGCCCCGTGACTGCCTGCGGCCTGCCAGGCCACTGGCAGCATGTGCCACTGGCTCACCTGCAGAGGACGCTCATAGAAGCCCGTAGATGCATGGCATTGTGCAGGACGTGATCGCGCCATGCAACACCAGGTTTAGGGTGCCTGCCGCAGGATGTGGTCTTGGCGCGTGTCCGTACTTTGTCCCTTTGTGCTGTGGCCTACTGGCGCGAAGTGTCGCAGGACTTTCACATGAACTAGCAAGACTCACGGCTGAGCTTCTTTGAAGTGTCAGAGTGTCAGGACCTGGGGCGGGCTGCCTCCAGCCTGTCGCGCTTCCTTGAGCAACAGAGGCCGGTGCTGCTGGCACCTGCATTTGCAGCAAATGCTCGCCTTCAGTGGCCGGGAACGTACAGGCACCTTTATTGGAAGAGGCCTCCCTACAGAGGCGGGAGCCTTTGAAGTCCCCTTCCTACGGTCCCACGGTGTTTTCTGGTTGCAGAGCCTCAGGTGTGAATCTCGGTGGCTGGCTGCTGCTAGAGCCCGGGCCCAGTCACGAGCTCTTCCAGACCTTTGGTCCGGAGGCCACCTGCGAGCCCGGAGCCCCGGAGCCCAGCGCAGTGTCTAGCGTTGTTTCAGGTTCGGCCAGAGGGTATTTGCCACTTGCCACGACAAGATCTAGACTCTGATATCTCTGATATCGACTCTCACGGGCCGGCGAGCTTGAGAGCATGACCAGGATGGCCTCCCCTCATCCTCCAGCCTTACGTGAGAGCAACATTCAGTTTCATCAGTCCTTCGCATCTCCCTGCCACGGATAATGATTTCTGTTGAACGGCCCTCGTGGAGTATGTCGGTGCAGTCTGAGGTGGCGGCTGCTTGACAAAATGCGCAAGCATTTGGGCACACAGAAAACCACAGAGGCGATCCAGGCATGCCCATCTCTTTGCCCGCTCAATGCGAACATCTTGCTCATGATCGTATCGTGACTGCGCCGTGGCAGCCCTCAGTTTTCACAGGGGGACGGCATGCCGGTGCCTGACAGGCCCACCGAGCGAGTTTCGTTTCCGAAGAGGACTTCCGCAACATCCGATCGATGGGCTGCGATCTCAACAAAACGTGGAAACGGGGATCTGTGAAGGTCATTGCGTCGAGCTCCCGGAAGTCCTAGCAAATCCGGCAGATGTAGTGATGTGCAGGTTTCAATGCAGTGCGCATCCCGTTCGGCTACTGGATAGTGACTGGCCCCGCCACACACTTGGGTCTCTCTCTCTCTCTCTCTCTCTCTGTCGTGCCCATGCGGTATCCACAAGACTGTGCAAGGCTAAGGGCGAGCTGTACGTTGGCCCAGGCGCTGGGCTCAAAAGTGTTGTTTCCTAATCCATGCCTGAGCGGCCCTGGCTAATGCTGTACTTAGACCTACACTATGAGGAAGGGACTCGTTGTTGAGGCTCGCATCTTCAGCCGAAAGCCCAAAAGCACCAGACCGCAAACCCACACTTCTTAACCCTAGCTTACTTCGTACATGGGCTAGCAACAGGAACCATTCAGGAAATCAGTTGCCATGCTATGTAGTCTTCTCATTGCAAATCGTATTGAACCTGCTGTCTCTTGTCATGATCTTGGTTGGCCCTTATAGTTACAGGAATCGATTCTGTCAGGGTGTCAGTACCTCGAGGTGAACTTCCAGAGCGATTCCAGAAGTACTTCCTGTAGTGGAGGCTCAACTTTTAGGGAGATTCCAGACAAAATAATCAGGAACCCCCAACATAGTATAAGCAACTGTTAGTCCTTCTGTGAAATGTCACGGGCCTAGGACTGGACTTCCTGGATCGGGCGCTGACCTGGTGCCAGCGGTTGGGGTCCAGTCCTGAGAAGAGTCTTTACGGTTTGGGTTTAGGGTTTAGGGTTGTGGGCTTAAGGGGTTGCTTGTTCTATTTAGGTTTCGGAAGACGCTGTGAGGGCCCGCTTGTGCATGCACAGCTGTAGGTTTTATTCTGCACGCCCTGTTCGATGGTGGTTTCACCATAGTGGTACTGCATGAGCATGGACAAATGACAAACGAAGAGACTGGTATGTTGTACATGCAGTCTGCAACGGTACAATATGAGATAGTATATTATGATGTGGTCTAAGGTGATTTTAATAATGTGACAGAGTATGACACGATGACTTCAAGCGGTATAATATTATAGGGTATGATACATTATGTTACAATATGGTCTAGTTCGATGTGATACAACATCGTGCAGCATGACATATTGTAAGATACTACAACCTGGCATAGCACAACAGAAGATGGTAATCTGTTATGCAATAGAACATCATAGAACATCATCGAACACACGGGAACAAACGTCAAAAGCATATACGATACGACTATATTGGTATGAGATATTGAAATACGAAAGCGTGCAGTGTAGTATCAAAGATTGGAATACACAAAACCTGCATGTTCTTTTGGTATACTACCCATCTACCTATCTACCTGCCTGTCTAATTACATGTATATCCATTTATCTACCTGTCTGTCTATCTATGTAACTACTTGTCTACTTGCATATCTGTGTCTCTGTCTACTCTATCTATGCTGCTATCCATCTATCTACCGATCTATCCATCCATCTAACTATTGCTCTGTCTATCTGTCCGTCTACAACCCGCCCTGTCGATCTGCCTGTCTATCTATCTATATATCTATCTACATACATGTTCCCAGGTGCACATGCAGGAAACTACGCAACTGTTTTAGCAGTTCCAAGACTATGACTATTTCACGCACACAGATCATTCTTGTAGTGGTAATCGGATTCAGAAATGCAGTGAGCTTGATGACAACATGAATCATGACCAACAGACACGACATGCAAGGCTGAAACTCATCAGTTTATGCTGCTGCCGAGGATGGTTATACTGCCGGGAGTAGTATTCGTGGAAATCAAGACTCTGAGAACAGTGGTGACCCGTGGGGTCGTAACACTGGGGCCAGCCATGTAAACGGTAGCGGTCGTGCTAGCAGGGCTCGCGATTGTAACAAAGATGAAACGAGGAAAATGCTATGACGGCATCGGTAGTGAGAGGAGTTGCAATTAGGAAAGGACACATTTCTAGTAGTAGATTCTGGACATTGACAAACTATCGCCGAGACCAGTATCAGCACCAGCTGCGACAATCAAACTAGAAATATCAAGCAAGGGGTGGCGCGGATGCAGTGGTACTAGTGGTGGAGTGTGGAAGTGTGGTGGATGGTGGTGGTGGCAGTAGTCGTTTCGTCGTCGTCGTCATTGTCGTTGTAACAGCAGTATTGCCGAAATTTGTCGTGACTTGAATTCGAGTGTCAATGTTGGTGTATAGTCACTTAGTTGCAGTGACGAGAAAAGGCAGGGGCGTTGTAGCTAAGCAATCGTAGCAGGAGCAAAATTAGTAATTAGTGCCAGTTAACGAAGCAGTCATGGTATCAAGAACCAAACTAGAAGTTCCGGCATTGGTCATTACAACACGAACTTAGGGCGCAGAAGTTCGATAGTAGTGCAGCTCAGGAGGCTCAGCAGCGAAACATGATGGTGCCTTCATTATGACTGATTTCGTATGTGCCCGGCCCTTTGCGCACGGAGGCTCCAGGTTCTTCTGGATCTTCATGGGGCTCCTGGTGGTGAAAGCACGAGCCCTGGATGGCTGGAGTGTTGCGGGGTCCTGATAATATCCTGATCTCGTTGCACAGGTGGCGAGAAGCCCTGTGGACGAGAGCGCAAGGCCTCCGGCAAGAGAGCAACAGAGGCTTCAGTGGTCACTTTGGGATTTTGTGAAAAGGATTGGAGATGGGAGCACTGGCGGCTCGATGAGTCTATCGAGGCCAGCATGGGCAGGATCAGCCTTCGCTTGCATGTTCAGCCGTCCCTAGATTCCAGGCTCTGAGAGTCATTGCGCGACGCTACAAAGGCCTTGCCATTGTTCAGAATGCCACGTTGTTGCGTTTGTAGCTTCGCAAGAGTCCGATACAGGCTAATCTGTCCAAAGTGCTTACAACAGCGCAGATGGGCCTAGCGCCACCAAGCAGCGGATCATGTTGGCTGTTTCTTGAGGCCACCCTGCGGTGTCCGGCATAGCCGTCTGCAACGAACCCAGCGAGAAGGCTCCACACCAAGCGCAGCGTCCGATCCGAGACCCTCGGCCTCCGGCCGGGATTCCGGCAGCCGAGGTGCCAGCTGATGTGCTTTGCCAATTCTATGACGAGGCAGCAAGACTTTCCAGATATGCCAGCGTGCCTTGTTCAATCGGCTGAAGGCAGTTCGAACCATTCGAACCTTCATGCCGCCAGATGAAGTCAGCATCGTGTCCAAAGCCCGGCTCGGATGTGGGCAGATCGTCTGATGCTGTCTTCGGAAAGGTTTACGGAAGGGATGTGTAACCTAAGGTTGCCAGTGTACAGGACAGAGCGACTAGATGAGGCCATGTCGACGATTCAGCTGTTGTCCTGTGCGAGAATATGCAAGCTGCTGTTTCTTGATTCTTGAGATCTGGCGACTGTGGAACCGCGTCTTCGACGGCTTCGCCAGCCACGCGAACGTGGCCTTTGACCTCCACTTGTACCACTGCTCCTTGGCTGCAAAAGGGGCGTGGCGCGGAAAGAATGCCTGGCGGAAGCAGGCTTTGGCGCTTGGTGGCAACGCCAAGGGCTGGGAAGTCACCTGAGGCGCGGAGAAGCGAGCTGCAAGCTACCCGTACTACACTACATGCCGGTGTGGACAGGATGACCAAGCGCCATCGCAAGATTCTTCGGCGCGTGTCTGCCCCCAAGAATTTGAAAGAGAAAGCGGCGCTGCCTTGGCCGTCCTATGGCTTCTTGTCAGCTGAGGCCGGCTGTGGTTGGCGAGTGGAGCCTGGCTCTGCCCGACAGGGCACTTGCCCAGACGGACATAGAAGAGGCCACTGGGTCACTCGGCCACTCTTTTAGGGCCTTTGGGATTTGGGTCGTTTTAAACATCATCCGAAGCTTCTCCGCCCGGAGGCGCAGGATCAGGCTTACAAAGCCTTTGCGGCCGCACAACTGGATGCCTACAGCGTCATCCTGAGAACAGGTAACTCTGTATCAGACCTGAAAGATGTTTGTGTCTTCAGGCCACGCATCCCATGGCTGGTTTTTCTGGAACTGGTGCGACTCTCCAGCCCACCATCCAGGCTCGAATGGACACAGCAAGCCACGTGGAGTGAACTGAGTAACACGGCACAGTAGCGCCGCATGTGTGCATGCATGTGCTTTGTGCCAGTTGCAGCACGTTCTGCGCAGATGGCAGTTCTGGACTCCTAGCAAAGAATGCAACACAAGGTATGCCGCATGCGGTGTGTCAGCACATGGTAGGATGTGAATTGCCACCTCATGTTCCCGCTCGCGGCGGATTCAGCTGCTCTTGCAATCTTCGCGTCTCAAGTTATAGTTGTAGAATCACGTACGTTCTTGGCCGACGGACATGTCCCCGAAGTTTACATGCATTCACCTGTCACTCGTCGTGTTTGCAGGCTGGGATGCCCGCACGTGCTTTCAGCGTCATTGGTTGGCTCAGGCTTGGACTGTTGATGTCGTGCAGCCGTCAGCCATCCCCCCGAGCCCTGTGTGAATCAGCCCCCGGCGCATCTTCGATGATCCCCGAAGATCAGCCCGTGGGCCAGGCAGATCTGTGCAAAAGCGGAGCCGGATGCCGAGCTGCCGAGCGTCCATTGAGCTGCTCTTGTCTTTGGGTTCTGCATCGCTTCTTGGGTCCTCGGGGGACTGAAAGGCGCCGCTGATTCCTGTTGGAGGTGTTTGAAGAGCACCTGGGGCATTGCGTGGCCGACTCGAAACGCCGCCGTTTCGACTGTTCCCTTTGTGTTGCAGTTACACGCCCAGGTCGACTGAGGTTCGTCGTCGTTTGAGGCCCGCTTTCAATGAGGCCTCTCTGCATGTGAAAAGTGTCACAAATTGTTCAGATAGTCGAATCGTAGTAGCAGTTTTTGGCGGACGCCGCCAGACTTCATGAGTTTTCCTCTAACACAATCTTGGGGAAGTTGGCTTGGGGCATTCATGAAGTCTTGCCATCGATCTCCGAAGCGTGGCATGTCGTCAATGTCGGGTCTGCATGGATTGGGAGATCTGAATGACCGGGACTGGACGACCTGCTGCAAGCTTTCAAATTCATGCATCCCATAGCGTTTAACGCCGGTGTCGCAACGGCATTGCCTAAGCGCCGTTAATGCTCTTCGCAACGACGAGGCTGTGATGATGTGTTGCAATGGGGAAGATGAATGGCTTGTGAATAAGAGCCGTGCAGTTCGGCATAACTTGGAACAAGTAGCTACTGAGACCTCTGTGATCGGCGTACATGTGAGTCCATCGTCCATCCACCATGAGAGTGCATAATGTGCCTCAAGCTTGTGAAACGTTGAAACGGTAAACTTGCACGGGCTGCATGTGCGTCACCGAAGTTTCGGCTTTCCAGATAACATAGAACCAGCAAGACGACGTCTCGGCAACTGGCATGCAGTGGCTTTGTCATTTTGCCGTGCAGTTGAGTGGGTTTCCGTGAAGATTCTGTGAAGATCTGCTGCGGCTTAGGCAACACGCCTGCAGAGACATGGCCTACTGCACTGTTCCGCCCACCATGCAATACTCAGCAGATGCCTTGGAAGAACACTGCGCCATGCAGCACCTGTAACCAGAGACTGTGTTTTTTCTGTGTATGATCCAGCAAGGTCAACGTCGATCCGTCCCAGATGATGCATCAGCAGGCACAGGTGCGCGATGTTTCCGGGACTTGGGTCTGTCATCAGACCTTAACTTCTCTGCATGAGTTTGTTTGGACATCTGTCATGCAACTAGTGATGCTCAGCTGTCGTCTCCACTCTGGGCAACGTCTCCCAATGATGTGCCACAGCCGGGGGCTTGGAGGGTTTGTCACAGTGCTGCTGCAGCCAGTGCCAAAGAGATTCACGTATGCTCGCGTGTGCAGTGCATGTGCGAACGCACCGAAATCCTTGGATGTCTACAGGTACAGACAGGCGCGGCATTTCAATGGACAGGAGATTGGAACGGACAATAGTTACTTGCAACAAAGCTTGCCGACTTGCAAGACTTATGTCAGGAGACGTCTGCCAAAATGGCTCTGCCATTTTGGCCCAAGATCGTGGACCGTGGGTCCTTCAAAATTTGAAACCGCTCCCGCTTTCTCCCTTGCGACTTTCGATCATGGCACTCACCCCCGTTGCTAATGTCGATGACGTCTTGGCCTCCAGCATGGAGACGGTTGAGAGTTTGATCCCCCCTCGCGACACAGGGGACAGTGATCAGGAATGGGAGAAGCCGGACGACGAAGTTGCCTTGGCTCGTGCTACCTTGGCCCACAATGTCCATGCCCACGAGGATGAGTCGGCCAATTCGGCATTGGCTTCCTTCACGACTTTGGAGGTGGATGACACCAGCATGGACTTGCGACTCCAGGAAATGGAAGCTGCCATGAAAAGGCTGTTGGCCAAGGGCAGCGAGATGGTGGCGGTCACGGAGGACACCACCATGGACACCACGGGATCGGAGGTGCCCACCACAGGTGACTTTGTCCCTGAGGGTGCTGCTACTGATGACCCCATGGACAAGCCGGCGATGCCAACCACAGGTGACTTTGTCCCTGAGGGTGCTGCGGCGGACGACCCCATGGATAGGCCCGAGGTGCCAACCACAGGTGACTTTGTCCCTGAGGGCGGCGACACGGTGGCCAAGGATGATGCCACCAGGCCCCGGCCCTACTCGGCCCTGCCCGCCGGCGCCCTGGAGGAGAAGGTCTTCAAAATCGAGGGCTTCCCGGACAACTTCCCCGGCATCGGCAAGAAGAGTGCAGACTGGGCCCAGCAATTGACAAAGGAGGAGATCGCCTCCTTGTTCTCCGAGCTCAAGGCGGAGCAGTGGAGCCGCCCGGCTGTGGAACGAGTCCTTGAGGTGTACCAAATCTACAAACGACAGCTGGCACAGGAGAAGATGCTGGCCGCCCCCTACAACCGTGCTCGCAGAGGAGTGGGGCACAGCAGCATGGGCCAACTTGACCCGGGCAGCACGGGGGCTACCCTCATGTGCCCGAACTGCTTCTCCGACTGGCAGCGGCAGGACAACAAGGTGGAGGGGAAGTGTAAGCTCTGCCAGAAGTCGGTCATCGCCGTGGACAAGGGCCCGCCTTCGGCAGAGATCAAGCTAGGCCAGTCCTCCTGGCGAATGTTTTGTGGCCGCAAGGGTGTCACGTGGCACACGGATGCAGACGAGGCCCAGAAGGAAGCCGCCTCCGTGGACATTGGCTCCTGGGCCCAGCCGCCACCCAGGCCCACGGATCAGAAGGAGCTGAGCTTTGCCGACCAGGTGCCTATGGCCCTGAGGCTTAGCTTGGCTCACACGGTGGCAACACAGCCCTTCGACGAGGTGCAGTTTGCCGACAAGGAGGCAGGGGACAGACCCCACCTCCGGGGTGATTGGCAACCAAGCCAGGAGACGAGGGCTTTCCATCCCCAGCTGGCGGCGGCGATGGACATCACCAAGAAGAGCTCGGGCCCGGTGGACAAACAGCCCAAGAAGCCCACGGAAGAGGAGTTCTTGGATCACATCAACCCCCAGCTGGATGTGATCGTGGAGATGCAGGCGGGTGCACAGAGTGTCGAGGAGGCAAAGGGTGCGTCAATCCTCCGGCAGCTGGATACAGAGAAGCTTCGTTCCCTCCTTAAGCGAAATTACCTGCAGGGGTCTGGGAACCAGGGCGACGAGTTTTTCGCTGCGCAGACTAGCCTGGAAGAGGCCAAGGCCTCGAACAAGCGCATGCAGGATGAGGGATCCCAGCGCTCCCAGCTCCTTCGGCCGGTGGCGGACTCCATTGATGCCTGGGGCACCCAGCTGCGCGCGGCCCTGGAGATGAACGTGTTCAACCCGGAGTGCCCACTCAAGGATATGGAGCTTGACGACATCGAGGCCCTTAAGGAAAGGTACTTGAACACGAAGTTCCTGCTGAACCAGAGCAGGAATCCGTTCCCTGCCTCTCTTCTGCAAGAGCTTCCCACTTTGGCCGCTCTGCAGCGTGAGGGTGAGCGCGTCGCCCGGGACTCCGGCGAGGGGCTGTCTTCCACAGGTGCCTTTGGCCCTGAGGAGCAGTCCCCGGAGGCAGTTCTGGGAGTTCCGGTGGGCTCGGTCGAGTTCCAGATGCTTCGCCTCAAACGTATCATCGAGCTGCACATGGGGGAGCAGCGCATGATCGGGGGCAGATGGAAGCAGCACCCGGGGCCCCTTGAGCCCCCTACGTGGGCAAAGCCCCTGCCCGAAGGGGAGAAGATCATGCTGGAGATGAGGACACACCCCAGCTCCTTCAGGCAGCCCTTCTTCGAGCCGATTGCCCTCACCATGGAGGAGATTGAGGCACAGGTTGCAATGGGCACGAGGCCCCCCCTGGATAAGATCATCGGCCCGTTCCATGCCGAGGGGGACGGGAACACCCACTGGAGAAAGGAGGTGCAGACGTGGGACTTGGTTAGCCTCTTCTCCTGCTTTGGCCACACCTACTCTGCCAGGCACCTCTACGCGGTGTGGAGCCACCTGCCGATCACCGTCAGGTCCCACAAGAGAGGGGCCAAGAACAAGCAGCAGAACCTGCAGCGACGAGAGGACCACCGGGATTTGATGAAGGAGGCCAAAGAGTTTGTGATTCTGCACGACCTCCCGGTGCCCACGACAAACCAGGAGTGGAAGCAGCTCTACCGCGAGATCGGATCATTTTTCGCTGCCAAGGTCTTCATCAACCGTACGCCTCAGGTGGTCTTGGATCTCCCTGTTGCTGACATCCATGACTCCAAGCAGCACATGCGACTGAGAGCCGTATGTGACGAAAGGATCACCCTTCCTTTGAAGGCCTTCCGCCACTTCCCGGAGATCTACAACATGCTCTCCAACTCGCTGGGTCAAGAGTCGGTGGTGGAGGTCAAGATGGCTTGGCGCTGCAACACCGTTCAGTGGTGGACAGCCCGCCTCAAGCCAGAGTACGCCGGCCCCATCTACCGTAAGCTTGGCTACTCGGAGAGCCACATCAAAGGCCTGCCTTTGGCGCTGAAAGGATCCCCCTGGACCCGGCGTCGGAGCAGGAGCGCGCTCTCCCGCCCATCACCCCGGACAATGTCACGAGCGTGGCCTCGGACGACTACAAGAAGAAGAACACGGGGGATAAGGCGGCCCACGTCTTCTGGGCCAAGATGGAGTGTGACGGGGGAACACAAAGGGAAGTCGGCCCAGCTCCAGCTCATCCTGGACGAGCCCCCCCAGAACCTCTACGAGTCCTGGGTCAAGGACCGGATCGAGTTCTACAAGAGGGTGGAGCCCACGGCGGCCCCCCGTGATCGCTCGCTCTGGGTCAACCCGAGCCTCAGCTCCAGGCTCCGGTTCAGCAAGACGAACCTCATGGGCCAGGTATCCGACATGATCTGGTCGGTGGTGCTCTCCAACCCGGAGCGGGATGGCCTCAAGAAGATCCACGAGCTTGCGGCATCCCGGGTCTGCCCGGCCTGAGCCCTGTTTTTCTTTTTGAACAAGGCATGTGGAGGGGAACCCCTGCCAGGTGCCTATGGCCCTGAAGGGGGTCTCCTCTCCCTTCGGGCTGCTGTAGCTTTCCTTGAGGTCATGTGCCTTGGGCCCTGAGGGGGAATGTCTTAAGTTCTAGTACCTACACTACTCAGGACTTGGGCCATGTCACAGGCCTTTTCTTCGGCAACAGGAATGCCCTCAAGGGGGGGTGGGACCTCCAGGCGCCTTTGGCCCTGATGGTCCCCCCTTTCCCCGACAAGGGAACGACTACTTGCCAGACCGTCGGCCTACAGACCATCGCCCCATGCGAAAACAAGTGCCCTTGGACTGCATTGGTTTTTCTTCTCTCTCTCTCTCTCTCCCTCTTCCCTTCCTCTCCTTCTCCCGTAGTCGCCGTGGCTCAGGATGACTACCTTTGTATTTTGTTGTCCATCTCCCTTTGGGAGGGCCCTTGTCAGGGCCCCTGACCCTCTCATCTCTGCTCTCTTTGAGCAAGGCATCGGCCCCCTTCAGTCGGATGGCGAGATTCTTGCAGGAGTGTTACTAGACCCGATCATCAGGGGGTCGGGTCGCTCCTTCGAGGAGGAACAAGTTGATGTGACACGTCCCTGGGGGCAGGAAATTGTGGATTTCATGGCCCGTTGTAGGCCTACCCAGGAACTGGATCGTGTACTAGGTGTCCCCGATGGGCCACCACGACCGGTGGTTCTTTCATACCGCCCTACACTGGTCTTCCAGCTTATTGTGGAACGAGCTCTCTCTCTCTTCTCAGGCCCCACGGGGGAGGAAGATGCTCAGGGGATCCTCACCTCTCTCTGGGACCTTTGCACTAAGGTCGCTGCAGGCACTCCCTCTCACATGTTTTCAGAGGTGATCCAACGAAGGGCGGAACTAGACCGCTGTGAGTGGCGCGTACTACGAGAAGGGATCTTGCTGGCCCCCTGCACGGTGAGCCGGTGGCGCCACTGGAAACCGGGGAATGTCTCCGAGCACCATTCTACCAACCAGAGGGCCCTGGAGCGTGGCCTTCGGGAGAAATGGGGGGAAAGGCTCCTCTCTTATCTCCTCCCGGCTGCTGGACAAATCCCGCACATGGCAGCTATAATGCCCTCAGGCACCACTCTCATCTCTCTCGAGCTCAAAGGGGAGTTCATGGATCTCCTGGGTGATGCTAGATTCCGCACCCTCAGAATGAGATGCCTTTCCTATGAAGAGCTCAGGCGCCTTGGCTTCAAGGCCATACCATGGAAGGAACACGACGTTCGTGCCCTCCTCAACACTCTCCGTGATCAGGAGGTGTCTCCTCACAAACTTCAACAGGTGTGGGACACCCTCAAGTGGTTTGGTAAGAAGTTTGGGCTCCTTGCGGTTGACGAGGTCTTTCGGCTCACTGAGAAGAAGAAAGCCCTCTCGGAGTCCCTCGTTAGCACAGTGCACCGTCCGATGCGGAAAGCCCAGGTCCCCTCCAAGTCCTTTGTGGTCCAGGCGGAAGAGGTCGCGGCTCGCCCGCTTTCGAGCTCGGCCACAAGAATCGAGCTCATGGATGCCTTCATCTGTGGCATTGCAAGGTTCCAGCTGGGCTCCAGTGCCCGCTTTAGTGACCTTCAACACACTAGCCCAGATACCCTCAAGGTGACCTCCACAACCATTGAGTTTTCGGCCTGGCAGACCAAGACCCACTCGGCGGTGGCGATTCACAAAAAGCCGGTCCCACTCATCTGCCCGAAGTACTCCTTCTCGGGCAAGGACTGGTGGACTCCTCTCCTCTCCACTTGGCGCAAGCTCTCGGCGACCCCTATGTTTGAGGCCATGGACTACCTCATCCCGACCGTTGGCAAGGACTATGACGGCTTCATTGCCAGGCCCGCCACCTCGCAGCGCGCCCTGAACTGGCTGCGCTCGGCCATGTCTCGGCAGGAGATCGACAAGGCCCTGTGGGAGGGCCTCACCTGGCACTCTTTCCGGGTGTTCATGCCGGACTGCGCCTTCCAAGCACACGTCCCTCGCGACCAACGGCAGTATCTTGGAAACTGGATGGCGGAGAGTACTGCGGATGTCTACACCCGGGAGAAGAGGAACGTGGTCTGCGCCATCTGGGAGAAGGTCACCTCGAACCTAGATCAGATCGACACGGCGGGTACCCGCACTTCAGTCATTGATCTCTCCCGCGAGGAACCGCAGCACCCCCTGGAGATTCCTGCTGCGGTTGCGCTCCCGGTCTCAGGTGCCAGCGGCCCTGAAAGAGGGAGCCCTCCGCGTTCAGTGAGGGATTCATCCACTCCTTCTCGCCATGCAGACAGCCCGGCGTCGAGCTGGCTTATGACGCAGATCCCGGCGGACGAAGTGCCTCCGCCTCAAGGACCTCTCACGCCTGTTTCCACCAAGGTGGCCCGAGGCAACAAAAAGCGGATCCACCTCTTGAATCAGGACCTCCGGGCTGTGGGTTGCGGTTGGAGCCCCTCTATGGACAAGGTGGAGGCCCTTAATGCCATAGATTATCAGGGCGACGTGAACTCCTACAACCTGTGTGCGAGGTGCTTCCTTCAGTTCTCCCTGCCGGCAGAGTTTCGAGCGGGGGATGCTCCCCCTGCGGGAGATTCCAGTGAATCTGCCTCCTCAGGTAGCCTGACGGATGACTCTGTGGACACGGCATCGGAAGCGGAGAAGGTCACCTACCAGGACCTTGACAAGGCTCTGGCCTCCAAAGGCCAGCCTTAGATGGACGACATCTTTCAGTTTTGGGGTTCTTTTGTGCCGCCCATCCTTCGGCTGTGGCTTCTTTCTGGACGGCACAAAATTTTGGAACTCTTTTCTGTACAAGGAGGGTTCCCGATCCACAGGTGCCGTAGGCCCTGAAGGAGGGGACCCTCCTGTGCTTCGAAACGGCCTCTTTCTTGGCTGAGGTCTTCGACCGAAGGAACATCCCGGGAGTCGGCAGCCACACCAATCCACCATGCAAAAGAGGGCTTGCGTGCATGGTTTTTGGTGTGCCATTTTCATGCGGATATCTGACATTAGTTACTTGCAACAAAGCTTGCCGACTTGCAAGACTTATGTCAGGAGACGTCTGCCAAAATGGCTCTGCCATTTTGGCCCAAGATCGTGGACCGTGGGTCCTTCAAAATTTGAAACCCACCCGCCCTTCCCCATGGCTGCCTTAGCCAAACCTCCCGAAGCCATCCCTGATGCTTATGCCGACGACATTGCAGAGCTGCATTCTTCTGTCTCCACCCTCTTGGCAAGGAAACAGATCCCCTACTCTGTCCAGGCAGCCTTGGCCAAGGAGGGCTACATTACTCTGGAAGACATCGCCGACCGCTGGGATGATGCGTCGGCTGCCAGAACCAATGGCCCTAGGGATCTAGGTTTTGCTAGCGGTACCAATGGCTTCACAGATCAAAGCAGCGCTTTCACTGCCATGCGTCTCTTTCAGGCAATCAAAGCGGCTAAGGAAATGACCAAGAACCTCTATGCACCTCGATCCAGTGTCACGCCTGGCCAGGCTTCTTCGGATCGATCAGGCCTCGAAGTGCTTTGTGACCGACATCAGCTCCTCACGGATTGGACTAAGGAAACGGGGCTCCCAAAGCCCAAACTTGAGGCCCAGGGAAGTGACAACCTTCTCAAGGCGCAGTTCCGCTTCTGCTCCAAAGGAGAACTCGGCTTCATCAATGCGAAATACATCATCAGCGCCTTGCCAGAGCTTGAAGAGAAGCCTTTCAAGACAAGGCGAAAGGTGACAGTAGACGGCTGGGATAAAGAAGAGGAGGAAGAGGAGCGGAAGCTCCCGACCACTCGGCGACACCTGGAAAGGATGCACCGCGTCTTCCGCAACAATCTTTCGATGTGTCTTCTTGCTTTCCCCCAGTTCTCGCAGTTCGATGCGTCTAAGCATGACCTGGATGACTGGTATGACTGGTTCTGGGGTCCGGACATTGCGGGGCGGACTCCAGCCCCGTCGGAGAAAACTCTCCTTTACGCTGAACGAAACGCGTGGAGAGCCATCCACAATCTGGTTTACGAGGGCAAATCGCTCAAAGAGGCCATGATGGAAGTTCGTGCTGATGCCCTCTTCTGGACAAGGGAAGTCTACGAGCGCGTGCCTCGGCCTGGGGAGAAGGGTCCGAAGGGCACTCCGAAGGGTGAGAAAGGCACTCCCTTCGCCAAAGCCCCGGGCAAGGGGTCCTGGAAAGGCAAGCAAACCTGGCCAGCGTACCAGCCTGTGTATCAGCCCTTTCTCAAGCAGCCTACCAAGGGCAAAGATGGTAAGAAGGGCACACCCAAGGGCAAGGGCAAAGACTCCTGGCCGCAGTCCTGGTCCAGGAATAATCCTAAGGGCACCCCCTTCTGCCGAGATTATCACATCAAGAAGCAGTGCCCCGGAAACTGTGGGCGCTCCCACAACTGCCCGGTCACTAAAGACGGTTGGGTGTGCAATGCCCCTCCGAATGAGCACAGTCCGGACAACTGTCCCTACAAGTGAGGACTTCCAGTCCCAGGTGCCCTTGGCCCTGAACTAAGAGACGTGCCGGAAGTGGAGACACGTGGTGCCCTCTCCACACCAGGTGCCCTTGGCCCTGAAGGAGTACAGGCACGGGACAGATCGCGATCTCCCTGTGGGAAGACCGCCCCCGCGCCAAGGGGGAACACCATTCATGTGGGCATGCAGCCCTCTGGTAGTGCTCCCTCGGATGACAAGCCCTTCTCTCTCGGGCCTTGGATTGAGGAACATTACCCGGGCTCTCTGCCTGCAAATTGTTCTCCTGAATGGCTTAATGGGGTCCCCGACCGCCTGGTCCGGAGACTCCAGTGGTCCCCCTCCGATTGCACTGCCAGCATTCCTCAGGGTGCCATAATCTTGCCATTCGCGGGCCGTGAGGATGCTTCATCCCTTGAAGCGATCCTCCATGCTCAAGCCCCAGACCTCTCCTCGAGAGTTCTGGCCTTAGATTCCTCTAGGAAGCCCCCTGGTAAGGACCTCCTTAATAACACACTGTTTGGGTCTCTCTGTGCGTCGGCGCTGCAAGGAAGCATCTCCTTTGTGGGAGGATGCCCGGACCTCAACACCTGGGGTTTGGATAGATGGTTTCAGGACTCGGGTACTCTCCAGGCAGTTAGGTCCCGCTCGGCGGAGAACGCCTGGGGGATTGCCGCTCTCCCTGAGGCAACGCTCCACTCGGCGGATGAGGAGAGCACCCTGCTCCTTAGGTTCCTTCTGCTTACCTGGCTTGCCTTCAAGGCGACTTCGTCTAATGCACCTACTAAGGTCTTCTGTTTTCTGGAGATGGCTGAGGACCCTGCGCGAGGAGCCACTTCTCCGTCCAAACGACGCTCCTCATCGGCCTGGGCCACTTCGGCTCTGCGTGCTTGGACCTCAGATTTAGGTCTTCGTATTCTGCACTTTGATCTGTGTTCCTTTGGTTGGGTTTTTAGTCGTCCGTCTAGAGCCGTGACGAATCTTCCCCTCCAATCCTGGGAGGGTAAGACCTGCACACACACCCATCACCCTAAACCGGATCGTCCCGTGCCGGGGGACGCTCGACGACCTGAAGCCATGCTACAGTGTATCGCATCGGCACTAGCTGGTAAACTTCGCGACTCAGGCTCTCCAGTTAAGGATTCACCGCCGGATCCTGTTTCCAAACTCCTTGCTAGTCCCTCGCTGGGACAGGAGCGTCCTCACTGGGCGGCTCAAGGGTCAGCACCCCCCGGGGCGGCTGTTCAACCCTCCCTACCCTCGCTGGGGGGGAAGCGTCAGATTGCTGGGTTTCCTGGTGCAGGTACCCATGCAGGCGATCACTTGCTCGCTGCGACCCCGATGATTGGGTGTGATCGGCCTTCGACGCTACCGCTCTCGGAGAAGCTTACCCTAGACGATTCCACAATGCGTGTGACCCATGGCTTTAAGGTTAGGCCCCTAAGGGATGGTGGAGGTAAGACCTCTCCGGGTAGGACCCCTCCACACCTTCGCAAAGGACCGACGGCTCCTGCTCTGGGCAAGTTCATTCGCGAAAAGGCGGGGCCGTTGGTCCCCTCTTTTCTAGCCTCAACGGCCGCGGGTGCCAAGCAGCACCCCTTCCCGGAATCTGTTCTCAACGAGATCCGTGATTTCATCCTGCCCCGGCACACCCAACCGGATGCTGGACAGCCCTTTCACTTGGACGTGATCAGGAGGCTCCTGTGTGACATCCAAGATGTCGATGCTGAGTATCCGCAGATACTAAAAGAAGGAGTCCCTCTTGGAGTGGATACCCCTACTCTCCAATCTCCGGGTGTCTGGCCCTTGAAGTCGGAACTCATTGGTGAAGAGTGGGACCCGGTGGAAGCTCCACCACCCACTGGCCATGCCAATTACTCCTCCGCGGACACATTTAGGGAGGAGATTCGGGCCACCTTTGTTGAGGAAACCCCCTTGGGCATGGTCATTGGACCGTGCACCCGCGCCGAGGCAGCGGCGCACTGCCAATGTGCAGAGGACGAGCTCTGCCCCTGCCCCATGGCAGGGATTGATGAGTCGGACAAGATCCGTTCCATCTTCGACGGGTCTAAGGGTGGTGCTAATCTCCGTATACAGCAGAATACCGTAGAGAAAACCACGGCCCCGACGGTCATGGACTGCGTCCAATGCCTGCACTGGCTTCGGGCATCTCGCTCTCGTGGGAAACCAGGTGCCCATGGCCCTGATCCTGAAGAGCATGCAACCCTGGCTACTGCCCCAGGGGCGACAAGCCGAGAACAGGACGGCCCCTCGGGCAACACAGACTCCAGTGCCGGCTCCGGCCGACCCTGGAGCTTCCCGGGCTCTGACGAGGACTGGATTTTGCTCAAAGCTGATGTTACTAAGGCGCACAGGAGAATCAAGATTCTCCTAAGAGAGTGGCGTTACCAAGTTGCCCAGCTTGGTGAAGAATGGTGGGTTAACACCGTAGGCACCTATGGAATGGCCAGTGCCCAGCTCTACTGGGGAAGGATGGCTGCCATCCTTCTTAGGATTGTGTATGCCGTGTTTCCCGAGGTCGACTGGGGTTTTGTCTTTGTCGACGACTTTGCCTGGCTACTCCGTAAATCGAATTCCCCTCTGCTGGCAACAGCGATTTGCTTGCTGTTGCTTGCTCTAGGCACTCCTCTGAGCTGGAAGAAAACCCTGCTTGCTGAGGTTAATACTTGGCTTGGCTTTGTCATTGACCCAAAAGGACCCTGTGTGCAGATGGCCCGAGACAAGCACCTGCTTGTCATCGGCATTCTTGAAGAGCTTAAAAGCGGTAAAGTCATGTCGGCTTCTCAGATCGCTAGCGCTTTGGGTAGGCTGCAGTGGGCGACAACGGCCTGCCCCCTCACCAAGCCTTTCCTCCAACCCTTTTGGGCTTGGAAGAAGGCCTGCCTGACAGCAGGACGTCCGGGTAAGCTTATCCGTGCACTCTCAGCTCTGCTCCTCTCTCTTTTTGACCAGAAGTTCCGACAAGCATCGCCGTATGCCCCGCTTGCCATTTGGTCGGGGGCAAGTGATGCTAGCGCCTCAGATGATGGCAGCGCCTATGTGGGCGGCTGGCTTTCTAACGCGGACTCCCCGTCCAAGTCGGAAGTGTTCTGGTTCCACTACCAGGTCACTGCAGAGCGGCATCCATGGGCATTTGACACGGGCTGCCCGAAAAAGCGCATTGCTGCCCTCGAGATGTTTGGCACACTGATCCTTTCTCACTTTCTCATGGAGAAGGCGCCTGCGTTCATACCGAACCTCAGGCTCCCCCTGGTCAGCGACAACCAAGGGAATGTGTACTCGCTCCTGAACGATAAGTCCAAGAGGATGCCAACGTCGGTCATCCTCATGGAGATACTGTACCAGCTGCACCGGCATGGTATGCAGCTCGCACCCTCCCACGTCAAGCGTGACTTCAACACTTGGGCTGATGATCTGACTCATCCCAACTTTCAAGGTTTCACTCCATCTCTCTGCTTGCCGGTGGAACCCGTGCTCGAGCATTTTTCCCTCATCCGCTCTATCCTGGAAGATCGTATTTTCGACGATCCTTCTGACCTCACCCATGGGCCCGCGCAGGGCGCCCGGTGAGGATGTGGCTGCCTCCTGTACAGGCTTCTTTCTGGACGGCACAAAATTTTGGAACTCTTTTCTGTACAAGGAGGGTTCCCGATCCACAGGTGCCGTAGGCCCTGAAGGAGGGGACCCTCCTGTGCTTCGAAACGGCCTCTTTCTTGGCTGAGGTCTTCGACCGAAGGAACATCCCGGGAGTCGGCAGCCACACCAATCCACCATGCAAAAGAGGGCTTGCGTGCATGGTTTTTGGTGTGCCATTTTCATGCGGATATCTGACATAAACTCATGGAAAGCCGTGGCTTCTGCACTTCGATGCTGATGCTTTTCAAGAGAAGCATGGGTCGCGTTAACCTTCCAGGCTTAGGCCACGTCAGGCAAGAGAACCACCAAGCGAAAAGCCAGTGGGGAGTAGAGGCAAAGCATCGCGAGCCATGCCGCCAGTGGTGTTGTCTAGCGAGGGTTCGGCTTGGAAGGCAAAGGTTCGAGCAAAATGATAAAAAGGGCAAAGCCATCCGCCGTGAAGCAGACCGAGCCGAACTTTCGGACTGTGTCAGTCTGCGGGGTGGGCCAGATGTGCACACCACAGGCAGGAAGCACGTGTCAACACGCCGTGAAGTATCCGCGGGCAAACTCCAAACGGATTGAAACACGAGGAACGGGGCGAGAATGCCTGATGATGCGACCACTGCCCAACTGCTCCCCTAAAAGCCTGGCCCTGTGGAGCTAGAAGTACTTGTGCTTTGTGTCTGGTAACAGCAAGCTCATATTTTGTCTTCCTTTCGCATGCAGGCCTGCCCAATCACCTGGGGGTCCAATGCTGCTGCTGATGCCACCACTCCCAGTACAGCAGATGGGCCAGGCAAACGGGTGTCTTTAGCGATGCTGAAGTTCTGCTGAAGGTCTGAACTGCCAAACCATGCCATACCGCCTGCAGAGTCTGGGTTGTACCTCGCCTGGCGAAGTCCATCATGCCGCATACTGCGCAGGCCATGTCGCCGATGTCGCCAATTTCACCCTCCGCGATGTCGGCGATGTCGCCTATGTCGCCGAATCCGTTGTCCCCAACCGCGCTCTCCCCCATGTCTCCGGTGGAGTTCTACCCCGGCAGCCCCTCTGCGATGCGCAACTACCACAGGCAGGCATGACAAGTGAGGGTATTCGACAAGTAGTATGAGCTGTGTCCCAGCAGGAGCAACAGCGGAGCCACTGCTTCGGACGGGCCAACCAGCCCGCTCAACACCAGCAACCGCAGCTCCAAGGCCTCGCAGGGCGGTGCTCAGCCGCATACTGTTTCTGACAAGGTTTGCTGATGCCGGTACTCTTGTTTTATGATGATCCCAGCGTTGCAGCCACCAGTTTTCGAGCCCGAGTCACTGCAGCACATTGGCACATCCCCCGAACATCTGCCAGGGACCGATCTCCAAGCTGCAAGAGTTTGTGCAGAGCAGCAAGGAGAGAACCTGAGCCGAGTCGAGCTCGTTTTGCGGCGGCATTGAGCACAGGCACACCCACTTCCGAGCAGCTGTGCGGCTCCGGACTTAGTTCGCTTCGAGTCTTGACGGGAAGTAGGTGCATCTGTGTCAGGTGCTTCAATGGAGCCACGAGAATCGCATGGTCCGTGGCCAAGTCTTGCACACATGCTTGTAGCTGCGACCAGCGGGTCCGTAGTCAGGCTGGATCCAGCCTGCAGTTCCGTGCAACGACGTCCTTCTTGCTTGATGGAGTGCTGGATCCCTGGCTTCGTCTCAAACAGAGCTGATCACACGTTGCGGCAGCATTTCGGCCTTGTGGTGCGAGTCACTATGGCGGACTGTAGGACCGGCTGGCCACGAATCAGTCGACTTTTCATGATGGCTCAAGCAGCTGAACCACCACATGAAACACGTCATTAATGAGCCACGAATCTAAGTTTAGATCCCACGTACAGCATGGCGCAGCAGTTGACGCCTCCACACCAACCCCCGACAAGTTGTGAAGCTTAATGTCGCAGACGTCTGCGACTGATGGATTTCAGAGTCAAGGGACCGACTTCCCAGTCGACCCTGCGAGGCAGGTGCGAAACCAAGGTTGTTGCGTGTTGGTAGGAATCTGGCAGGCGTGCCTCCAGACAAGCCCATCGATGCCTTTCTCGATGAGATAGCCGCCGTGGCTCGTTCGCCGTGAAGCTGTCAGAGCATCTGGCAAGCCGTGGGTAGCTGAGGCATCGGGTGTCCCGCGGCCTTGTGTCCAGCTCCTCGCCGGCTTCCCGCCGAAGGCTCTGGAACTTCCCAAGGATCCGCTCACGGTCAGAATACCAAGCACGGAGCGTTGCGCACTGCCACGTTTTGGAAGGACCGGTCGGCGACGGTTTCGTCGACCAAAGCTCAGCGCAGCATTCACTGCCTGAAGACGGTGGCTGCTGTGCTTTTCAACTCCTGGAAAGCATTCTGATGCTGAGGCTTGGACTGCGCAGTGGGGAGTCTCTCATCGTCCGTGAGGCTGTTGTCTCAGGAACTGCCTTGCAGAGTACGGGAGGAGGCGCAGCCAGCGTGTTGTAGCACGCCACGCCCGCCTGCAAGGTAGAGCCCGAGGGTGCGAGAGGCATCGTTGTTCGCCGGGTCATTGAGGCTGACAATAGTTGCCTCTTCAACGCTGTTGGGTATGCCCCTCGGCACGGAACAATAGAAGCACCAAGGGCACGGCAGAGGGTAATTACTACAGTGCAGTTTACTACAGCAGGAGTGACATCTCTCCAGTTGGCAGTGTTCGTGAGTACTTCGCTGCTCAAACGATGCTTCGCAGGATTTGCTCAAGACCCTTATCCCCCATGAAGCCTCCTTGTCAGAAAGTGCGCTGCTGAACACAAATGTGCATAGCTTCCAACGGCTTCTCCCCACTTTTTGGGCCTGGCTCGCTCGTGGAGTGTGTGTTCGTGTGTGTGTGTGTGCGTGTGTGTGTGTGCGTGTGTGTGTGTGGGGTTCAAGTCGCACTCTGATTGTGCGCTACTGCTTGTGTCGCTCAGGTTTGCAAAACTTGTTACTTGGTTTGTGATGGCTCCCCCTGTCGAAACGGCAATCGTTGTACGAGTAAGGCAAGTGGAATCCTGCTCCCTTGGAAAACCTCGAAGTGATTGCAGCCACGCGTAGCTCCCAATGGGCCTGTGCACCGGGTGAACACGGGAAATGGTAGCAACTCTGTAGAGATGCGTAAACTCGCGATCCTGCAAGCATGGTGAACCGGCGAATGCCCCGTTAACATATGCGAAGCTACAAGAGAGGGCGAGCCCGCGAAGGCTAATGAATGCGTCTTGTTCGTCTCAAGCCCAGTTTCCTCAACTGCCCTAAACCCTGCAAGTCTTCAGCTCACAACTCAGACGTCTGGGTCCTGAGTGTTATACGGCCGAGGTCCGCGAAAAGTTGCGCGGTGAAGCACCAGCGCTGCGCAAGATCGTTGCCGAGCGAATCGCCGCAGATCCGGAACGCTACTGCGAGGCATTTTGCCTGGATGTTACTAGCAGACGACTGAACTATTGGGGAAGGCAGCGTTGCGCACCGGGCCTGTTTGGGCAAGGGCAGTTCCAGCATTAGGTTGCATGTGCGGTTAAGGTTCAGAGTCACGCTGTGTTTATTGCGGCTTGACAATTTCGGGACGAGTTGGACGAGTAGAGGAGGGGATTCGGAGGTTGGGGAGGTTAGGGGCCCAGTGGAGAGTGTCCTGCAGCCTGATGATCCTTCGCGCCAGTGAATGCCACCTTTTGTCCGCAAGGCACGTTCATAGGAAGCATGCCCCTGCAAGGCTTTCTTGGAGAAGCCCAATGCAGCTGGGCATGAACGCCCCGCGTATTTTGTGCCTTCTGCAATTGTCTGCAGCACCGTGTGCTTCAAATGGCGTGGTCCAGCCGAGGCAGATTACTGCGATTGGATCTCGCAGGCAACGTTCTCACTTCTTTTGCTCGAGGGTTGGCTTGGCTCCAGCTTCTCGTGTCTTGGCAGGGCTTGCCTGTCACAGGTAGAAGAGCATTACGCATTGTGTTTGCCTTTTGACGGGAGTGGTAATTCTCTCTCGAGTGCCGGGCTGTTGATATGGCATTGACACTACAATTATTCGAGAATCTTCGAGACCCGCTGCAGGCGAACAACTGGGGAGGTGCCATCGAGCTCAGCGTTTTAGCAGAGCACTTCCAATGTGAGCCTGTGATGCACATGAGCTGCGCTTAAGTCCTTCCGGTTGTGCCTGCTGCAGCTCAAGGGGCTGCGTCTGGTGGCCAAGGAAATCGCCGCATATGACATTTGCTCCATGCGACGCGACCTCCACGGCGAGGCCTTGCGCCAAGTGTAGACTGAAGTGCTGGGAAGGCCATGTGGACCAAGACCCCGCGAACCTTGTGATCCTGCTCAGGGGCAAGGCTACAAGAGCCGATATATGCTGATCTACGATGGCATTCACTACGACGCTTTGGCGCTCGCTGCGGAGAAGGGCTCACCTGAAGCCGCAGACTTCACCGTCTTTGAAGTCGGTCCAGAAGCGGATCTGGCCGACATGAAGGCACGATCAGATGTAATGCAGAAAGAGTCGGGGCTTAGCTCAAGGGTTCCTGCGCGACAGGCTCGAAGCTTTGTTGCGGAGCAGAACAAGCAGCGGCAGTTCACGGACACCGGCAACTTCACTTTGCGTTCCATGGCTGAGCAATGGGCAGCAATGGTAGCAAGTCTCGTATTTGAGATTGCTGTGAAGCCAAGGTTGTTGCATTTGCCAGGCCGGCCTAAAGGGCGAGGCAGATGCTCGCGCGCATGCGAGCTCGACAGGGCATCAGAACTTCGCGGAGTACTGACCCGGCTCGCAGCCACGAAGCTACTAGCACCAGGACAGAAGCCGCGACGGCAAAACTGCGCAAGCATCTCCTAGTGTTCATCTTACATGTTCGTTGCGTGGTACTGGTCAGTTTGGTTTGCACACTGGATCGTGCTGGTTTCCGAGAGGTCGATGAACAAACATGTCATTGCACGTGAATGCGCCGCAATCCAGGCCGCATCATGTGCTCGGAGGATGGTGGCCTTCAAAGAAGCAGTCGCAGCGTGCAAGGATCCAAGCTGTGCGGAGATCAGATAAGGGGCAGCTACAATGCAGTTTAACCATATGTTTTCTCGCGGGTCGAGCTGCGCATCGACAAACCAGATGTAGAGCCTCCGACACCTTCGGGACAGAAGTCTTATTCTGCCAGCATGTGCAATCATTCCAAGGATGCAGCCGAGAGGGCGCTGGCATTCTTCATCGGTGTGCTCCTGGCTCAGTATGGTCTTCTGTGGTACAGTTCCAGTGGTACTCATAGGGATTTGCTGACTTGATGAGGTGTGGAAATGAGCTTACGAGGGGGCACGAAGGACACGCCGCTGGCCGCAAGTCTCCCCTTGCCGAAGGCCGTCCGACCTCCCTGTTGCCCGAAGTTCCTTCCTCTCCCTCTCCTTTCCTCTCTCTCTCTCTCTACTTGGCTCTCTTTTGCTTCAGCCTGTCTCTCCTTGCCCGTGTGTGCGTTTTGCAGTGCGTTTCTCCTCGTCCCAGTTTCTGTTGGTTTCACGCGAATTCTCAATCAGCCTGTGTTTGTTCTGTCCGTTTCGCAGGCTCTCTGTCCGTCCGCTTATGCAAAAATGAGCACATTGCAGGCCACAGAGAGGACGAGCCAGATGAGGCAGCTGGTCGTGTGGATGATATCCCAGAGATGACACTTTGTGCACAGTCCCGCCGGAGGTTTACGAGTTGGAAGACTTTGTCGGAGAACAGCTGAGGCGAGCCTGAGCACATTGTGCGTGTTGTCAAGGCTGGTCCTGCCCACCAGGTGGAGTTGCCGCTGGGAGGCACAAGACACGCAGGATCCCATCCTCGAGGCGACACAGCAGACTGGCTTTTGCATGAAAGTGGGCGAGTCGAGTCTAGGCTCTCTGCAAAGCCACAGTTGAGTTCCAGTACCTGGGTGTGTCTCTGGCTCAGCTTAGCCCCAACAGCCGCCTTCGAACTTAGCTCCATGCGATTCGAGGTCGCACGTCTTTGCCGGCAAAGCTTGCAGCAGCAAGGCCTCGAACTTCAAAAGCTGATGGGGTTTTATGGCATGGTGTAGTGGAGCAAGTCTTTCCTGACATTCCAAGCTTGAACGTGTGCAAAGGTGGCTGCGAAGACAGACACTGCCCGACGTGTCCTCTGGTACTTGCACTGCCCTGGCTACGAGCTGCTCGGTTGAGCAGCACAGTTGTTGCACAGCGTCGTACACTGCATCAGCAAGGAACGCCTTCGAAGTTGAGCAAGACCAAGTGAAGACGCTGGCACAGGCTTCGCGGGGAGGGGGGCCAGCAGGCGGGAGCTCGTCGAGAAAAAGGGGCGAGAGTTGTCTTCACAGGCCATTCCGGAGCCAGTGCCGGGCCAGGGCCTCTCACGGCCTCGCGGCCTCGCCGAGACGCAGCTTCGCACAGTTCTCCGATCGCTGCAGCTGCAGGCACTTGGCCACCTACCCAGGAGGCTCTGAACGCTGCCTGCAGCCCGAGCACGGTGGCATCGACCTGCGAGCAGGCGCAGTTGCACAGCCGGCGCCTCCATACACGGCACTTCGACCTCGCCTGGCAGGAGATGGATCTTAGCCCATGCAGCCCTTCACCGTTGAGCCCGTTCCCGTCCCAGCGCTGCCTCGGCCTCCTGGCTTGGAAGTGTGCCGGTGCCGCGGATCCAGGGGGCAACGATCTCAAGCAGAGCAAGCTGCATGGGGCTCGGAGTGCTCGCTGTCGCTGCTTACTGGCTAGCCCAGCCCAGCTGCCGAGGAGTTGCTGGAGCGAAAGACCACCGTGATGCGCAGGGCTCTCAGACTCTCAGTCAAGCTGCAGCTAAAAGAAACTATCTTTGTCGGAGGCTTGCAGAATCGCCTCCAGAAGATCTTCGCAAAGCAGCTGACACCTGGTAAGAGCGTCTGGCATCAGTCTTAGTTTAGCTGAGCCCAGCTGTCTCACCACAACACACATGTCGACCACCTTCCTTGTTCACCTTGCGTGAAGGTGCTGGAGGTACGAGAAGAACGAAGTGGATCACACTTTCCAAGCTTCAGTGTCAGGAGCTCAGCCGAAGCTAAAAAGCACAAGCTGCACCACAATGCGACAGTCCCGTGGAGGCACATCTCACTCCTCGACCGGACCTTCACCGGTGGCTGGGCCTGGGACTTGTGGCTTTCACTCTGGGACCCCCTAAACATCCCGTGGCACTTTCTGTAGCCCTGAGGCGTCCACTCACCAGGCAGCTCAAATGGAGGCTTCAGTGCTTTATAAGATGAAGGGAGGGTAGCGATATATAGCGATCCCGGTCGATCTCCGATTCGGCGAAGGCATGCAATCGCCTCACCACCTTCTTGGACAAGGAAAGGGTGCGCACTCTTGACCTAGAGTTGGAGAATCTTCAGAGTCTCAGTGCAATGAAGGACTTCAAGATGTGAATGTCGGCTTGACCCGAGCTGCACCGCGACGTCGTCGCACTGGAACATCGAATGTTTGAACTTAGACAGGCAGAGCCTGAACCCGGCAGATGCAGTCGGCTGACTTCATGTTCGTACATTCACACCGCAGTACCCGATTCATGCATTCATCCCGATCCGATCTGTGGCTATCACCTGCTGATCAGCTCCCTGATCGTCAGCACATCTGCCTTTTGCACGCAGGCTCCGCGTGTGCATTGCAGTGCTGCGTGACGAGCAAGAGCAACAGCCAAGTCGCCGGCAGCATGCTGCATGCAAGTCAGTTGGCGTTGTTTGCAGTCCCGAGAAGTTCGGGGCTGAACTAGGACACTAGGCAAAGACATGTGCGGAAGCGTACGTGGCCCGCTTCGAATATCAGCCGGAAGCGACCAGCAGAGTCTTTACTGAATTGGCTCATTTCCTGAACATGAACGAAACTACAACTATGTGCAAGATTCCTCCCTGAGAGTCTTCGTAAGATCACTGAACCAAATCAGGAAGGCACTGTTCCGCATGTGCCCCACGTTCCACGAATGTGGCAAGGGGGTGCTGCTGCGAGGTATTGCCTAAAGTCCTACAAGATTTAGCGAAGCTTCTATGCTGAAACGGACCCCACAAAGTTTCGTTGATAGACTCGCACACAAACCTGAACCGGTGACTGTCTCAATTCCGTTTCTGAGCATGAACGTCAAAAACATGGGCCTCAGGCCTTCCGATTTTTGTGCCACCAGTGAAACCACTTCGGTGCATTTCCAGCACTGGGCAGCGCGTAGCACAAGACCCGCATGCTCAGGCAATTCTTGTGTTGTTTTCGCTTGAATCCTACTTCACACAACCGCAAGGGCAGCAAGAGGATGAAGCATAGGCAGCACAATTCTGAAGATGTAGGATTCCTTAAGCAGTTCCTGTTGCACCGCTTCAAAGCGTGGATGAAACAGAGCTTCGAATTCCTTGACCGTTCGCTTGGCTCTGGCAAAAGAGAGACGCCAAGGCGCCTAAGTTGCTGCCTCTGTTTTTCGGAGGGCAAGTGAAGCGTACAGGGCGAACCAAAATCTCGGCACGGGGCCGCGGCAAAGCTTGCTGGCTGTGCATGATGTGTCCGAGATATATTCTGATCGGAAGCCTGCGACAAAATACTCAGAAGGATCCACGGTCTCATCTTGAGGTCGCTGCGCTCAGTCTTTAATTTGTTGTGTTGCAAACAGCTCACCTCTTTCGCTGAGCTCTTGGCTGAAGCAGCACACGCACCTTTTCTGCTTATCCAACTTGCTGCCCACTCAAAACTGCAGAGGCTTATGCGAGAAAGAGTCAGGCCTTGATTGATAGGTACTGGCAAGTTTTACCATTGTCGCATCCAGATCTATAATCAGTGATGATCTTACAGCATGAACCAGCCGAACTCGGACCCCGTGCGCAAGCGAGCCGTGCACAGAGACGGGCTATTACGCTCCGAAGGCTGAGCTCACTCAGCTGACAGAGCTCAGGCACGCACCGAACGTGCAGAAGCCCGCAATCTGGGAGAGGCGAGGGGCTTAGCAGATCCTTCGTGGCTGCGTCAGGCTTTTCGTGTGTTTATCCGAAACCTGGGAATCGTTTGAACAACTTGACTCGGTTCAGGCAGCAGAAGCTGAGCAAGAGCACCTGACTCGGTTTCGAAGCACCCAGGATTCCCATCGCCTGGATCCGGCTTGTCACGAGCTCCAAAGCTGTGCTCAGGTGTTTTCCGCCTCCGCGCCGTGCTCCTCCTCGCACCGTGGAGGAGAGATCTTGGAGGGCGCTGCCAGCCTTAAACCCAGTACATGTGTCATTCAGATCCCCAGGACTCTTAGACAGTCTTAGGCCACATCGGTGCTGTCAGTCATGCAGATGCAGAGGGCATCGAGTAGCAGGTAGCGGCTGCTCCCTGTCGAGTCTAGCAGTAGCAATGGCAGCAGCAGAAGCAAGAAAGGCAGGACTCAGCCGTTAGCCGTTGACTATCATGACCGCGGAAAGACGCACTTGCCTTCGACTATTCTGGCAGTTTTCCGAAGGAGACTGCCGCTCTCATCGGAACTGTTCGAGAGATATCGAATCCACGCTGCCAGAGACTGCAGATAGCTTACGATACCATTCCTGCAGCACCAGCGTCTTGCTTCCTGGCAGGGGTATGTAGAAGAGCGAGAAGCTGAAAGCTGCAAGGTGCACACACTTTCTGAAGAACGACTGCCTGTGGGGCGATCAATGTCGCTTCTCTCACGATGCCAAGGCCCGGCGCATCTGCGGCGTCTGCATTCGCTTGCATTTCCTGTGTTTTCCTCTCATGTCAGCTCTGGGGAGGCGCTCCGAGCTGGAGCACCTCCAACAGAGGACCCGGACCTGCGAATATGTGAGAATCTTAAGTCTTAAGGAAAGTGAAGCGTCCTGCTAGCTGCCTTGCTTTGGAACGACCAGTGTGATGAAGAAGATTCTTGTCCTGGCTCTTTTGATGTTGCCGATTGTTGGTTCAAGAACACTCTTTCCATGCTGTTAAGCATCGTGGGTCAGGGCGAAAGGCATGACTGCTTTTTTCATTCATGAAGCCGTGGCTCTCGAGTTAGTCCTCAGGCAAGGTCTGCCTCGAGAAGCCATGCAGGACCAACTGCATGGCGAGCATACACCTTTAGTTGCCTCAGCAGGGGCAGCTACGCAAGAAGAGAAGGAACAAGTCTTGGCCATGCAAGGCATCCATCGGGAAGACTGAGGGTTCAATTGCTGTCCGGCGGCATGTCGCAATTCAAAATCCCAAGACATTCCGAGGGAATTGGCCGAAGCATCTTGGCCACTAAAGGCCGAGGCTGCAGAGGCCGATGATGGCCCCGAGATATCGGCAGTGACCAGTGGTGCGCCTCGTGTAAGATGTGCCCGCGTCACTCAACTTATTGATGCCAACAGGTCCAGCGCCGAGCTGGCGCGAGCGCTTCCGCCGGTGCAGGAAGAGCAGGGGGGGTGTGTGGAGTGGGGGAGAAGGCAACTGGTCGTGACTACACCGGAGTACTGCAGGAACCTTTCGCAACTGTCGCCGTATTCTCTGGATTCTATTCCACGGCTGGCAACCACATGTGTGTGGAGTCACGGTCCTGGTGATCGGTGCTTCAAGCGAGTACTGGCTGACCCTCTGCGCCTCGAGGTGCCTTGCTGTACAGGTTCGCAGAACGGCTGTCCTGCGTTTCCTGGCGCAGCCGCGAGCCGCACAGCTCGCGGTACTGGATCGGCGGACGAGCCCGATGTACAACTACACTCTCCCACCGAAGGCAGCGAAGGCCGCTGCAAACACTTGCTCTGTACTCTCGGCATGTCTTCGCGGTCTCGACGGTTTGCAGGTGCGTGGACGCTGGCAACTTGGTGCCTGTCGGTTGTAGCAATGAATCCACGCTGGGTCGTAACCATCGTTAGGAGGCATATGCTACCGAACCGTCCGAGCATGAGGAGCTTCTTGCTGCTTCGGGCACCATATGCAGCTCTGATGTTCGAGACTGCTGGCGTGTCCTGTGTGTGGTGCATATTTTGTGAAAGGAGGAACCACTGCCGCTGCCGGCACAGGGAGCAGATGTAGCTTTGGAGGCCCGGCCTGACTACGGTTCGCCACCGCCTCGTAACCAGGTGGAGTTTGCAGGAGAGAGTTGCCCCCAGAAGCACAGGCGGATGGCCGAGACCGCCGGTCGAACTTGAACCGGTTGGTCCGTGGGTCGCTGACCGTGCGGGGTGGCACGGGGTGCTAGCAGGCGGAATGCCCTGCTCAAGGACAGCGAGGCTCGGCCCTAGCAATTGTGTGGCCGCAGCTCGTCGTCTCAGGGCGTGGCACCACCACCGTGTCAAGTGTATGAATACAACGGTTGGCGGTGTCACCAATGCCCAACGGCAGCCTGGCTCTTGAGCAGCATGAGTAACCTGGAGAACGCCCATTAGCGGCTTCAGCTGCTGTTCACGCCCTCCACCTTCCAGGCTCGCTGGCGCGATATGGAACCCTGAAAGTCGCCGGGCATCGGCGGTGTCGCTACGTCTGGAGTGGTCACTCGTTCGCGACTCCGCAGTCACACCAAACCCTAAACATTAAACCCCAATCGGCAGGGGCCAGCGTGGTTTGCGTCTCTTTCGTGAGCTACGAAATCGCGGACTTCGCAGGGCTAAGGAAGTGCTGGGGCACCACGTGCTGTGGGATGATGCCGGCGCCTTATTTTTTTTGATCATCCCGCTTGTTCTGTTTGGAGTTCAAGGACGGACGGCCCTTTAACTAAGGGCGACGTCGTCTGCAACTCCCACCGGAGCAAGCTGTCTCGCTTCGTGCCTTCCGCCTGGTTGTTTTCGCTGTGTTTTTTCATGTTTGTTGGTTTTGGCCAAAAGCAGAAGGGCTTCACCTATGGGCAGGGACGGCAGGGATACAAGTGCATGCACCAGACACAGTCCTGAATGGGAGTCAACAAGACGAAGGTTGTGTGCACGAAGACGAAGATGTTGTTGTCACCAAAGATGCTGAAGTACAACAACAATCGGAAGGGTCCGGGATGAAGAAGAACTGAGAGAGCAAAGGGTAAAGTTTCTTTCCGTAAGTGCGGATTTCTGAATTTAGCTGCAGCTGCATTAGCGGACGGAAAAAGGCATTCAAAAAAAAACTCAAACCCCAGACCCTAAACCCCTAAACCCTAAACCCGTAAACCCTAAACCCTACACCTCTACCATATGAACACTAAACTCACTAAACCCTAATGATTCTAATGATCTTCGTTGGATAAGGCCGAAATCGGCCAAATCGTAGTTGGACAAGGCCCAAACCTTCGTTGGCAAGGCCACTTCGCTGACATGGTAGGGTTTCCGCCTTAGGGTTGCGGCCATAGGGTTTCTGCTTTTGGGTTTCGGCCATAGGGTTTTTGTTTTAGGGCTCAGAAGCGCCATTTCGATACGGAGATTTGGGGCTCAGAAGCGCTATTTTGTTACGCGGATGTGGGCTCAAAAGCGCCATTTTGCTACGGGGGCTTTGGGCTCAGAAACGCCATTTTGTCACGGAGACTTGGGGGTCAGAAGCGCCATTTCGTTACGGGGAAGTGGGGGCTCCGACGCGCAATTTTGTTGTGTTACGGGGACATGGGGCTTAGAAGCGCCATTTTGTATCTTCGTTGACAAGGCCATGTCGCTGACAAGGCCCGGATCTTCGTGGACAAGGCCCGAATCTTCGTAGACAAGGCCCGAATCAACACTCAAGAAGGTAATGTAAAGATGCCACTTTGGCAGGCATTGTGGAAGTAAGCTATGGCGAACGATCACACTGTGTAAAGCTTCGGGATTCGGTGGAGCTGAGCTTTCGAACTTCGTGCAAGAAGCTCATACTTGATAGCTGTCCTTGCTATCATGAAGCGATATCGTGATCGGGACTTTAGATGTGTTGAATTAACTTTTAAAAGTCCGAAACTTTTTACTTGCCGAATTTAACCTTGTAAGCGATAAGCACATTGTTTGAGGCCTACTTTGAGTTAGCAGGCAATGTTTAGAGCCTTACTGGGGTGGCCTTTAGAGTTTAGGGCCCGGGTTGGCCTTTAGAGTTTAGGGCCTACTGGGTTGGCTTGTAGGCTTTAGGGCATGAATGGGGTTCATTTAACAGAATGAAAGAACTTTGTATTTTCTCAATGTTGTGGGATTCTAAGGGTGGGTGTTATTTCTAAACCGTAAACGCCACTCTACTATAAACCTGCTCGATCGGGAGCTGCTGAACCTTAAACCCTAAACCCCGATCGTGTTGCCACATCTGTCGCAAACCCTGGTGGCCGTGCTGCGGCTACGTATCGCCAGCATCTTGTGTGAGCCCCGCGAGCAGTGGAGGTGTGGAGTGAGCCAGTACCAAAGTATGCATGATTCCGAATTATGCGCCTTGAGCTGAGTGGCGGAGCGCATGTGGTGCTTCGGTGAAGCTGAAGAGCACTGTGTTGCTCCCATCGTTTTGCAACTTCCGCATTCACTGCCGCCCCCGAGCAGATTGTCAGGCCATGTTTTTTGCAGTGGCATGTTGCACGGCTGTGTATTACAGACGTGTATTTCTGTCAAAGTATTTTCATGTTGTATGCAGACCTGCAGCTGCCTGAAGTAGTATTGAGTTGACCGCCAATTTGCGGTATTTTGGAATCAAGACTAGCCTCTGAGAGTTTGAGTTCTGCTGATCAGTTGGGTGTTTCTGATGTTGCCTTTTGAGTGCGAAGGAGATGAACTTCTCAAACCTCGACGTGAACCAGGCGAAATTGGGTTCGATCGGACTTCACACAACCACGCTGCGCTTCAGGTCAGCAGCTTGGTGGAGATCCCAAGGGTCGCTGCCTCCATGGCACCTGATGTCAATTAACAGATTCGTCAGCTTCGGTCCTACTTCTCAGGGTCAGCTGCGATCCTTCATGACAGAAAGCACAAGGCCATGTTCGCTGGGCTCTGAGCGCTTCCAGTGTTGTTTATTCAAGCTTTCCGGCCCCGAAGGCGCATACTTGCTGAATCAGCAGGCATCACAGAGCTGGAGTGGGATGCAGAATTCTCGCAGGCGTGTGTGCTGTGACTCTGCCTCCACAAGACTTGCGTAAGCTGTGAAGGCGACACTTTCCGGCACACCAGCCCAGGCGAGGCCATGGCAAGGCAGCAGCTTGTCGACTGGCACTCCCTTTGAGTGCAGGTGGAGAAGGCGGAAGAGCTCCTTCGACGAGCTATCACACATTGCAAGTGGGGAGTCAACGAGGCAAAGGTGCAAGGCACCCGGGAAAGCTGACGTTCTCACGAGTTTCGCGCAAAGCTGTGTTGCTCTCTCTTTGCGCAGAAGTTGCCTTGGCAGGCCTTCTAGCGCAGGAGCCGCATGAGCTGTGCACTTCCGAATTGGAGACTGTCTGGCCCTGCAGACTGTAAGATGGACTTGGAGGAGCCTTGCACTTCCGCCAAGCTGGTGCTTTCTCCGATGGTGCCGGGCCTGAGGTGCCTGTTGCTATCGGCAGCTGACGGCTTGTGAGCAACTTTACCGGTCTTTGAGAAGCAGGCAGGGCTCCTTCAACTTGGGCGGCGACAAGCTACAAGTTGTGCTAGGACAGGGCTTCATCAGATAACCACACCCCGCGCTTCGAGTCGGGTCATGGTGCATCGGATGCTTCGTCCCTGAAAGCCGCTTGTCTCTCCCAGCCCGATCTGCAGGATCTGATGCCTCCAGTGATCTCATCATCAGAGGTGCCGTCATGTCGAGGCCAGGGCAAGCCTTCTGGCATCCCTTCGTGGCGTTTTGGCCTTCATACTTCTCATCCAGGACCCACGCGCGCTTCGATCCGTCCTCGGCTTCATTTGTCGGGTTTTTGCGTGGGAGCTTTCAGCTTTCTTCGATTCTGGTCAGGAGCTGGTACCAAGCCGCGGCGCTTTGTACATCGTCGACCTGTCCGGAACTCGCAATCTCGTCAGTGTCAAGAGCCGTCGGTTTTTCTGGCCAAGGTCGACGAATGGCACTTTTCTAAATGGGGTGCGTCTGCCTGGGAAAGCGAGCGGAAAGGCCGGCAGAAGAGGGTGGTGATAACGGTGTCTCCCAAAGAGACAGCTTCGAGGTGGCTTGCTTTCATGGTGACGAACTAACCTTCCCAGAGTCAACGACCGTCGTTGGCCACTCAACAATGCTCAGGATGTTTTGAAGAGGCTGTCCAGCTGTGGCACCAAGGCAAAGCTCGGTGAGTATGGCTACATGCTCAACATCCAGTTCTTCAGAACCTAGCAATGTCGAGTGGAGTTGGGAAACTATGAGACCCGGGGTCAGAGTCCTGCAATGAGAACGATGTATGAGAACGATGTCTTGGCGCCCTTCCCCACCACGGGAAAGCGGAGGAGTTCACGGCGGCATTGACACCTTGAAGAGACGCAACGAGGAGGCGTTGACTCACAGAGTTCTTACGGGCCCGTCCTGCACAATTCTCGACGGTCGCACGAAATGCAGTCTTAGTCGGAAGAACGGATCGGTCATTTCACACGCTCTGCCATGCGGGTTCTGACCAAGCAGCGCGTCGGGCGAAAACTGCTTTCACATCCAACTGCCCTGCCCGATATGCTAAAAGGTCAGCTTGCTAACATCAAATGAGATTCAATCTATGTATACAGCATGTGAGAATGTCACCCGACATGCCGTCCGTGTTCCAATATGACTGGTTCGGGTCTGAGCTTCAGAAGCCAAACCCCAAGTTCCCATCCGGTACCATGTTGGTCGCCTGAGCAGTCGAAGCTACTCGTTGGCTTTGGGCTCGCAGTGAACGTCATGAAGCGTCGCTCAGCCAGGAGGGGTGCAGGCGAGGGGCATGCTTGTCATCGATCTCGCCGGTTTCCTTTCGAATCAGTAACTAATAGACGGTGCAGACGGGAGGGGTAATGCAAGAATAGATCTGCGGCTGGAGCTTTTTTGCCATATCACAGCTGGGAGGTGCACCGGCAGCTGCTGGGTTGTGGCTGATTGCATGACATGCGCCCGCTGCGCGGGGCTTTCAAGGCGGCACGCGACTGACTGCGACTGCATTCCGGGCGTCCTAGAAGTGTTCGCAAGTGCTGCAAGACGGACAGTGCCATCCGGCACAGCTTCAAACTCGCTACGCTGTATCTTTGTCTGCTCTGACTTTAGAGGCCCTCTGGCTGGTGATATGGCTTCATCTTGTTAATGGTCAGCAGGTTGGGGCATGTCAGATGCTAGATCAGATTGCAATGTATTCTGTCATTGAGAGGATGCGACAGCTCCTGCTGCTTTTGAACGTTTTGGCGATGGTGAATGTGTGCGGCGCAAAGCATTATGGGCAATCCAGCACAAGAGAAACATTGATATGCGGTTGTATCATCACACCGCCTGAGCACGCTGCTCAGATGACGAATGCCATGCTTCCCATTCGCGGACGTTCGCGACGGGACCGCTCGTCGAATCTGCAATTCCTCATTTATGTTCTGTGCCTGCCTTGCTGCTTCCCGCACAAGCGCAGGACTTGGAACATGGCGAATGCAGGGCCATCTGCAACACCGACAACTGCATCGGGCACCGGCATAGACATTGCCTCCTCTTGCCACTGAAGCCTCCGACTTGCAGAGATGGCAGGTACACTTACGCTCCCTGTGAACGCATCTGTTCCCTGCACGGGGACACCGCGGGGGCGAAACAGCTCTACTAGTGTAAAACTTGGGAAGGCCTCGTGAAAAGAACCAGGTTATTGCAGCGTCTACGGTATTTGGGTAAGCTATAGAAGTTTTGGAGCCGACCTTCGGCTCACTCCTGACTTGACTTTTCAGGAGCCGGAGCTGTTTCGAGGACTTCCTGATCCGGAACGCAGATCTCTCAAGTCAACGCAACTGTCCCTTCTTTAAGGAGATTATCTAGGTTGAGTCCTCTGACTCGAGGCTGGTCCACCAAGAACGGCGGAGGTGGACTTTGCAGTTTCAGAAGGGCTTTTCTCGCATGTTTATCGATCGCAAAGGCCTCATCGCCAACACAAACAGGAGATGCGGCAACGACCCTGGGTCCGGACCGGATTCCCTCGACGGAGCTGTGTTTGCGCCGCTCAAGGCTCCTCCTGCTATGTTCGGAAGGCACCTTGCCAAGGTGGCACTTTGCAGTTCAGCCCTCGGAGGACAATCTCGTATTCTGCAGCTCTTGCAGCTTTTGTGCCGCGCAAAGAGTACGACCATTGCTGTGTTGTTGGACTTCAAGGTCTGCTGGCGCCTTCATGAATTATGAATCCCTGACCTTTGGGCTTACCCGTCTGATGCTAAGTCTGCAGCATGGCCGTGTTCTTCTTGCCCCAGCGCCTCGGAGTCGAGTATACCCTGCCATGACTGCCCTATTGAGGCACTTTGGAATGTCCTTTTCCGCACAAGGGGTCCGTCTCTGCAACTCGGCAACACGTGAGGATCAGCAAAGCACAGGGATTCCGCTCCGATCCGGCCCAGGTAGTTTGCACGTCCACTGGTATCCAAGTGGCTGGGGGCAGGTGTTTGCGTCAGCACCTCAATTGCTCTCCAAAGTCTAGCCCCATAGGCCGTTGCTCCACCGAGTTCAAGATTTGGGGACGACTGAGGACCCTGCGAGTCGGGATTCGTCAGGGACGAGTACTTCGAGGAAGGGACATTTTCCGTGTGAGCATCCCTGGGCCGAGCCGCATCCTTCTGACCGTTCCCGACCCCTCGCAGCCTTGGCTCTGAAGGGAGGTCCGCTAGGTTTCTGCAGCCAGCGCCCTCTCCAGGCTCAGGGATCTGAGGCACCTGGGTGCAGCAAGAAGAGGACAGTCCTGCAGGCACGATGGGAAGCGACCCGGCCATGGAGACTTCGTCGAATCACATTGTCGCACTTGGGATGCACGTACTGTCGCTCTCTGTCACGACAGGCTGGATGGCGTTTTGATCTCGCATGTTGAGGTGGCGCAGCTCAACAAAACGAAAATGTGCATTCAATTCCAGAGGCGGCAAGCCTTCTTCATGCTGTATCGGCACTGCATCTTGCAAGCACTCGTGCATTGCCCTGCCTTGTCAGGGGCTCCTGCAGGGAGAGTAGCTGTCGCTTTGCGCATTCTCTCGACGAGCTGCGAGCACCACCAGATCTGGCGAGCATTGGCTGCAGTAGCGCTGCTAGCCCGTTGACATGACTCGTGATCCTGAATACGACCGTTGTATCGTTGCATCACTCAGGAAGACAGCCATTTGCCGTGCCTTTTCTCGTGTCTTGTCTTTTCGTGGGTTTTTGGATTGGATGGAGGTCTCGGCATTATTTTCGTAAGTCGTAAGTCTATGTTGTCTGTCTTGTGCAATGTTGAGGTGGGATGTGTGCGGAGGCATTGGTTTGTCCGCGCTGTTCCGGGATTTGGCACTTGATGGCCCAGCTCCGCTGCGATGCAGGCTGACTGCAAGTTTGCTCACGGCGAGCAAGAGCTTCGGGTCAGTCCAAGCGTCTACAAGACACAGCTGCATGGCGGCAGTGCATGCCTCTCCTCTCACCCCTCCGTCGCTCGCTCACTTCGCTTTCTCTTTGTCTGCACGTAATTTGCTTCCCCCAGTGCCGTGCCTTCTGAGGCTGTGCAACTTCTTCGCCCGCGGTCACTGTAAGAAAGGCGTCTTACTGACATGGCAGTTTCCTGCTTTGCACTGAAGCCGTGCGGAGAGGTGAGCGCTGCCGGCATGCCCACGGACGAGCAGAGCTTCGACAGTTCCAGGACCTGGCCCCAAACGATAACAGCGCTCCCCCAGATCAGAGCTGGCTAGTTCGCTGGCAGAAGGTCCAGGATGAGAACCGAATCGAAAATGCCATGAACTCAGCTGCCGGGGCGGTTTCGATGTTCTGCGTGGAGCCGGCAGCAGAACTCGATGCAATCTGGTATCGCGTTGCCAGGAAGTGTACATGGATCCTGGAGCAGGTGCAAGGGACAAGATGACAAGATGGCAACATAAACATCAGTTATCAGTTGCCCCGCTGGTCACCGTCAGACTCTCCGGAGACCTTCAAGACGCCCAAAAAGGCTCGGACAAAGCCTCTTTGTGATGAAGTTCGGTCGTTCGGTCTCCCAACGACCTTCACCGAAAAAGATCGGCCGGATGCAGGATTCTGTCCGCGCGCCTCCAGGGCTGCAGCCCCGAGTGCTCCAAGACCTGTCTAACAGGGATCTTGGAGGCAAGGGAGGCTGCATTGTCACTTGAAGCTGTTCGCTTCTTGCTTCGCCAGACTCGCCGGACATCTTCACCACGCCCAAGAAGGCTCAGAGAGTTCCTGCTGATTGCCGTTGTGCTTTGCACCGGTTTGGGTTCTGGAAGTTCTGGCGGTTGCTCAGACTTGTCTGCGTTGGTCCCTAATGGAAATCTGTACTTATGCCTTGCCAACTCAACAGCGGGTTTGCAAGCTTTCTGTTGTGTGAAGCTCAAATTGCCCTTCCGAAGGCGTACAAAGAGAACATGCTGACTTCGCCGTCGAGTTTGCCCATGAAGGTCCTCTGCCAAGTGTTGACACAGCAACACGCAGTTCAGATCGGCTCGCTTCTACTCCGAGAACTGGGGCCTTCGGTCACACGTCAGTATATGTCTAGGTGCCTCTGCCTGGCCAGACGCCTCTGACAAGAGTCCCAGGTGCCCAATTGACGGGTTTGATGCCTCTTCGGCATGTATGAATCGCACTTTGTTCAGGCTGCGACAGCCCGGCGCTGTCATGGCCGGACGAGGAGTATGTGGTCCTCTCAGTATGGTGCTCGCTGATGTGCCCACGAAAAGCAGAGATGATTTACGAACACATCCAGAGCGCTCCAGAGTGCAATGCTGAGGATGCGCCGGCAAACCAGGAGCTCAGCAGTGAACAGCTGCTAGCCGCAGCTACAGCAGCTTCTTGGCCGCGTTGAAAACTCACCGGGCTGGGGTCTTGACAATGTGCCTCAGCAGCTCGGTCTGTTGAAACTCTGTCCTGACTTCGGTCTCAAGATGTTGCGCACTAGCGCCACCAGCACTGAGGTTCATATGCCATACTTTACTCTTCTGCACTAAGCCTGGCTATTTTACGCAGCAATGAAACAAGAAACATGAGCTACTGTGACATGTTATAGTAGACGGCAACAGTTCAACCTATTTCCATTCTAATATAGCTTAGTAAAAAGCAACATGACATGACATAGTACATAATGCAGCCAAGAAAGAGCTCGAACGGAAGAAAGCACACATATGTCCGTATGGATCGGTGGATGAATGGAGGGAAAGATTGTGCATATCTATCTATCTATCTATCTATCTACCTATCTATCTATCTATATATCTCTAGCTAGCTATCCAACTAAGTAGGTACCTAACTGTCTAGCTACAGGTATTGGCTACCTTACTGTCTATCTATCTATCTATCTATCTATCTATCTGTCTATCTAAATGTTTAACTTTCTAACTTTCCGTCTGTCTGTCTGTCTATCTATCTATCCATCCATCCATCCATCTGTTATATCCAACTATCTATCTACTTATCTTTCTGTCTCTGAGGTGTCTGTCTATCTATCTCCATGCGTATGCACATCTGTTGTACAGACGAGTTTTCCATGTTGGAGCATGCAAGTACCAGTAGCTCCATTTTTTTTTTGCTTGCTTGATCATGCTCGACTTGCCATTGTGCATCAGCAGCATCATCTTGCAGCATCCAGCAGGCTGCCATCTCCGCGCAAGAACATGCAGCAGCTGCAAATGCGTTGCAGTCCGCTGCTGCACTCGCCTGGGTACCTCGCATTACTTAGATTTGGCAATGGCTTACTATGAGATTGAATCTCGAGTCATGTTGACCCGGTCCAGCACAGGCACGGGCGGCCGTGGATCCAGGTGGGATCCTGTCTTGCAAGCTGATTCTGCCAATAGACCAACTGCAGAGTGTCTGAGATTGCGTTTCAGGAAACACTTCATGCACCTGGAAAGCATAGTGCAACTAAGTTGCTTCTGGCGTATGGTTGCTCCGGACTCGCAGGGAACTCCGCGGACTTTGACCCTCTCCTGGCGCTGCTTTCGAGGACGCCCGACCTTGTCGAATCGATGTTTCATTTCTGGCAGCAATCACAGCGCCCCTTACTGTGTCGACCGTCGAAGGCAGACAGGTCCCGTCATGGGACGACAGGAGGAAGGCGGCCCAATAAGCTTAATGATCTTTTGGAGCCATCATTTTCGGATCACGATACACAGCCTGGCCTGCAACCTTTTGACAGGTTGCCTGCCGCGACCAGCCGCACCCGCACAGAAGGGCCGCGAAAGCAAGCGCTGGGTCCTGCCGCTCCTCTGGAATAACTAACCTCCGAAGAGTCGTGCGGTGCACCATGTGGGGCTTCCACCAGCCCTAACCTCCAGACCGTAGACTTTCGCGACACCCTCTTGTTCTTGCAGCTTGAACTCCCCGGTGCGGTGCCGCCATTCTTTGAGGTAGAAGCCCGCACGAGGCCTGCAGTTTGAGAAGGCACGATCGTCGCTGTTTGAGCCTCCCAAGTGTTCTTGTTGAGCAGTTGGGATTGCAGGAGCTTTCAGCTGATCGCGATCCTCACTGAGAGCGATTAATAATGAAGAGTTGTGACGGGGCAAGCCCGTGGCAATTTGCACATGGTGTTTTTTGGGAACCTGAGCCACATGCATCTGCTGTTTTTTTGAAGCACGGTTTAGCAGGAATCGCATGCTGTGGGACTTCTTCGCACATGCAGTCTTCGTGTCGCTTCAGAGGGCACTCTTTTGCCGTTCAACAGGTAATTAGGGTAGTACAGCCAGGCGCAAACACAGGTACGGTTTCAGCACATTTGCAGAGCTGGCAGATGGTGTGGGAATGACAAGGAGTGTTTGGCCGGCAGCCCTGTGGTTTTCCAAGACACAGGGGTTGTGCTAGAAGACCAAGTGGGCATACCTTGCACATCGGTTTTGCAGAGTCTTGTCGCCGGCGAAACCCTCTGTGGGGTGCCTGAGCAAGCATCCCCAAACAGCCTTCATGGGTCGCAACAAGTATTGTAACCTCAGAGTAGCAATGGTCCGTTTCGCGTGTTGCTGTAATTCTGCATTTTGGAAACCCATGAAGTCTGCTTGGCTTGGCTTGATCAGCTGCTCAAGCACGGGAGGCTTGACTTCATGAAAATAATTCCTGCCAGCATCTGACATCAGATTGCATGGCTCGTTAATGTGTGGTCTTGGCATATGACTTGTCACTTCAACCGCAGGTGAAGTATCCACCGACGCGGCATGGCGTCTCTTCTGAACTTAATCCCCCGGCAGAGACCCAACTAGAAGCCTGCGACTGACATGCCGGTTCGTTGATTGATCTTGCTCGAGTATGACAGTTGATCTTTGTTATGTATAATTATAATGGACAGCGAAAGTTCTGGGCACCAGTTTGTTTCGTCGCTATTCAAGCGACTTTCCAAGAAGTCCATGCACCCGCTAGGGATTTTTTCTGTTGCCGGCTCCGCTGCGTCAGTATGTCGGAGACCCCAAGCATTGAAGCATCAGCACCCTAACGCTTAAGGAGTCAGACACAGTCGGAGTCACCTTTAGCTGCCTGATACCCGTAGCCTCAAGTTCACGCAGAGCGGCATGCTGTGGTTCAGTGCAAGCCAGGCGAGTTTGGTGCTGGGCCGACGCCTTGATGCGAGGGAGTTTCTCGTTACTTTTTTTGCACCGTGGATTTCTGCTCCAGGCCATGCCCCAGCGGCACGCTGGGCAACATGACGATCTTCTGCAACGATGGATCCGTGCTAGCCTCGGCATCCGGCTCTGCACTAATGTCCCTTGCCAAAGACTGGAGAATGCCTCTGAGGCGGCACACGTCCTCGGAAGATGTGGGACGACTTGTCCGGCAGGCTCGGTGGACGCGCGAGGAAGTCGCACGCGGCTGCAGGAGGACAGAAAGAGCTGAATGACATTGTAAGGTGCTTTGAGATCTGGCTCTGCTACCATCTATTACTCAAGCATGGACCACGAGGCGACAACTTGCAGCGGAGTACTCCGCTACGATGTCGTATTGCCATGTCAAATTGTCGGCTCAGAGGCTCTCTGGACCCAGGGGTGCCCTTTGGGATGGGCTCCGGCCTCGGTGACTTTGGACCTCGAAGGACGCAAGGTGGTGGCTCAAAGCATCTCAGCGCATGCAAACTTCTGAGGTCGGGTTGGTGGACTTGGAATGCAACAGCCTTGAGCCGTCTGCCACGGCATTGCAACACGTTGCTGCACGATCGTTACCGTTACAGCTGCACCCAAAGACACGTCGCAGCCAAGCTGTTGATCAGGCATCAATGGGTTCACATCCGTTCGCAGTGGGCTATGCCAAAGGTGCGCCAGCTCCGACCAGCAAGACCAGAGCTGTCAGTGTGCAAGCAATCGCTTGATTGTTGCGTTCCGGACAATGAAGCTTTTGGCTCAGCCTTTCAACATCGTGCCATGGCTCTTGGCAACGCCCATGCCTCCTACAATCTGCTAGAGAGCAGCTTTTACTTGTCCCCGAAGCTGCTGTTAGACCAAGTCGAGGCAAGAGATGTGAAAGCAGAAATCCCTGCCCCTAGGCCCTAGTGCCATTCCGCAGTCTTGCCCCTGTGCGAAGGAATGTTTTAACGACGGAGCTGCATACCTGAGCCTTCTGCAGGACAACGCTTGTCTCTCCATCTCTTGGTTCACTTGCATTTGATGTTGAACTAGCGAGGTTCGTTGCGAGAATCCCAGATGCCCTATGTCAGGAACTGACCGGTCGCGGAAGCCTACTGGGCCAGCAGCCTCGTTGTGGGACGAAGGAGGAGCCTGCGCCTGTGAGAGAACTCTCCAGCCGGTGACTTTTGAGAGCAGCAGAGCAGCGTAGCTCCGCGTAGCTCCGCGTAGCTCCGCGTAATTAGCTGCAGCGACAGGTGCGGCCCTTCTGCATCCGACCTCCTCCCGGCCTCGAGTTGCCGTTCTTCTGCTGATCTAGTGGCTGTCTGCCTCAGCTCCTGGCTGCCTGGTTTCGTAGGACGATAATGACAAGAGACTACAGAGTATGAGGGTCGGAGAAAGCCGGGAAGAAGAACACTATATCAAATGACCTCAGCTGGGTCGACCTGGGGTTTAAACAGAAACCGGGAAAAGGGAGGCCTCGATTGGCCTTCTTGTCTTGCACTGGCCCGCTTGAGGTGGTAAGTGCGTTATTGCCTGACCAGACTTTTCCTTCGAGCTTCTTCTTTCAGAGGCCTGTTAATGTGAGGCCAAGTACCAAACAACAGTTGGCTCCAAGGTCGTTTGTAACCAAGTTAACCAATCCAGTGGGCTCCTTGCCGCATGCCGAACGGATCGCAGATGAAGCTAGCCACCAAGGGAGATCCTCTTTGTGTTCAATGCGCAAACACGGACAAACTTCATGCAGCAATGATGCATCCGCCAACCTTCTGAGAGAGGCTGAACGTTTCCTTGATGTTGGGGTCACCAGTTCAAAACGCTGACAGAGGACAATTCTTTGCAGGGTGAGTGCGTGGGTGGGTGGGCTACTATTTTTGCGCGATGTTCCTCAAAATTATGTTCTCGCCACTCTCGTGCCCCGTCCATTGGATGCTGCTTTCATTTGCATAAACTAAGCTCTCGCCAGAGTTCCGTGCGCATGTTTGGATGTAGTTCGTGTTCGCACCGCAGTGCTGCTTGCATTTTGCACTTAGACTCGCTCGAAAGCTCGAGTTCTGCAAGAAGACCTCGTTCCCCGTGATGTCCACCAAATGCAGCGAGCCGCTCGCCTCAAGGGCTGGAATGCTGCAAGTCGTCCTGGCAAGTCGTTGGACCTTTGGAGGGCGTGGAACGGTTTCTAGTCGTGTAGGGTTTGGACTACTGTGGTCTCGCCGGCAGAGGCTTGTGAGTTTCTCCAAACGTCAATTTTCATCTTGCCGAGGTTGACTCAGACTTCGGACGAGACCGACACGACATTGTTGTGGGCTTCGGATGCTACAGCTGATCTGCCCGAACAGGACTCATGTTTTCTGGATACATTCACCGATATTATGACCACTCCTTCCTCCTCAACCCGCGCATTTTGTGTGAGCTCTACGAGCCAGTTATCTGCGCGGCGTCTTCTCGAAACTCCGCGTGATGCCCATGATGCTCGGAGTGGGCGAGCGCTGCTGCTTGAAGCTTTGAGCCTCAGCTCTTTTCGCCCAGGCTCCCCCAGATTTCCACAGAAGTCGGAATGCGTCTGGCCGGAAACGCACATCCAGTAGCCATCGTGCCTGCGCTCGCGCGACTGGTTGCACGGACGATGCGACGCGAGACTTGCTCCACCACTGATTTTGCGAATGCAGTTTGTGCTGCGACTGCGCTTCTGTTGGCATTCTCATGGCAGGATCCTACCTGCAGCCACGGCTCAATCCACAAGCGTAGAGCGGCCGCCACAAAGTCGGGCGCTCGATTGCACAAGGTGCTTTCGCGTGCTTGCTGAAGTTGCACGTGCTGAACAGGACATCTGCTCCCCAAAGCAACCAGAAGCCGAAGTCTGCAAAAGCTGCCAAGAAGAAGCAGAAAGAGCCGTCTCGTGCCTGCAGCACTGCAGAAGAACCGAGGGATGGCGACAGGAAGTCTTTGTCGTTCCCCTCAGGCTGTCGGAACTACAGCCACTTCCGCCAGGGCCTTGTGTTGGGCAAACCGCGCAAGGCTTGCCCGCTACGAACCTGTAGAGCTTGGCAGAGTGCGCCCGTGAAATGCGAGCAAATCATATTGACTGCACTGCCTTGGTGGAGCAGGCAGTGCAGGTGGCCAGAGTGGTTCCTGGCCGCAATTGGCATTGACTTTTTCTTGACACCTTTCCCTCACAGACATTCTGTTTATCAGGTCTGTGTTGATTGGACCAGTCACGTGAGGTGTGTCACGCAAAGCAACCTGCAAGCTTCTTGGCGAGCTGTATCTTTGAGGGAGCATCTTCCCAAAGACGATCAAGCGCGACTTGAGCTGGAAGAGATCATGTCGAGTCTCTAGGTTCTCCTTCGTCGGCTACAACAGTGAGAAACATAAAGACTTCGATCTCGTCCCTCGCCTCATCGGCCGAGAGGGCTGTTTCTTGGAATGCTCTTAGTGCACCGCCTTTGCCTTCTGCATGCCTTTCGAGTCCTTTGGTTTTTCTTTGCATGCTCGCACTCTCACCGGTATGTATCTTTCCACCCCGGCACCCGAAGGCAATATGCGTGCAATTGCCACGGATGACTGCAAAGTCCGGATCCGTGGGAGAGCAAGTGCCCATTTCGACGTCCTCCGGAACGGTGTAGCACGGGAGGCGCGACAAGTTGCAAGCATCTTCCCGGTTTGTCACTGTTGTTATCTGGAGCCAACCGATTTGCTCAGTGTTGCAATCTCGCACAAGGCTGATACGCCATTGCAAATTGCACTGTTCCTTGTCTCGCAATGGCCGCCTCGCGTATCTTCACGTCTCGCATGACTCACAGATTAAAGTTTAAAGTCAAGCAGGGCTTCCTGAGGAGTTGCAGCAACGAGAAGGAGCTAGAGGTTGCCAAGCAGAAGGTGCAGCCCATGCAAGACAAGTTCAGATGAGCATGTCACGTCTGCACGTTGTCTTCGCACGAAGTTTGCGTGACCTCGGGTTCTACGCCAGGTTGAGACACTCCTCAGCAACATCTCTGTGCATTTCTACAGCGACAGGGTTGCAAGAGACGTAGGTTTGGGGATCTACTGACTCGGATCCTTTGTGAATGCAGCCCTTTTGTTGGTGGTGCCCATTGACCAGAATGGTGAAATTTTTCACTGTGAGTGAAATTCCTTTGCTAAGAGGGGTGACTTTTGCTTCTAACCCAATGCTAGCTCTTACTTACCATGAACTAATGGACAATTTACGGTTGCCAAGAAAAATTGGCCCTGGAGCAAGCTAAGGATGCTGCCGCAACTTGTCTCAAACGGTCTGCTTGGGTGGCGCTTGCTGTTGTTGTCATCGCTTTTGGGCTTCCCATCAGCTCCGGCAAAACTTGCAAGAGCTTTCAGGCTCGTGCAGCAACCAGTAACCCCCCGCCTACCCCAATCCAGCCAGACGGTTGAGCCGCCTGTCCGAGGCAAGATGGGCTGGACGCCTCCGGCACAGCTGTACAAATTGATCTGACTCGGAATTCGTTCAACCTGGCATTGCATCGCTACGCAGATCAACTTGACACTTGAGACGACAACCCGAGAAATTGTGATCAGGGAGCGAAAGGGAAAGTCAGCAGAGCTGATCTGCAAGCCTTTTGCTACAAGGCCAGACATCTCTAATTTTGGGTACAGCATGGTGCCGCCAGTTTGTCGCAGCAGGTAGCACGCACACCTGTTTGTACAGCGAATTACGAGCCTGCCTGCGACTGGGGTTTTGTAATCTTTGTAATCAGGGGCATTCCTACGAAGTCGTCCCGTCAAAGCTCGGATGCCGCGATGTCAGTGAAGTCACGCAACGTCTGCGAAGTGATGAGGTAGCGCGTAGTAGATCCATCCGAGTTTTGACTCCGGAGCGGAGTTTCTCGGATGCCCTGAATTCCGATTCCGAATTCGCTTCCTCAGCGGCCAGGCATCGCGGCCGCACCCGCCGGCAGCGGACACCTGACTCCCCGAGTGCGCGTGCCAATGCCGTGCACAGGAGTCCCTGGTCCCTGCTCGAATTTACAGGATCATAGCCCCACAGCACATGCACAGCAGTGCTTGCATTTGATCCTTTCAACTCTCGGCCTTCCAAGGCAAGGCTTCGGAGACATGAAAGGACTCCGGTCGAGTGGCGATGATATGTGTGGACTCATTTGATCCATGGGGCCGCTTCCTTCTACGATCCAGGCATTCTAGGCTTAGTTGGTCCTCGCATCGCATCCCCACGCGACCTCGCTGCACAGAATCGTGCAGGGTACGGCGAATCATAGCTTCAAAGATGCGGACTCTCCGTCGATGACCAATGAGATCCAAACCATGCTGAGCCGATCGATGGTGGAGAATCCAGTCTTTGTAGTGATGCATGGCTCCACTGGTTGACGTGACCTTGGCCTAGGGCCAGAGAGAACGCGAACGCTGCAATGTGTACAGCGGTGTGTCGAAAACGTGGCGGTTCGCTTGTTGCTGGTGGTAGTTTCTTACCAGTCTCTCCAGCTCTGTCTCCGAGACATAGTTCTGGCAAAACCTTGCCAGCGAGCAGATAATCACTTAGATCCGCTGCACCACTCCCGTTTGTTGAGATTCGTCAGGACAAGCAAAGTCAAGCAGTATCCTGCAGGCACTGCGATGAAGGTACGCTCAACACTACGGCTGCGGGCTTACTGTCGTTCAGCAACAAGCCAAGAAAGCTGCATCTGCCATACATCACTTCATGCCCGGCCAGGCTGATTCCGGAATAGCTCCTGCAGTGTCTGGTTTCGTGGTGTACGATGAGTCAGCCTCGCATGTCCAGCGTCTGAGCACTCGCGGATGCTCCCTCACATGCCAGTCTGGACCACAGCAGAGGGGTTTGGGCAGCCTGCCAAAGCCCCAACGACATGCTCACTGGGCGCGGGCGGCTCAGAGTCGCAGAGTCCCGGCGTCTTCCTGTCCTACTCTCCCTCTCTCAAGACGCACACCAGCTTCAGCTTGGGGCACAGGCCTCGTGCTCTTCTGCAACGACGGCAGCGTGAGTCCCGACTACAACTTAGGCATCAGCTTGTCAGTTTCCCCCTCTTGTCTCTCTCAGTCCGGCGGAACCCGGAAGGGCTCCGTTTTGGTGGGCAGGCCGCTGCAGCCGTCACTGCGCAGCAGGACAGGTTGGAACAGGAGTCCGAGCCGTGAGGCCGGGCCGGAGCACCTCCTCAAGCTGCGCTCTGCGCACTTCCCTCTCCCATCCCTTTTTGAGTTGTGTGGTTTGCAGTCACGGCATCATTCCGCACATGACCAACGTGACCTTGGGATGCGGGGGCCTCTTGAGACCATGCTTCGAGCTGCTGTTCCTGATACGACAGGAACTCACGCAGTGAGTTGCAACCGCACCAAGGCAACCCTGGCTTTAACGGCGGCTTCTACGTCTTGGACCCGGATGTCTGAAGCGCCCCACAGAACGAAATAGAGAGGGAAGGATATGTGTGGGAGGTGGTGAGGAGTGAAGTCGGTAGTCGTAGAGCAGGGGGCCAGTCAAGGCCAACGCAGCTGGGATGGTAAGGAAGGGAGTTTCGCGACGAAAGAGGCAAGTTTCTTTTCCGGGCTGAACTGGCGAAACTTGTAAGTCAACACAGGTATAATCCTCTAAACCCTCCTCATCCTCGGCGTAGCGCGCCACAGCGACCATCTGCAGGCTAGTGGGATCATGGTTTCTCCCCACGTGAACCAACTAGCAAGAGCAGGTAAGGGCGCGAAACCGCGCGAAGACATGAAGCCGAAGCAAGGGGTTTCTACAGTTCCTTTGGCTGTGGGGAAGAAGACTCGACCTGCACTCGTTTCCTCTGTCCCAAAGAGACCTGACCTGAGTCCGGGTTGTGAAGAGTCAACCATCCCAACAGGGACGGAGGGAAGCGAGAAGACATCTGGCAGGAGAGAGACTGAAAGTGAGACCGAAAGAGGTCGGATGCGTTGACGGTGTTGTGATCCTCTACGAGGGCTTCTGCCGCAGTGTCCTCAGATCAGACATGGGAAGAAGACTGAGAGGGTTGTTGTCAAAATGCCTGCGACACCCACAGCTCCGCCAGATATGAATTGTGTGGCGGGTACCATCACTTCCAACACCATCACGCTTCCGCCGCAAGCTGAGCTTTCGATCAGGGAATACTTCCTAAACACGTCGTGTGTCAGACTGTGTCAGAGCCTATCGATCATTCGACTTCCGTCCTGGAGAAACCATGCTATCAACTAGCAAACCGCGAAGGGAATTTCGGATCCGTCTTACTGCCATGTTGTTAATCTAAAAGCAGTTGCACGGCCCGGGACAGCAACTTCAGTACGAATCCTGCTCGCATGATTTGGATTGCAAAGACGACGACGGGTAAAACTCAGATCGCGTTGTTTTGTAGTTGTTGTTGCTGTACTGCGGTTGCTGTTGTGGTGCTGGTAGTGGATGTCGTCGATCTTCGTTTGTATCATGGGTGCGATGGTTGTTCCTGCTCGAGTTAATGGTCAAGTCTATATTTCTTCGAGCACACAGCAATCTTCCACATCAGAGACTAGTGTGACTAGTGCTTGTTTGTCATGATGAGGCATCGGGTATGTTCACTGCTCGGTAACTTTATACATGCCTGCTCTTCAGGCAGCGGGCCTTGATTGCATCAGGAAAGGAGGCTCACTGTCCTTTCGGTGTCCAGGCATGAGCCGCTCGAGCACGGAGAGAACACAACGGTAGAGTCTTGTCCTCGGAAGGGTTGGCGCCGCAAGGCTGCCTCTGCCTGAAGCTGAAGCTTGAAGGTGCCCTGCAGCTACGCATGCCGGGAACATCACTGTCGCCACAGCCTTGGGTATTTGGAGCGAAGCCACGACGGTGCATCGCTGTGGCCTCGCAAAAAGTGCGACATCCCAGAGCTTCATCGTCCTGGCCGCTTTGTTGCCACGGAGCCTCGTGGAGTGTCGAAAGCCAGCCGAGGTTTGTGACGATGGACAAGCTACAATGGTTGAGGGCTTCTGTGGCCAGAACTGTCTCCAACTTGGAATAGTCGGTTGGTCTGCAGAGCGCGGATTATGTACAGACGAATGTGCAAATGGCAAAGACTCAAGGCACGTCCGGCTTCATCTTCTCAAATGGCCTTGTTCTTGGAGTAGGTTGCCTAAACTTAGACTGGGTTCATGCGGCATCGGATCCCCAGGTGCAAGGGTGAACCATCCAGGCATCCAGCACGGAACGGAGCAAAATATTAGCCGGAGCCTTGGCCTTTGCTGCCGTTAATCTGGAGCGTTTGCGCTCTCGGGCTGAGGTTGTCCTGCACCTTGGGGTGCTGAGATCACCTTCCGCTGCTTTGTCTTTCCGGCATGTGCCGCAGTAGCACTGTGTCTGTAGTGTGTGTGTGTGTGGCCGAGTCCTCACACTGCCAGGATGGCAGTGTGCGCAACAGCGGCAGGTTGCCTGCCGGCAAATTGCTTGTCTGATTGTTTGGTGCTCATGCACAGAGAAAACGACAGCATCGGCGCTGCGGCTTCTGTTGCTTTGCGCACTGCTGCTCAGTTGCCCAGGATCTAGGTAACAGGCAGCAAAGGTATGCAGACTCTGCGGCACAAAGCCCGGTCTGATCTGGGCGTGCACGGAGCTTGAAGGAAACGTGTCGAATGCGTCGAGCAGGTGCGGACGGCAGTGTATTGGTGGCAATGTTGCCAGTGCCCTGTGAAATCGGTACCACTATCACAGACTTGATTTATGCTTCGAGCCCAGGAGCAGAACGGGGCTGTGGTTTTCTACACCAACCTAGCCCACGGAGAGGCTTGAAGCTTGGGATTTTTGGCAAAGTTGTGAGGTATGCCAGGTATCATATGGTTTGGGCTGGGACTGTCTGTGCAGTCCGGCGTCTTCATCTGCGAGACCTTGTTTCAAAGCCTCTGCCCAAGTCCTGTCAGCAAAGGCTCTTGTCGTTGTCACTGCAAGAAATCAGTGAGACTGGCAGAGGTGCTTTGACCTTTTCCGGAGAGTTGGAGTTGACGCGGCTCAGCGCTGTTTTAGCTTCTTTTGGAGTCTCGGACTTGCCAAGCTTCAACAAACGCTTGATTTGGCTGCGGTCTGGACCAAGTTGCGATGATGGTGCCGTGCGTGCTGTGGGGCTGTGTTCTCCAGATTGCCCAGCTGGAGACATTACCAACAACGGAGCTCGGGTAAGCCAGCACGCTTAAGTTTGGATAGCTTACCGCGCTGGTTTGCATCTGCAAGCCTGGCAGTGTGTGTGTGTGTGTGTGTGAGATCTCGTTCAGATCATCGTACCTGCGCTCAAAGCGGACACCTACATCGACACCTTCTGCCAACCACGGGCAGCTCACGGCGAGGTGGCCGACAGAATTGGCCGAGACGTACAGCTTTCTTCACGGCCTCGCTCCTTCAGGTTCGAGTTACATGCCAGGATGGCTTTCAGGTCGTAACTCAAGGCCAAGCTGTTGTGAGATTTGGACCGGTCAAAGCACGACTCGTACAGCAGAGGCTCATGTGGCGACCCGTGTCCGGAGGACTGGTTCTCAAACGCCCGGCGCTTCAGCCACCAGTTGAGGTTTAGGGGTCAGGCGTGGTTCGTTTCCACACATGTCCTGCTGAGGTGAACACTCGGCACACAGAGCTGTGGCTAGAGGAGGGGCGCTTCGCTGACGGTGTGTCCACAAGCACCGCACCGCCACGCAACTCCAGCATCTCCCAGACAATTTCAGTCTGCACGTCAGCAACTTGCAGATGTTTGCGGCGACTCTTCATCGCAATGCTGTTGGCCAGGAGGTATCACACGATAAGGGGGTATGGAAGGATTGCCCGCAGGACTCCGGGATCGTGATAAGCACGAAGCAGAGTGGCACAGCGTCTCAGGGCAGTGTGAATATTCATGTGCCTAATGCTCGACCTGCTAGAAGGCATCTTGCGCCAATTCGCAGGCGTGCCAATAACACCTAAACCCCACTGCAGCTGAGCAGGACCTCAGCGGCCAAATCTACATCCACTGCCTTCATCTCGATGGAGTAGGGAAGCTGCAGGGGACTCTCACTTGCTGGATCACTCAGGCTTCGATGGACTTCTCCGTGTTCTTGAGGGCCAGTGTGGCCGCTTAACAGCATTGAGCATTGGGGATATCGCTAACATCGACAATCGGCTCAACTTCGGTGCAACAGAGGCAACGGCTCCGAGTCGAGTGTGCGAGTCCTAGACTGCTCATGCTCTCAGGTGAGCGGTGCCGCAGCGAAAGAGTCGAAGTTACTGGTGCGAACTTCATCAGCCGCTCGACGGTTTATGAAGGGATGGTGCTGACAAGAGCGATTTAAAAGCATCGCAAGCAGAAGCTACAATGAAAGGCCCGCTGCTGGACCATGCCGAAGAGCACTTGCAACCTTGTGTGGGCCTTTGAGAGACTGGAGAGACATCTTTGAACATCCCTGGCCATAGGTTCACCACCCAGCGAGACGAAGTCACATGTGTGATGCTTGTGCGCGACGGCTCTCAGGTCTCCAGCCCTACAGTGACTTTGTCCATCTGACGGGCTTCCGCCGGCAAGAGCGAGAGCGTCGCCCTGCTTGCCGAGCCAGTTCAGATGCCAGGTGAACCTCACATGCATCTTCGGAGAGCTTTTGGTGCTTTCCTCGGTCCTCTGTATGCCTCAACGCTTCCGACATCCCAGCTCCTGAAGTCTAGATGGGTTTCCGCGAACGTATCAAAAACCAAAGGATCACTATGCTCCCGTCAAGGTTTGCTGTTGCTTGCCTAGATGTCTGCGGATTAGCCACTCAAAAGGCCACTGCAGTCCACCCATCGCCGGTGCTACGGCTTCTACTAGCCCCGGCCTTTACCCCTGAACTAGATACATATGTCGTGCTGCCAATGCCACCGCGCTTGGCGTTGCTGCCACCTGCATCCCATGAAGGCTCAGCAGATTAAGTTGTGTTTATCATGGTTGATTCGATCGCACAAGAGATACAGCAAGCAAAGCTACAGTGTTGTTTTTTATGCATCCATGTCTGGTGATCTAGTTACTACACTGACATGAACTGACTTTTCACCAGGTCGTGGGCAACTGCCAGCTAGGTTGCTTCGCCGGAGACTTTGTGCGGGTCTCAGCATCCTGTAACTGGACGAGGACCGTCGGGTAAGTCTGCCGCTGCTCAGCTTCCAAGACACTCCTGATGCCAACAGCTTTATCGTAATCCGGCTGGTTGCAAGCCTTGGGCCTCCAGCTGGAGCTATTCAGGACATCACCCTGGCATGCAGCAGCAAACGGCCCGAGAGGTTGCATGTCGACGCCACAGCTAGAGCGCAGTGTCACAACGAGCACGCCTGGCCAAACGGCGCCTTCACTCATGAAGCACACTGCCGACACCAGACGATGATGTACGTCCGACATGGTAATGCAGAGGCTTACTTGCTGCATCGGCTAGTGATAGTGCTTGTGGCAATACCAGGCATGGGTCCCGGGCTGCCACTTCTGCTTGCATGAGGTGCTTCCAGGTGGTGCGACGGTCTCTCACCCGGACCTGGTGAGTGGCTTCACAGCCCCTTTGCTGCATGGGAGCTTGCTTCCATCACTTGTGCAAGCATGCACGCTTTTCTCTGTACGAATGCTCCTTGATTGCGACGGGGCAGGCCGAGCCAGACTGTCCTCTGGGCTATGCAATAGGCAAGGTGACGATCGTGCACCTTGGCAGCAGAAACGAGCTTGTTATCGAACCCCGAGTTGCAGTGCGAAAGGTGCGTGAACGGCAACATGGAGGTCCAGAGCGGAACCTGCGATGCCCACTGCCAGGCATCTGGGGTGTCATGAGCGATCGCTCTTTCAGAGGTTAATAGGATCCCGATCCTGGCATCCAGTGCAGAAGCCAACATCTCTCATATTCACCTTCATTCTGGCCATCTGCCAGGCCGGGCGATTTCAGGGTCCGACTGGATACTTGGCAGGAAGCTTGGATCTACGTGGCATCATGGCATATATTACCGTACTTCCGTGTGAACTCAGGTCAATCACCTCGAGATCCAGCACAACGAGACGCGGCTGGTTGCCTGCACCGACCACAGAGGTCTTGATTCAGAATCTTGTTCTTGTGCAAGCAAAGCTTACGATCTGCTGGAGCGTGAAGAGAGGGTGTGCTATGGTGTGCAGCTGTCGGGACTTGCAGAAGCTCAGGTCCAGCAGGCCAGACTGAGTCGCATATGTGACAGCTGATTCAGTCTCACAGTTTGTTTAGTGCCATTCTCGGGAAGTACAGGCTACATCGGTCAGCTCCGACTACGGTGTCTTGCTGGGGTGGTCGGTGCCTTGAGCAGTCTTGACAACGTGATCTAGGTGCTTGATGCGACAACCCTGCATGTGGTGAGGTTGGCATCGAAACGGGCCAATGCTTGCGCAACTGTATCGAGGGTGCCACAAACCTGAGGCCCTTCGCTGCAATATGCAGTGATCCAGTGAAGTTGCAGTGTGACGGATTGGCTCCGATTCCAACATTATCTGGGCCTCGAGTCCACCCGAACGTGTCTGCCATAACTTACATTTGTTTGACGTCAAGAACGTATGGCCATGTTTGGACAAGAGTATGTCGAGGGTGAGACGGTCTGAGCAGAAAGTAGAGTCGCAAAGAGCTCAATGCAGGGATGACGTGATTTTTGGTTACGTGCCGACCCAAGAGAACATGTTAGCCCGGAGTGCGCCCTCTGGTGGACTCTCCCAGGGCGACATGGAGCATGGTGAAGTTAGCCGGGAGATGAAGTGCCCTACAGCCGTGGCCTCGAGCCGTTGAGCTACGACATCCGCTGCCACGCTGCCATCTGCCTGTCAGGGCTACGTCGGCTCTGTCCGTCTGCTCTGCACGGACAGTGTTGCACCTCCGGCCGATTGAAGGTTTTCGAGGGCACTTGGACCCTGCCAGGATCCACTATACACGGAATCCAACACCGGCTGCCCAGGTGTCTGTAGCTTCTGGCAATTGCCTTGCCCACTGCGGCGCTGGCGTAGCTCAGGGCGCCGAGTCGGGGCCTTTCCTGCCTCCTGCGCGAAGTCAGAAATTTCTGAGAGAATTTCAGGTTCTTCTCCTTGGAACACGAAGATTTCGCTGCAACCCCGGAGAGGTGTCAGGAGACCGGATTGCTCCGAGGTTCAGATTTCGTGGTCGTTGCGAGTGGATATGTGCGTTCTGAAGAACGTATGAAGCAAAGCTTTGCCTGGCTACGTGTCAAGGTTTCCATTGTTTGTCCGGAGGCGCGGCAAGCCGACGGACTCTGGTAAACAGATACTCTGCTCTTGCCTGGCAGGTTGGTGAGATCAAAGTTCGTTGCTTTGACGGCGAGGTGGAGGCGGGGACGGAGCGGACCGCAAGAAATGCCAACAGGATGTGGCGGGCTCCTTGCGCTTGTGTGCTGTTGGAAACATGACAAGGTCGTTGAAGGTCAGTGTCTGTATGGCTGTGCGGCGGGTACCGTGCCGAACCGAGCGCATGGCGTAATGGGGCAATTCTACCCCAGGTCCAGAGGTCAGGCATTCTTGCTCCTAGGTTCTCGATCCCAACGGTGTGGATCTGAGGCAGTGGCCCAAGATGACGTAGGTAATGAGTTGCATAGTGGCAAGGAGACACTGCCATGTTCTGAGCTTGCGGTGGAGCTATGGCCTGTCAACATCTGTCAATGCAATGTTGAGGTACCCTGCTTTTCCGCACGGCACCAGGATCAATGGTCTGGTGCTGACTTGACAGCCTTGTCTCGTTGTGGTTCTGCCGGAAAGATCAGTTCGAAGATGGATCGAAGGCACCTGCAGTGGCCTCGGTGTGGGCACGGTGGAGTTGCATTGCAACAACACTGTCGGAAGCTTGAGATGTCCGAGACTACTGTGGGCTTCCGACCTGACTCGTTGGTTTCTGAAGGTCGTGGGTCTCGCTGGTGAGGGCACCTGCCAAAGGCACTCCCGGTGAGGGTCGTGTCAACGATTCAATCGCAAGACTCTGCTAGGCATTGCCCTCCGCAATTTACCGAGTCAAGGGACGGGTCGAACGTCGCTGCACTCAGCTCCGTGTTGCGCATTCGTCATGTGACAACCGACAACCGAGCCCACCAAGGTCTCCGTGCCTTACATCGAGTACCTTGTCTGATCAATCTAGAAGTCGTTAGAAATCATCAATGACGACAGCTAGTGATTTGCGTGGTGGCTCTTATTCCGAAACTGTAAGGCATTTGCAACAAGCCTCCGTGCAGTCAGCGCCTCAGTCTGCCAATTCCTGTATTGTGCATAGACCGGGGCTAATCTCGGCAACAGTTCGCTCAATACATTCCAGCCATCAGTGCGACTGAGGTGTCCAAACGGTCAGGCTGGTGTTTTGGCGGTGTCAGGCACTCATGGCCTTCGCGGACATCGGACGACGGTCTGGACGGAGTATACGTTCGAAAGAACCCAATCGAGGCGCTGCACGGACTTCGTGTCTTCGGTCTTCGACGGAATTTGCGGCGACATGAACTGCCGAGCTGGAGAGGCTGCCTACATCTACTTGCGATGTACCATACCACATCATGTGTTACGGCATGTTCTTCTTGCATGTCATTGCCTGTAGTGCCGTGTGTCTATGTACTGTGTGCCATGAACACATAGATGTTGCTGCTTCAGGTTGTCGTATTCTATGATATGCTGGAACTAGTATTTAATTATGAGATACGTGAATACTTTTGGACTGCCTATATCGCTTGCTGTTTTCCATCACGATCTGCTGTTGTTCCTTATTGTGTTTTCCGTCTCTGGCTTTCTACCCACGAAGTGCCCGGGAGACTCAGATGTTGCGGGGAAGAAAGAAAGGAAAGACAGGAATGTGCACCCGAGCCTCGCGTCCTTCCCGGAGAGGCTTGCTCCATCCTCTGTACCCAGTGTACCCATCAGGTTCTTGAGAGCTCTGTGTCCTAGCAGGTCGACACAAATGGCGCACTGGTTGCATATCCTGCCATCAACGACAAGCGCAATGTTCGGGACAGAGATTCAACAGACACGCAGACTTGCGACTTAACTTTTTTCTGCGCCGTTTGGGCCTGAGGCCGGACCAGGAGATTGTGGTCAGGATTTTCTGGGAGAGCCAGTGTTCTACTGCAGGCTTCTTGCACTAACAAAATGAAGCGGGTCTTCTGCAAGCAAGCAGCCGTGTGCAGTGATGGCGTCGTGTCTGTCCTGGCCGTGAACCTGATCCGACAGCCACGAATTCCCGGCATCGACAACGTCAGCGAAATAGGCCTCGTTCTCATTCTGCCTCATTCTTCTCGCAGTGTAGCAGAAACCTATCTGCTCATTTTTTCCAGGCTCGAGTTACAACTTCACCGAGGAGGATCGCTTCAAGCTCTGCGGGTGCGCTGCAAAGTTCAGCAAGCCCCAGCCTTGCCAGAACACGACACCTCAGCCCCAGTCGCAGGGATCTTCTGGAGCTAGCATGTGGGAAGCACGTCACGCGAGTTGTGCCTTGCCAGGTGCTGCAGTCCACCCCCGGATTTGCCGGACATCGCAGCACTGCCACTTGGTGAAACTGGTCGAGCTTCTCCTTCTGCTAAGCCTGCTAAGCACAGCCCCCAACAATTCGGCGCATTACGAAAGCGCTGTGTGCAAGAATGTGTGTTTTTTCCATTTTTTCTCCAAGAGCGAAACAACATGGAAGCAGCACGGTAGCACGCACACCCCGGACCCCGCATGAGCCTGAAAACTTTGCCAACAGGGAGGGCCTGGACTCCATGGTCGTGATCTATTGGGCGGTGGCAGTTGGAGGCTGCGAACCGTTGCAGCGAGGGAGACTTGGAATCACGGTGCATGTGAAGAGACAGGAGCCGGCTTTCTTGTAGCCACCGCGTCTGGCTATTGGATCTACAAGAAGAGGTCGGGAGTAGATCTGTGCCGGCGGCGCCGCCTTGGAGCCCAGCTGAGGCCACCGAAGGTGAGCAAGGTCACTCCGGACGATGCCCGGCCCATACTGTAGTACTGTAGTGTGCTTTGACAGGTGGAGGTCGCGCATGAAGCTTTTTGTGATGCCGGATGCCAGGGACTGGGAGCTGGATCTTCGCTCGCGATCGAGGCCCCGGTTGACGCACAGAGCAAGGCCCAAGGAACGTCTGCTGCCAAGCTTTGGCTGGACAACCCGCAGCTCACTAGCAAGGACAGCCGGCCTCAAGCCATGGATCCCCGACGTTTTAGTCGTCCACCTTCCAGGAGCTTGCCCTCAGAGATGCTGCGATGCCGGAAGCCCTGTTGGCCGTCCATCAGTGTAGCACAGGAAGTTAAGGCCTCTGCAACCCTGCAATCCTGCCTGTGGAAGGTCCGAGCGGGATTTGGCGCTTGCGCTCAAGGCACGGGAATCGTTGGTCAGCTTATATCATGCCTCACATGACCCACTAGTCTGTTCCGAGTAATGGTTATCGTGATTGTGGGTTACTGAGTAATGGAGCAAAGGGCGGGAATAGTAGTAGTGCGCCAGGCCGGGCAAATAAACGCATTTCTGATACTCGGCCGTTTACTTGCACCTCGTTTGTGAATTCGAGATAATTCGAGTGGAGCTAGCCAACGATTGGCCTGACTTTTCTGCTGCATCGGTCGGGCCTGTGCCGCCTCAGCTAACATGCAATGATTTTCGGAGGGCGCCAGTATCCACCACCATCGTGAGCATGACGATGCTTCGCTTGTGCTTCGCGAACTTCCTGCATGACATGCTGCCGAGATTTTGGCCAACTGTCATCACAATAAGCCTAGAAGCCTTCGCTTCCAGCCCTAGCTTTCGTCGGCATCAACTCGGCGAAACGATACCTTTGGCCTCTCTGTCGCATCGTGAACACTGAGCCGGCTGAAATGATCAAGTCGCGGTGCGCTCTGAACGTTCGCGTCTTGCAGGATGTGCCTGCCCGGCCTGGGCTGCAGGACCCCGCACCTCGCTAAATCCCAGCGCCTTAGAGTGAAGAGCCCCACCATGCCAGGACAGTGCGTTGCAGCAACTCGGTTGCACTGGGTGAGCGCCGATAGAGCAGATAGGGCAGCGGCTTCGACGTTGGAAGCTAAGGAGCCAGGTGAGTGTTGACGTGGACGGCAGGTTGGGACACGTCGTGACACAACTCGTCGGTTGCTGCTTCAGCATCCTGGCCATGCAGGCGATCCTCGGCCGCTTACACAGCTCGCACTCAGGCCTCGCAGCCGGATTCCTTTAGCCAAATTCCCAGGACGGAGCTGCAATGAAGAAGCGCAATGCAAGTGATGGCAGGCCGTCAAATAGGATCTGTCTAAATGAGATGCTTCGCAGGAATCTGCAGCTCCTGAAACCTAAGCCCGTGCCTCAGACACGAGCACAGGCCTTGCAGCCTTGCGAAGGGCCCGGAGAAGGGGAAGGGAAGAGAGCAGATCACCGAGTCTGAGGCGTGAAGGTGCCTCCAAGGACTGGCAGTATTGGTGAGGCCCAGGCTTAGGGCGACAGAAGTGGCTCTGCAGATGTGCTAATGATGTAGTCGGTCCTCCTTCGGGCAGCTTAATTCAAGCAGCCCTGGTGTACAAGGACAGGTAGGAGGCATGAGAAGTCCAATCTCACAGGAGCCCCGAACCGCAGCTCATTAAATGACCTGGTTCGGTTCGTTCAGTTCAGGTTAGAACCCTGACGGTTCAAGCGTGCGATCGTTGGAGCCTTGAAGGCTATGAGCCAACGAGTTGCACATATTTTCAGCAAGCCATTCTTCAGGCACCTGGGGCAAGGCTTGTGAGAATTCGACATCCAGGATGCTTAGACCCGCCAGCGCCAGCAGAAGCAACAGCACATCAAGCACACATACGGATTGCACCAGTACTGTAGCAATACAAACCTGACGGGCAGAGAGGCCATCGACGCAGACGTCACTGCAAGAATGAGCTGGCATCGGGGAAATATGCTACAGCCAGCGGCAACCCATCACGTCACCTGTCCCAGCTTTCCGCATGAATGCATGTGCGTGGGGCCGGGCCAACACTTCCATCTTTGGGACCAGGGCTCAAGCACTGGTATTCTTGTTTCCGAGAGCATGCCTAGCACTATCATCGTTGATGATTATCTCTAAAGCACCGAGACCTTTACGGGAGGGTGCGAGGTACGGCGATGTCCCTTGCAGTTGCCACGAACAATCCTTTCGGAGGCCAGCACACCAGCTGAAAGGGGCTTCGGTTTGATGCGTTGCCGACAGTCCTTGTTCGCTTCATGTTTTTTGGGGACAGGTTTCTGCTATGTCTATGTTCGACGACGACCTTGGCCAGGCGACATGAAGAGTGGTTGGCACGCTTTGGAGCTAAGTTGTAGCCGATCATGACCGCCGATGATAAGAGAAGATTTAGTGATGGCAGGAGCTGCATACAGAGGAAGCTGTGAAGCCGAAGTCCTCCTTGAAGCCTCGTCGGGGCAGCCGACGACAGAGTCGGCGAGTCAGTCAGGCACACTGCGCCATACAGTCTGCTCGACTGGTCCGCATGAGCCGGCTCCATGCTAGTCAAGCAGGCAGGCGTAGATGCTGCCGTGGCCGCAGCGGTGGGAGAGAAGTCGGAGGCCCCGAACGACAACATCGGCAAGGCCCTGTCAAAGATCACGGGCCAGGCCGTCCGGCGACCCTGCTGTACTGCTCGATCTCCCGAATCATGGGATGGGCACGTCCCGTCCCTTGTCAGGCCAAAGCCTTGAAGTTTGCCATGGACCTGGCACAGAAGGCTATGCAACAGGCGGAACAGCTCGGCTTGAGGAGAGATTGGATGCAATTTGCTAGGCATATGATGCCCGAGACGAAGAGGACCGATGTGAACTGCATGCTATTTTCCACCGATCTTCGCAGGTGAATCGATAATTGCAAGCACTCGCTGTACCAAAAAGGGTGTGGAGTGGATCTCAGGAGGACGATGACTTCCACGTGAGCAGCTCAGATCAGTCCCGAGCAACCCATACAAGTCCATTGACTTGTAGGTATGAGGGCCAAAATGGCAAGCAGATCGACAGATCGGAGCGTAAATGCATGCACATGAGGCTATCATGTGTGTTCCTTTACTTCCCTCTCTCACTCTCTCTCCCTCCCTCTCCTATCTCGCCATCTCTTCCCTGTCATGATAACATATACATGCTGCTAGACGGATAAATGGGCAGCTCGGCACGAAGAGGTGGATTGCGAAGAGTTTGATGAGGATGATCCGGAAGAGCGGAGCCTTGGTCGCAGCTTTAAAAAAGAGCAAAAGAGCACCATGCACACTGGAAGATATTCTTCAATCCCAAGGAGGCAGGATTCTGAAGAATCTCGGTTGCACTGCGGCGGGACTGCGAGCGGGTGTGGAAGCCGATCCTCACGGGATGTAAATTTGTAACCAACTCTGGTACATTTGTCCTAGTGGTCGACCTGTTGACCGAACGTTCACACACAAGTGCTGCAAGAATTGGGTGAGGCTTTGAGTTTGGCCACAGAGACTCCAAGAGCCCTGAAAATGTTTTCGTTCAGAGCTGCAGCAGCGTAGTTCACGGAACACTTTCCTCAACGAGATGTTGCCGTCTCATCACTTGCCCTTGGCTTAGGTCGAGAAGCTTCGCCAGCGAGCGAAGTCTGAGCCGGCTGCGAAGGCCAGAAGCCAAAGCTGCTTGGGTTCGGTGAGAGGGTTGTTTCACTTTGCCCCTTCTCCTTTTTACGCTCCCCTGCCGCGGAACTCAGCTTGGCGAGGTAGATGTCAGCAGATCCGCATCAATCTATTCAACAAACCACGAAGTGCACAGTTTCATGGTTCTCAAGGCTCAACGGCCGTAGAAAGTTTTTAGATGTTGTTCGAACTTAGTGCTCGTCGCTTTTGAAAGGGCAATACTGCAGGGATCCCAAAAGGGCCACACTGCTGTTCTGCAGGACTTGAGATTGTTTTGGGATAGAAGGAGTATCTTCTCTCGCAGCCGGAAGGAAGAACTGGAGATGGCGGAGCTCTTCACAAACTTGGAGTAGTTTGCCTCAGTCCAGAGATGTTAGACTGCCTATTCGCAGCAGAATTTCGCTGCACAATCGCTGTTGCTATGTTGAGATTCCTACGCTTTTGATTGGTTATCATCGCAGTATAGGGCGCAATGTGACTCTTCCGCTCGCTGTTGCAACTGGCTTCATTAGCTGCCAACCACCGTCATTCTTGCTAGACTGGTTCATTGCCAGTTTGCTTGCTGCTGACAGCTACGACTACGACGACGACTACTACATGTACTTCTACGACGACTCCTGCTACCTTCGACCTACTGCTGTCGCGACTGCTGCAGCTGCTGCTGAGCCTGTTACGCTGCTACTACTGCCAATGCTGCCACTTCTACCACACATGTCAATGCTGTCCGGATCCAAGGAGCCCCACCTTTCAGCCTGCTCCGCTGCATGCAGCTGCCTCTGCATCGACCTGCAACATCCCCGTCTCCTTTGAATCCTTTGACCAAGCCCTTCTGTCAGGTCCGCGGTCTATGCCAGGGCGCAAAGCGAGCCTGTGAGCGATCTTTGGCGGTGGAGGTGCCAAGAAGAGACAGCGCATCTCTCTCTCTCCAGGGCATCTCTCTCCTTGTCCCGGAAGCCAGGAGGGTTGTTCTAAAAACGCTCAGGAGCAGCGCCTGGCTGTGGCGGAGATGCTGGGTCCGGTCCTTAAGCGAGAGACGAACATCTGCTCGACTGAGCACCCGTCTGATGCTACACTCGTTGAGGCCAGACGCAGGGTGGAGAGTTCGCTGCTCGGAGTGGCAGGAGCACCACACTTGAGAAGCAGCCACAATTGCTTGTGACTCTTCACACTTTCCCAGGTCTCCCAAAAACGTGGAGTGTCCGACCCCGAAGTTTCAGAATTCAAGTCAGTAACTTCCCGAAAAGCTCATTGAGATGCTGTTTTTTCGCACAGCCGAGGCCTTACAGACGAGGAGCAGCAAAACCTCGATGCCGCAAGCTTTATCTGCCAACTGAGCTGAGGCTGGCTCTTTGTGGTGCTACTGTCTATTGGCCAAGGTCACTCGAAAGAGGTTGCGCTACAACGCCCGGAGCAAAGAGGTGATGCTACCGAAATGTTTAAATAGTTGTAGTGTAGTATTTTTGGGGTTCCTTGAGTGTTGTACAGTTGTACATAAGGAACTCTGAGCACATGCTACACCTATAGAGAACTCAGGTCGACTTGTTGCGGAGACGGCGGCAACGCCTCGCCAACATAGACAGCTGCTTGAATGCATTGGTCAATAGCGCGAACAGCCCGAATTGTCCAGAAAGCATTAGCTTGCCCCAGCATGCGATGTTCTAGTTACCGATTCTGAGTGATGATCTGATGTGGCATGCGGCATTCCTGTACCGCCGAGATAGAACCTTCCAGCAACTGCCGGAGCCCAATGTGAGTCCTCGCAGTCTCGCACACTTTTGTGATCCGAATCCGAGCTGCTTGCTAACCAGCCCCTTCAGGCTCCGGTGCACCGAGACTTTCTCAATTCTGCGCAGCAAGCCAGCTCTAACACGACGTAACAGCATTGGCCACACATCATAAACATCGAATACTTTGCGAGTGACGAATTGCCGGAAGAGCAGCACCTCTGCTGTCTTGACACCTCATGGGGCTTGGAGCACTTAGAGCATGCATCTTTCCATGACCGTCTTTGCTGAGCCATGGCTCCCGGTGGAATCAGGCCGGCACATCCATGCTTCTGTAAAGACTTGGAACAGCAGCAACACGTCCTGCCGCACAGGGTCCTCAACGTTGCTGAGAAGCCCTCTGTGGCCCGAGAGATTACTAGCCAACTCGGTGGTGGCGGAGTTTCGCGTGGCTCGATGTTGCAATGTTCCTTCTGTGTGCTATTACGTGGCTCGGTCGCATTCTCATCACTTACCATGCAGGTCGCAACAGCCATGGAGTCCCGGTCACCGAGTTTCCCTACACGCTACGGCAAACGCATCCGGGCCAGACAAACTAGACAGCGCCAGCACGAACGTGTGAAAGGAAATAACACCTTTTCAGCATCCCAGGCAATGCCGCATGGTCGTCACAGCGGTCCGGGGACACCTGCTTGAAACGCAGCCGCATGGCCCGGTGAGTAGACAGATCTTCCTTTCGGTCCTTTTCCGCTACAGACTGCGGTGAAGTCCCAAGGTTTCCAGCAGAATACAGTGTGTGGAAGGCACACAATCCCTCCATCCTCTTCCAGGCACCGGGCCAAGCCGCGGAGACCGGAAGCCCCGCCGGAGAGCTGAGAGGCGCAGCCAGCATTTCGTGCGCGGGGGGGCGGGGCCAGGTGCCGGTGCAGCGAAGAGTTTCCGCCGACAACAAGAGCCTGGAGCTCATGCTCACGGACCTGGCGCGGCAGTGCCAGCAGACGCCTCGGCTCCGGCTAAGCCTCACGGCCTGACGCTCGCAGTTAAAGGTGGCTCGTGCTGTGGCTGGACTGCGACAGGGAGGGCGAGGCCATCGCTTTCGAGGCCCAGAAGAGTGTCTGGCTGCGGCGGCCTGGCGGCCTGGCGGCGGCGGCGGCCTCTCTCAACGCCCAGGTGCTGGAGACGTGCCAGCGAGCAGCAGGCGGCCGGCTACAGGCTTGATCCTTGCCCTATGCGGCCTATGCGGTCTTGATGCCATCGTAGCATCGAGCTGGTGCAACAGGTCTTCAGGGCAGTTTTCTCGGCACTGACGAGGCAAGATCTCGTTCGTGCACCACTTAGACATCATCCTTTACAGATCGCGGCCCGCAGCACGTCTCACGTCTCCTGCTTCTGGCCGAGGTGCTTGCCAGACCCTGCGAGATCCAGACCAGCGATTGGCAGATGCAGTCGAGGCCTTCGTGAATTGACATGGCTGGCTTCAATTTTTCAGTGGCGTCTTCAGCACATGGCTCGGCCGCCAGAGCGACAGGCACGTCAGCATTTTGATCTGCGGGCGGGATCGGCCTTTACGCCCTGGACTCAGCACATCCTGCCGGTGGAGCGTTTCGCAGTCGCCATAGATTTGGATAGATGCTCAGGCGTTGGATGAGCCTACGGTGCGCTCGTTTGTTGGACATGAATACTGTGATATGCCGTGCTTCGAGGTCTGTTGTTCACAGAGCCAGGTACCAGAACATGTTCCCAGAGCTTTGCCAGCAGCCGCTGAGTTATGGCCCGTGCCAGGCTCGACTGATTCTCAACGGGGCTTGCATTAGCGATGAGTTGAGCCCTGCCCGCGCAGTTCCCCACCCTGGGCTTTGTCGTCGAACGCACCTGGGCCCCGTTTAGAATCAGGACATCACATGCAGCTACCAGCAGTAGTAGATAGCAAACCTCGACCAGTAGTTGATTCATGCTTGCAGGTATTGTGAAAATGGGCGGCGCTAACTACGTCGACGACGAAACAGGTGGTGATGACGATGAAGATGGCTGTGATGACTCTGTTCATGGCCTGTTGGATGACGATAGCGACTGTGTTGTCGGAACGGATAAGGCTGCTTGGCCTGTAATTGTTTCGATGCTGGTGGAAGGATGATGAGATGTTGATGGTGAAATCGTGAAGGTGATGATGATGATGCTGTCGCTGACAATAAAATAACACCTATTCAATACTCACGAAGATGGCAGTGATCGTGACGCTCGTAATAGCGAGGAAGTTAACATGACGGTCATGATGGCAGTATATGGCAGTCGTCATCACGGCGGATGCTGAGTGTGGCGCGTACTAGTGGTGATACTGTCATATTATAGACGCTAGCCATGCATGGGTGTGGTGTTCACCGGTCTGAATCCACCTGTGATGGTTGCTGCGTTTGCGGGTCGGAGCATGCTGGTCTTGTGTTGGCTTCCCGATAGAACAGTTGTCACAATCATGAAGACGACGATGCTGCTGCCGATGATGTCGTTGATGGCGGTGACGATGCCAAGCTCAGAATGCTGCGTATCATGATGGCCATGAAGCCATTACCTGATAATGATGCTGATCCTTCGTTGGCCGGACTTGCTCCTCAAGTGTCGCAACTATCCGGCTTTCCCCAGGATTTCTGCGCATTCAGCGTTTCGTCTCCGAGCCTTTCTGGTCCATCAAGGCTGAGGTGCCGGCGGTAAATGGGCACGCGGTGTCCGAGGATGTCAGACGAGTGTCGATGCCGTCGGAAATTGCAAAGCCTACAAAAGCCAATTCGAAGCACTCGTGCAAAGTGCAAATGTCGAATGGTCAGGTGCAGAAGGACGGCCACAGTGTGCGCTTCAACTGGCGTCGGGGCCGCCTCTTCGACCGTTTGGCGGTTCTGGCGCTCTATGAGCTGGTTGTGGAAGAGGCTCGGAGTACAGATCACTTCGTGGCTGCATGCGACTTGCTGGCGCTAGTGCTTGTGTCTTTGTGAATGCTGCTGATGCTTACCACCGCCGCACCATCCCCACCATCCGCACCACCCCCACCTCACCACCGCCCCCCACCCCACCACCCACCACCCCACCCCCACCCCACCGACCGCGACTTCCACTACGATGACTACGACGACTATGGCTATCACACAACCATCGCAAGAACGATAACAGGTGAAATCATGTGCAACTTGTGACCACTAAACACATACTCACAGTGATAGCACTGTCATGAGCAAATATCAGAGCAAGTGCATGTATGTGATGCTAAGAAGACAGAGTGTAAACAAACAGCAGTAACACTAAGAACAAGGCGACAGGTACTGCTTCACTGAAGACTTGCCGCAGCTATGAATGTGAGCTCGCAGCTGTCGCGAGGCACCTCGAGGGGCCCTCGTCACGCGAATTGCGGAAGAGCCGAAGAGCCGATGGCGGCCGCTGCCCCTAAACACCGTGCAGTGCCTGGGCCCAGATGGTAGTGAGGGTTTTGTCAGCCACGTTTGATTTGTTTCTCGTTGCAAGCGAAGTGTCCCTTGAAAGGATGACGAAGCTCGCGACCTCGAAACTTCACATGGCGCAACCGTCTCAGCTGTCGTCTGGTCTCGACATGCTTCCCCCATTCCCTACCTCCGTTGCACATAGACATGTCTGGAGGTCAGCTCGATGCATGCAAGTTGCGGAGGAGTTGTACCAAGGAGGCACCGAATGGAAGCAAAGTCGGGCCCGCTGTTTTTCCACCTTGCTGCAGGCTTCATCTCCTACCCTCGCACGGAGACGGATCGTTTTCAGAAAACGATCGATGTCTTCGGGCTGGTGCAGACGCAGGCCGCCCTGGTGCCGCGCCAGGAAAGTGGAGCTAGGAAATGCATGGTTCAGGTTCCATCCAGCGCGTGGGGGAACTTCGCCAGGCCGACATTTCTAGATTACGACTTGTGTAAGTGAGTACACAAAGGTGGTATTATGGGTCCGTGAGGAAGTGGGCTAGCTGCCGCTTGAGTGAGAGAGTGAATGCAGCCATGTCTGTGAATTGAGTTCTGTCCACTTCCTATCCAGCTTCTCCTGCTTGTGTGCTCGATGCAGCGGTTGCAGGAGCCTGGTGGACGGGCGCTTCACGGAGCCAAGAGCTGGCTCCAATGATGCACGCGGCTCAGGTGGAAGCCACGTGGGTGACTCTCCTAGACTCTACACGTGCTGTTGTTCTGGTAGAAAAGATGTTGCCATCAAACTGCTACGAATAAGGGCATGGAGTGTCTATTCTGATTCTGGGAGACACGGAGGGAGACGGAAAGAGAAGAAGGCACGGTTCCTTGTAGCTCGGACAGGGGCACTCCAGCAAGCGCGAATTTTGGGCCCTAGACACAGAAGCATCAGAATGGAACGCTGGTTCACACGTTATTGGTATGGCATGCCAATCAAGGTGGCTTCCTTTAAACTGCCCCTTTACGGTCTTGGTGCTGAGGACCATGCGCATCCGCCGATACACCCGGTTCGCTGTGGCCACTCTGCCTGCAAGTCGCATGCGTTGCCAATGGCTGCACAATGAATCTGACGAGGCGAGCGTGGGCAATTCACTGACGAGTCATGGCGCGTTTATGAGCTCATCACCCGACGCTTGCTGTGGTTTTCAGAATGCATTTGCCTAACTAGCACGGCAACCTTCATAATCTGTGCACCTTGACACCTGACCAGGACACTTTTTGGCATGTTGTGCCCCCGACGCGCGAGGGAACCGAACAGAGGTGGAAATATCGATCGCAGAGGAAGAATTTGCAACCTCCGGAGATATTGTGCTTGACCGCGGCTGGTTGGATGTTTATCCTTACTCGAATTGGGTCAACGACCCGCTCCCTCCGTTTCGAAACCACGAGGTGGTGGCCTTCTCATTGTTGGAGATGGCGGAATCTAGGACTCAGGCACCTCCGCTGCTCAGCGAGGCAGACCTGATTTCCTTGATGGATCGTGAGAAAATTGGGACGGACGCAACGATGCATGACCACATTCAGAAGATACAAACCCGGACCTACGCCCTGAAGAATGCAGAAGGCCGGCTTGAGCCTTCGAGGTTAGGACTCGCCCTGGTTCAGGGCTACCAAAGGTTTGCGGCGGAAGAGGGCATGGACCTGTCCAAGCCGATCCTGCGGGCCCGCATGGAGCGTGGGATGGAAGCAGTGGCCGCAGGCCGACAAAGGAAGGAAGACTTCCTGCGTGAGGCTTTGGACATCGCACAGCGATGCTATGCTGCTCTGGAGCGCAACGCCCCAGCCTTGGACCATACGCTGGGCCAGCACTTCTCGAGTCAACTGGATGTGGGGCGACGTGCGCAAGTGGTGCAGGCGGCCTTTTCCATGTGTCGCTGTGGTGCGAGCATGGAGCTGCGCCGCCACGTTCCGGGAGGTCCTCCTGGAGGAGGCGGAGCAGTGGGTCGTGGGAGAGCTCGGGGTCGAGGGCGAGCTGGGAGGGCAGGGCGAGGACGAGGGCGAGGCCGTGCTATGGTCCGTGGCCGTGGGCCCGTGCAGAGGGGCCGAGCTGCTGTGGCTCGACAAGAGCTGTTCCTCGTTTGTCCTAACGGCGCTTGTGGCGTCGTTCTGCGCCTCAGCTTGCGCAGTGACCAGACCCCTACAGCGTATGGACACATGTGCCCAATCTGTGACTTCCAAGTCCTGAACATCAAGAACGAGGAGACGCAGCGCAACCATCAGCTCTGTCCTCACTGCTTCAACTACGTCCCTCAAGATCTTCACCCCGGTCAGACGGAGCTTCGCTGTTTTCAGTGTGTGCATCCGAGTTGCTTGCTCGCAGTTGACGCAGTCTCTACCTTCCGTGCCCCCAGCCTTACGTCCTTCATCGTCCTTCTTGGCTTCATGACACCACAGGCTTCTGAGATTCTGGCTTACCTTCGGATCTGGGTCTCAGGTTGCAGACTTGCAGCAGGACGTCGAGCTCCAGCTGGAGCTGGAGGCACACGGTTGTACTTTCCGATCATTCCATGTCATGCGTCGGATGGATGCAAGCTGTGCAGTGAACAAGGGTCATTGTGGAGTTGGCATAGGTGCTGCTGCGGCTGCTGCAGTCATCGCTGCGGCTTTTTGAGCTTGAGCGCAAGCCTCTGCTCGTTTTTTCAGGGTGCTGGCTGGTGTTAGGAGGAAGTGTACAAGGGTAAAGTCTTCCTGCCTCTAGGTGCCGCTTGATGGTGGTATGGAGTCTCTACTGCATACAACGCGGTGAACACTTTCCTGTCCCAGAATTCGGTTGGTATGTGTCCAGCGGTGAAGCCACTCGCTTGCATCATTGCTGGTTCTAGCTGTCAGCAGCTTTGCGTGGACAAGGGGAAGTGTTTATCAGATTCGGCAGAACGACATGGTCCATAGCTTCGGATGAGAGCTTGCAGCATGTTGTGGTAGTTTCGCCAAGCTGATCGGTGTGAAGGGAACAAGGGTTGAGATTGTTGGGCTGGGGTGTGAGGTTCAGGGTGCAGGGTCGTCTTGTCTCTCATTGAATCATTGTCTTGGGTGTCGCAGCGCCGATTTTTCATTTGGGCTGATGTCGGGCGTCTGAGGCCAAGCTGTGTTGCTGACTTTCGGGATCTTCGGCATTAGCCGCTGTATGCTTCTGGTATCCAGAACGGCGAAGTCGCCAGCGCCCAGGCTTGACACATGCTTTCCGACTGTCGCACGAAGATACACTTTCAGATGGTCACTGCGTTGTGCGAGTTGATCCGTTCTCCGACGCTCGCCCCAGGTGATGAAGGGCAGCGACAGATCGGCCCAAGAAAAGGTCTTCTTGGCATTTGCCCATGCGTGTGGCCGATCAGTGCATCCGACTTGAGTCTCAGAGGATGTCTTGCCAAGGCCGGAGCAGCTCATCGAGGTACCCGCCCTACTTGTAGTTACTACGGGCAAGAGTATGCCTTGATCCACCATGGTACATGGTATGAAGTATGAAGATCGATTCATGAAAGTCTTCCCGTACAAGTACTGTAGCTGCTTACGAGGATTGCGAATTCAAGATCAGGCCGGAGCAGATGGTGACTACGAGTTCATCAGGTGACCTGGATGCCCTGCCGACAGAGTCTGAGAGTGTGGAGTCGGAGTATTCTCTCGGTCCAGACTCTGCGTTGAAGCTGGAGTTCCATTGGACATCTTCAACGAGCGTGGAGTCCTGTACTCATCCTTCGCACTACAAGTCTTCACAAATGACGCCGATGAGCTACGACAAGGTCACGCCGCTGATCTCGGCAACCGTCAACAACAAGGTGGCAAGCGCGCGGGGCACCCAGGATAACTCTCGTCGAAATCCCAACTGTAACTTCCTTGCGGATGCTCCTGATCGAGGAGGCTCTTGCTTGAGTCTGGGGCTGATCCGTCCATGCAGGCGAGAACGAATCCTGTGCCACTGAGACGGCGGCTCATTCCTGGCTGTCAGGACATCAATGGTGCAACCTGTGCTCACTATGCTATTGAACTGCGCCGCTTCCAGGCTCGGGTCTTAAAGAACCTCGTTCCATCAGAGCTGCGCTCCGACCCTTCTCAGATTTTGGATGCGGCTCTGGAAGCCATGAGCCGCCGACGAAGTTGGGTGGCCTGCGCCTCAGACTTGCAAATTCTTTGGTTGCGCAGCTTCGCGTGGAACACATAACTGATAAATTGGCATGCGATTGGATGGTATCTGTTGCAGCCGACGTGCCGAGGCAATTTACATCAAGGACGCGCGAGGCTGCTTGGGATGTCTTGTCGGCTGGTTGAGGTTTCAGACCTCTGCCTGCAGAAGAATGGGATTAGGGCCGTTATGCCCGGAAAGGCTACAACGTCCTCGACTACGCTCGCCTGCCGGGCATGGCCCTCGGTCATGCTTTTGGGGGTTACTCAAGTCCTTGGTGCAGCTCCACGAAAGCCACGCAAGTTTCGAGACATCCCCACAAACGTTTTCTACGGCCATGGCCTTTTTCTTTGTGGGGTTGTGGTGGGGGCAAGTTGAAAGGGTTCTTGGCTTTGGCTTTTCAGGTAGTGCCGTTCTGCCTCCTCGACCTTGTGCTGCTTGTATGCCCCCTTGCTATGGGGAGTCACAGAAGGATCTTGCGCCGTGGCTGCAATCTTTCCCGCCCTTTGCGCTTCCATGCAATGTGGTGGGGACAAGACCAGCCAGTACTGAGCTTCAGGACATAATGCTTGCAGCCTGTCTTACCTCGGGCCAGCAAGTGCCATTCTCCTGGCATATAGCCATCATCCTCAATCCATCGCATGATCGTGGTTCACCGGATCCGCTGTTTCGTTTCAGCATATGCAATCGGGCAGTGGCTGTAATCTTTCCCGCCCTCTGCGCTTCCATGCATTGTGTCGGGGACAAGACCAGCCGGTACCGAGCTTCAGGACATAATGCTTGCAGCCTGTCTTACCTCGGGCCAGCAAGTGCCATTCTCCTGGCATATAGCCATCATCCTCAATCCATCGCATGATCGTGGTTCACCGGATCCGCTGTTTCGTTTCAGCATACGCAATCGGGCAGTGGCTGTAATCTTTCCCGCCCTTTGCGCTTCCATGCAATGTGGTGGGGACAAGACCAGCCAGTACTGAGCTTCAGGACATAATGCTTGCAGCCTGTCTTACCTCGGGCCAGCAAGTGCCATTCTCCTGGCATATAGCCATCATCTTCAATCCATCGCATGATCGTGGTTCACCGGATCCGCTGTTTCGTTTCAGCATATGCAATCGGGCAGTGGCTGTAATCTTTCCCGCCCTCTGCGCTTCCATGCATTGTGTCGGGGACAAGACCAGCCGGTACTGAGCTTCAGGACATAATGCTTGCAGCCTGTCTTACCTCGGGCCAGCAAGTGCCATTTCCCTGGCATATAGCCATCATCTTCAATCCATCGCGTGATCGTGGTTCACCGATTTAGAATATGCAATCGGGAAGTGGCTGCGATCTTTCCCGCCCTCTGTGCTTCCATGCATTGTGGTGGGGACAACACCAGCCGGTACTGAGCTTCAGGATATAATGCTTGCAGCCTGTCTCACCTCGGGCCAGCAAGTGCCATTCTCCTGGCATATAATAGCCATCATCATTAATGCTTCGCAAAGTGCTCAGCCGCACATTTATTCGAGGCATATTGTGTTAAGCTTCGAGATGCATGCTCCGAGAAGCTTCTAATGCAACGAGACCCACAGCTGCTTGTACGCGTAAAGTGCACTTGCAAGCTAACACACTCATCATGAATTGCTGGAGATCACGACGAGAGTCTTCGCCTTCTGAAGTTACGCCAAAGCCCCGGGTGCTCGCGGTGATTTCTGGGATCAACTTGCAAATGCTGGAGGTTTGGGTGGACCACTGGGCTTTGTATGGGCAGCACCAGCCTCAACGACCAGAGCAGACTTGCGTTCGGCAAGTGGCAAGCGACTTCAAGCCCACCACGAGCGATCTCAGCACCTGGAGGCACTATTGTCAATGCCAAGGTAACAGAGAGCATGGTTCACAATGCAATGATCAAGATGCCGAAGGGCGAGCAAAATAAGCCAGGGACCTCGACGATTTCTCCATGGGCAAGGTACGTCCGTCATGCCAAGATACACCCGCAGGCGAGGCTTGGCAAAACACGTGGCCAAGCTTGCCGCTGAGAGGGCGGCTGCAAAGGCAGGCAATTCGCAAGCGTGGGTGGTCGTTAAGTCCTTCTTGATGCGTCGTAGTATACGGAGGTGAAGGAAAAGATCCAGCAGACCAAAGAAAAGGCGCGCGAGAAGCTGGAGACCCGGTGCATGTCATCTGCATGTTTCGGCGGGCCGCAGAGCTCCGAACGAGAGCAACGGCATGCCAATGTGTTTCGAGCTCAGGCTGCTCGGTGGCTGGTTGTGCTCCTATTGCGACGGGCTTGGGCGCGGGGGCGTGGGGGCGGGACGAGAGGCTTAGTGAACTGCCCGAGCCTGGTTGCGGCTGAGGCAGCGAGGCGAAGATCTCCGAGAAGAAGCTCTCGGAGACGATTCACATGGACATGCCCGCTCCTCTCCTCTCAAACTCAAATTAATGAGGTTCTTGTTTCGGAGACTTCCCCCTTTGACTCTTGACTCCTTGGGCGCAGCTTGCTGCCAGTCCTTCTTTTGCCTCCGTCGTTTGTTTTTTTGAAGGGGGGGCGGCCTTCCGAAAACCGGGAACATGAAACTCAATCAGCGTAGCCGTCGACATCCAGTTTCGAGCACGACACTGTGAAACGTCCTAGTGTCTCAGACATCGTTTAAAAGTCAGTGATACTTTTCACTTGACAATATTGTTGTCTGGACTTAGCGAGAAGGACGCCATCCATGCCTCGCGCCATCTTGCTTCCGAGGATTCAGACGAAGAGGATGAGGATGGTATCCCAGATTTGCAGAAGTTCACAACGATGATCATGTAGAAGAATTTCGAACGGTCCCAAAAGGGGATTGGTAGCTTCTTCGTTCCTGCTATCTGAGAGCCGAAACCCAGCCATTCGCAATTGAAAGCTTCAGACTCATTCCCAAGCTGAGGCTGCATTCTATTGTGATTCTGCTTCGAACCTGATAGGTTCTTGTATTTGCCCGTCTACTCGTCTATCTATGCATTTCGTGTGTCTGCTTGCCTGCCTACCCACCTACAGACCTACCTATGTATTTCCTGTCTGTCCTACTGCGCCCGTCCTGTCTGTCCTATCTATCCTGTCTATAGAACCTGTCCATCTATCCGATCTATCCCCCGTCCCTCCTTTCTATCCTGTCTGACCCGCCTGTCTGACCCGCAAATCCGATCCAGCGTGTCTATAATACCTACCCACGGTATCCATCCTGTCTATCCTAGCTTTCCGACTATCCACCTGTCCTAGTTGTCCCTCCATCTGTCTTTGTGTCGGTCTGTCTATCTGTGTATCCACCTATCCGATCTGTCTGTCGATCGACCGATCTAACCTAACCTTACTTGTCTAATCTATAGTCTCATGGAACCTAGCGGTCTAACCATTGTCTAACCTACAGTAATAGTCTATTCTGTTTAATGGAAGCCAACCCAAAGAAACTGAGTCTCATCTGATCCAGTTATTTTAGTCTAACCTAACCCAGTCTGATCTGCCCTATCCCAGTCTAGTCTAATCCAATCTGATCTAACCTAGTTGAATCTATTTGTCCGCGCGTCAGGCACGTGAAGTCTTAAATGCCTTGTGGAGTATCATAATATGTTGGTCAAGTTCGTTTCTCTCTCGCTGCTCACATTCATTGGTGTACTATGGTGTACTTAAACTATACACATAGAAAATTCATGCCTTCTGATGCTCGGCCATGCCCTTGCGGGGTGAGCCTGTAGATCACAGCTGTCATAGTGACCACATGAGAAAGGGCCTGCAAACTCTGTCGGCCATTTCCAGCTTTGTACATAGATCTGCGCCGAAAGCAGCTTGGCCAACGCTGCCTCGCGGCACTCTGCGCCCATAGATGCTCGAGTGGTTCGGAGCAGTGAGAGTACGAGAAGCAGTGTTGGCACGTTTGCTCGTTGCATCTCGGCCACGCTCGTGCTTCTTGTTGTGCGTTGTGGTGGGAGAGGTCCGGGTGTCCCGAATTGACTGAGGTAGGAAACGAGGAAGAATGGAGAAGCGCCAAATCGAGAGACTGCCGTGCTAAACCCTTGATGTGCAGCCACTCGTCCTTGCTGTATCTTCCGCCCTTTCAAGCTCTATACAGCCGCGATCGCCCTGCCCTGCAGCAACAGTGTTGTAATTCGGAGCCGCACCGGCTGGCAGAAACAGAGACTTCAGATAGCCTCGTACATGCAAATGAGCAGCGAATTGCACTGCAGTTTCGGAAGGGAATCCTGCAACCATGGCGGGCATGCATGGAGTTGCAATTGGGAGTGGGTGTGTGCCTCAGGGATGGGGAGATGTTTTCCGAAAGGTTGATCGACATGGAAGCTTGCACCGAGGATCGAACCTCGATGGAAGCATGACGAAGTTTTCATTGGCAAAATGGAGAAGGTGACCGAAGGGTCATAGAGCCTTGCAGAATCGAGAAGTGGTCGTACATTTGGGAAGCTTCCAAAGGATCACTGCAGTCTGCATGGCCAGCACTCTGTCAGGGCGAGTCCATAGAGATCACCACCTGCTCCGAAGATACTACCAAAGAGCAGCGGGAGATCCTGCAGGAGCCCGTGCAAGGGCGCCCTTCATCAACCCAGCTCGAAGGACGCTGTGATACTGTGCGCCAGGAGCGCCAGCTCATAAGCAATCCGCTGAAAGCATGTCTGCGATCCTGTCGAAGCCACGGTTGCCTTGACAATTGCGAAGGGAGGGAAGGTGGCCAGCTAAGGTGTCGACTCCCTGAATGGTGTCGTGGATGAGACTTGGTATAATTCTGAACGATGATGTGCTATCGCGTCGGAAGTCTTGAGTTTCATTCTGTTGAGTTTGCTTTGCCCTCCTAAGGATAGCGCCACACCGAAGGCAAAGCCGAGGAGGCCAGGTCTTGGCTGGGGAGCCCTTGAGTTTCACCTTGAATGGAATGAAAGGCCACTGTTTGTGGATTAGAGGGCGGGCAGGGTTCATTCTTCGAAGACTTGTGGAATTTCTGGCACCATCTGTCTCTGCGCGACTACTTGTAGAATGGATCTTTTGTTAGGGACTCTCTGATCGTCATTCATATGGATTGTGCTTGGACTGTCGAATCAAATCTGAGTTTGCCGTGGTTTCCCGGTGCTCAAAAGACTGGGCAAGATTTTCAGCTAGTCGACGCGGCGGAATGGAAACTAGAGCAAGCGGCTGCGCCGCATGTTATGCAGGCCGCGGAGAGAGCAGACCATGCTGGACAAAATGAGCAAGGCAAAGCCTTTTTCTGTGAAGAGGTGCCATCATAATCTTTTGATTGTTTCAGCTCAGCAACTGTGTCAGATCGTGACGATCCTCCAGTGGGTGCCAGAGCTGACCTTCCACAAGGTGGGAAGGAACATGGAGCTAAGAAACCGCTTACGGCGGCTTGTGGATGTGGCCGCATCCAGGTTCGTGCTGACCTCGTGGCTGGTCTGACGGCTTGGGGCCAAATGAACCTTCAGTGCATGCAGCGCTTCGTCAGCGGCGTCTTGGCCGTCCTTGGGTGACTCAGGTCGGTGTGATGGTGATTCCGCAGAGCATGTCGTACGGAGCAATCGCAGGCGACGCTGCATCATGCTGTAGAAGCTATCCCACCGTCGATGGCTCTTGCGAGCAATGAGGGCTTCCATACATCAACGGCATGTACTCGGCTTGCGTTGACATCTCAGATTGGCAGAAAGGGAGCGCAGTGCACCTAGAGACCTAGAGTGAGCATGAGCGCACCTTCCCACCGTCCCAGGTGCCCACGCTCGTTTATGCCTTGTTTGGCCAGAGCCGACAGCTGGCCGTGGGTCCCGTGGCCATGGCGCGGAGCTCGGCGTCTCGGGAGCGCTTGCGCTTCGCCGCGCTTCGCCGCCGCCGGCGCCGGCGAGGTGTCGCTGCTCATCGAAGCGGGCCTCAACGGAAGCCTCGGGCCGGCGAAGAGCTGAAACGAGGGAGCAGTCTCACGCAGAGGGGAGGAAGGTCGCAGTCAACGCCTCACCACTGTTCGCTCTGCACTGAGGAGTGTAACGTTCCCGGCAAGGCACAGTACGAGGTGGAGAGCGGGAGCAGAGGAGTGATGAGGGGTTCGGGACTGCCGCATCTCAGCCCAGGTTTGCACCAGCGAATACGTTGGCCTGGCTTGCCTTGCAGCTGCGCTGGTCGGTGCGATGCAGGCGCGTACGCGAACCTTTTGAAAGCTTGACTTGTGCACTCCGAAGTTGCTCGAATGCAGGTAGTGGCGAGCATTCTGAAGCTGGGTTTTCTGGTCACATTTCTCGGCCATCCAGTCTTGGGCTTGGAACAAAGGTGGGGAAAGAGGACCGAGGGATCGGCCCCTGGCAAAAGGTCATCAGTGGATTTACCAGTGGTGCCGCCATCATCATCGGCCTCAGCCAGCTGAAGTGCCCCAAGCTCTAACAAGGCGGACCGGACCGCTTCAGAGACACTTCTCCAAAGGTACATGCTGGGCTACGACATTCCAAAGTCCCAGTACATCTACGACACAATCATCAATGCTGAAGCCTGAGCTTGTGGTCCTTATCATGAAAAAAGCATCATATCAATGCTGATCACATAGTCGGCACTAGGCACATGAAGTCGTTTGGGTTCCGAAATCAGTCCGGACTCGTGTTCGAGGCAGTTTCGTCATCATGATAAGCTGTTGGCTTGGATTCTGAAGGTGTCCAGGGATATTTCCGGTTTTCATCGTACCGTTAAGATGAAGCCTATTGCTTCGATAGTTCCATGCTTGGATGGCATAGCCCACGACAATTGATGTCCCAATAACAGCACGTTTCCTCCCTTTCCGTCTCCACCCTGTTCCGCTTGCACGTCAGTACCAGCGAATATGGGTCCAATTTGACTCGCATGAGGCTCGTGAGGCCAATTGCCCAAAAAGTTCCAGCCTTGTTTTCGACCCTGCGCGCAAACTGCTGCTCTCGTAAGCCGTAATGACTCAGGGATAGGATTGATTTTCAGGCCTGTCCCGAACTCGGGACACGGTTCCTTCCTACTGATTTTTGCAAACTTAGTTTCGAACACACTCTTCAAGTCGCAAAAAGCTCAATCTTCGGCGCATTTGGCTTCGAAGTCATACTCCGGGCAGCCAGAGCTGTCAGGTAGGGCGGCAGGATTAAAACATGACATACCATGTTGCCATGTTCGTTGAAGTTATGATCGATACCCCACCAGTCTAAGTTTTATGCTCTTTGCGTGCTCCTTGGCAATTTTGGCAGCCGAAAGTGTCGGCGAACATGATGTTAGGCATGTAATACACCATCTGCTATTGAGTTTGCAAAAGTTTCCATTACCCCCCCACCAACAAGCTGCAGCTGTCCACATTTACATTTTCTGAATTATGCCGCACCTAGCCCAAGCATCGGTGTTTTCCAGACTTATGTATGTGGTGTACCCAGACTTCAAACTGTGCCGTACGTGACTAGTGGAAGCCTTCTTGCAGCCCACGCCATGCTTAGAGGAGGCCTGTTTGAGAGTCCGCCGAAATGCGTCGTATTCAGTGAAAAATCTTGTCTGCCAGCGTTCGCACAACCTGCCGAATGAACATTCAGCAGAAGCCGTGATTGTTTTCCTGCCCGTCATACGCTGAATTTAGGCATTGTTTTCCAGACCGGCCCCATCCAACATGCCTGTTTTCAGTATTGGTAGCCGTCTCTACCATGCTCGGTGTGTGGTCAGTCGAATCCATTTCGTCCATTTCCCTTTCACTGTCTGCTGTCGCATGATGTTTCTTGCGCATTCCTCTAGGAATCCACAGGGTTCGTCTTTTGGGCCGGGGTTATGCAAGCAGAGAATGAACGGTTCTGTGCACCCAGGTGGCCATGAACATCCAGGAAACGAAGCCGACCCCTGGTCTGAATATGGTCTGGTCAATGTGTGAATGTGCAAGATGCGTTGGGCCACAAGCACTCCAGTCTGTTTGGTCTTTAGCTTGATTTTTCCCTGATCAGGATGCCCCTGCTGTTGGGAGTCCTTTGGTTGGCCTACTTGATTAGCAACAAGCAAATTGCAGGAAGGTGCCCCGAGCGTCTCAGAACATACAAGATGCAGTGTGTCGTGGATGCAGGTACCGACGGCTGAAGATGCTGGCTCCTATGGGCTTCTTTCTCAGTTTGTGACATCGGGGTGTCTCAGTCAGACTTTCAATCCATCTTCTCAGGCCCCTTAATCAGCTGCGTCGCTGGAACCGTGCTGATCTGGGCGTGCTGCTCTCAGAAGCAGAGCTCTGTTCTCTGAATCCAACGCTTGCACCCGTGTGAGGTGGCCGGATATGAGCGAAAAGTACCACGTCAAGTACGTTCACCCCGCTGTAGTTCTCTGCTGCAGCTTTCACCCATTTTCCAGTGGCATTCCTGCCAGGTTGGGGAGATTCCCTCAGGCTTGTTTCCAATAAGTGTCGAACACCCAGAGCGCATCAACCTGCATGAGTCTTGCAGTCAGCAGCTGTGTGCTCCCCAGATCGGCAGCTGGCAACTAGACAAGATCCCCACCGTCGTCGGAACTGCCATGCCAGGGCCTTCGAGACTTCGAGCAAACGGAAACGGCCAGTTTTCAAGTTGCGAGTCCTGTTCTGCTCAGGTCTGCATGCTTGATCGGCTACATGGAGTCTATTGCCATTGGGAAGAATTTGGCAGCTACCAATGGCTATGAGATCGAGGCCTACTTCTTGCGTGTTCCGGTGCTTGCCAGAAGTGACGTTTCAGTTCTTGATCTTTGACCTTGACTAGTGCAACAGCAGCTGTTACTGTGAAGTCAACAAGCCGTGTTCACTGTTCGGATGGTGACACTGGATGCAATTTCTAGGCCTGCCGAGTTGTCATAGTGACAGTCCAGCATCTAGCACACAAGCCTGGTTTGACCGCCCCGCACGCTTTGGCAATGTTCTTCGCTTTCTGTAATGGCATGAGATGACGCTGAGATGGCAATTAGTGGGCTTGCAGTTGCAGCAGTTGCGCTGCACTTTGCACACTGCCCTGTGCGTAATCTGCTCGACAAGGAAGCTTTTCTTTTTCTATGACCGCAACTTCGTGCCCCTGCGAGATCAGCGCCTCGGCGAGTTTGTGAGCTTGCGCCGCCAAGCAACCAAGTTTCACCTACATCGGCCACGAAAGTTGCTTTCTGTGGTAATAATCTCCGCTGCCGTGACTTTTCTAGGGCTTCCCAAAATCAATCTTCGTAAATACGCCTTCATTGTGGTTGCCCGGTGTTTGGCAACTGCTGTTCAGCCGAGTCCGAGGATGGTGGCCTCTCTGGAACAGAGTGGAGGGCTCGCAGACTTCACTTTGTGCGAGGATGTGCTCGATGACCTGAAAGGCCACGGCAATCGAACCGTCAAGCATGCTACCCTGCTACTACTCGTAGCCGCCAGCCGCGATCGCCCGGCGCGTGCGAGCTCGAGTCTTGGACCGGGTGTTGCTTGGCGAGGCAACAATCGAGCCGGCGGCGGCATGCCGACGTATTTGCTTCCCGGCGACAAGACATGTGGATTCATTACTCTGCTTGTGAAAGCGTGTAGACCCTCATCATTCCGCGGGCATGGGTCGTGTGCAGCGCTCAAATTATTGATTTCGCTGATCCAAGCTATGCAGAGGTACAAGTCCGCCAAGATCGGAAAAGCCCTCAATGAGGTGGCAGAGAGCTTAGAACAAGAAGAAGCTGCTTCCACTTCTGCTTTTGAGGGTGCACCTGTTCAGTCAGGATGCCGATGAAATCTTCCTGTTCACAGACGTCGATGTTCAGTACTTTCATCCTGCCACAGACCTGGAGCTTTGAAATGGTCTTTGTCAGCTTCTCACTCGGTAGGACCGGTAGGAGCTGCTTCATGCAGCTGCCCTCAACCTGGAACCCAGGTGCATGAAATTGTCAGGGAGTGCATGGCAGACGGTACCGACATAGTCTTTCAGCAGGACCCGCCCCATGTTTGTTTGTGATTGACGTCGCGAGCAGGCAGAGGTTGCATGGCCTCCAAGCACGTTCGACCGTGGAAGGAGTTCGAAGACATCGGAGTAAACATCGGCAGCTTGCATATGTCAGTGTCCAACATGTTGTCCAAAGTGCAAGGCACAGAAGAACGACATGCTTTCTGGATTGAGTGTTGCAAGATACTAGCTGTCCCACCACAAGCGCAAGCCCGATGTGTCGTACTAGTCCGCCATGATGTTCGTTCTTGCCCAGGTTTCATGGCCATGCGAAAAAGCGCAGCATGTTGCCTGGCAGCAGAAGAGTCCGATGCTTTGCGACGATGTTGTAATGCCCATGCTGTGAAAGCCGAGCGAAACCAGGTCAGGCGTTTTGGGAGTTTGTGCATGCTGAGATCAGCCGCACCCAGGCACTGGACCAGAGGGTCACTTGCCTAAACACTGTGCCATCATGTTGCGCAAAGATAGGTCTGTTCTCACGATCCCTCCGACTGGCGCTTTGAAGCCTTCACAGAGAGCCCAGGTTGTGAACAACAGCCTCTATTCAGGCCATGCAGTCGAGACTTTCGGTCTGCGATGGAAGAGATGGCCCAGCAGTCTTGCCTGAAGACCTGAATGCAGTGTGGCATTGGTGTATAAGGTGGGACCGGCGAAAAGTGATGAATGGCTTAGGTAGCATTTGGGCCTCGTCTATGGCCTTCTGTGGCCCACTTCCGCAGCCGCTGGTGGTCACATACCCGGAAATGGCCCCCGAGGCATCTTCGGAAAGGTCTGAAGGCAGCATTGTCCCTTCAGGTCCACCATGCCAACTTCCTCATCGAAAAGGCCCCGGCAGCTGATCCGTCATCTAAGGCGCTCCGGCCGCCTATCCACAATTCAGCCGCATTGAAAGTGCAGAGCTGCCTTGAGAAGGTGGCTCAGCTGACGCAGCTGCGTCAAGCCACGCTAGGAGACGACAAGGAGGCTCAGGCGGCCTGGGCCCTTCGGCTGCATCATGGGTTCAGTGTCTTCGGCAGTGAGAAGAACGTTCAATGCCGAGCCTTTTCCAGGCGGAGTTCATGCAGGGAGCGAGGCCATTGCTCAGGGCATCACGGTGGGAGCAGAAGGGGGATTTGCAATTTTGGCAACCAGGACTTGCCCGGCCATGCTGGACTACCGCAGCCGCCACTTCGGGGAGCGTCGCCCCGGACCGGAGTGGTCCACACTGCGCCTCGCTCGCAAGGGGAGCACAAAAACTCGCGAGTATTGCAGGCCGTTAGGTCGCTTGGCAGTCGTCCCAGGCCTGAGAACCACATTGCTCGGCTCGGTGGCTACAGCGAGAGGGCAGCGAAAAGGGCCGCAGCTGTCACCTGACAAAAACACCTGACGGCTGTGAAAGGTCCCTGCTTTTCTCGACCTGAAGTCTCCTGGAAGCTGAGGTCAAAGGAGCCCCCGAAGATCCTGACGCCAGAACCGCTTGAAAAGATCGAAAAAGTCACACTGACGGCTATGCAAAGAACATGGTGGTGACTTTCTTCCGATGTGCCCACCCACAAGTCACACATCGACTTCCTGTTCAGGCAGGCCAAGAAATGCTTGCCCTGGGAATCTCCAATCTGGTTGGTGCAGCTTTCTCCTGTTACCCCGTCACTGGCAGGCGGGTGTGGTCCAGATGTCTTCCTGTGAACCTGTTGTGAAATGGATGTGACCTTGCAGTTTCTCCCGCTCTGCCGTGAACAATTCCACAGGCACGCTGCTTCCAAGTCGTGAGTGCAACGTTTCTGTTTAATTCTTCCCATGATGCGTGGTTCAGCATCTCTGCGAATCGTCCGGCACATAGTATCAACGCCATCAGCGGCTCAGACTCTAAAGCAGCGTTGAAGTCAGCCTGGGGAGGAGCTCAAACTCAGCTTTCTGGCGTCATCACGGCGATTGTCATGCTCTGCACCCTGTTGTGTCTCGGCTTCACTCCCGAGTAAGGCCTGCCCCGTATGTCCCCCTCTCTAGCCTTCCTGGAGATGTACTGGTGTGGGCTTGGTCTTCTTGCATTGGGATTGGGTGGTGAAGCTGCAAGGTTTCTTACGCCTTTGTTCTACTACCTGCCCAAGGCAGGCGGTCGTCACATGACATAATGCTTCGTTAAGCCAGCATGCAGCATGTCACTGCAGGATGCTTGTGGAGTGCCTGCAGTGCGTATGTGGGCGGATAGTGGATGGGCGGGGGGGTGAGGGTGTGGGGGTGTGGGCGTTTGAGTGGGTGGGTAGGTGGGCGGACGGGTGTTGTCTGGGTGCAGGGTGAGTCTGTTTGTCTTTCCCGTTGTGAAGTGAGGCGAAATCTGATCAAATCTTTCAATACATCTAAGTTACAGGAGTCTCGAGTGACTGCCGTACATTCCAGAGTCCAAGCGCTTCAGCAGCAACTGCACCATGCACGATACGCATCGGGGACACTGTCACCAAAGATTCTGGTCGTGTGCTCAGTTTGCTTTGGCCGCCATTGTCATGAACTCCGTGATCCCCCTGGTCGCCTTGGGGGAGGCACCGCTATGCACTGCCACGTAGTAGCATGGCCCATACTGTCCCAAAGCTTTAAAGCGCCGAAGTAGCAGTTCTCAGGCGAAGCACCTCTTTCACGTCAAGAAGCATGACTTCCTGCTTTGGGTAAGACACTCAGCTTGCATCGCACCGCTCAGGCGTGAGCACTGCCGCCGTGCACGAAGTCGCTTCGAAGTGTGCCCGTAGGTCACTGCATTTCTGGGCACGCTGTTCCTGGGCGTTCTCATGGGAATCCTGGTCGCGGCGACCTGCAAAGCAACAAGTTAGTCGCAAAGAATTGCCCAAACTGACCATGGAGAGCGCCTGGAGTTCATGCCTGCTTTCCGGGATATGCTAAGGTTGGCCTGTCACTGATAATTGTCATCTACGAGTCCGCAAGTCGGATGCTGAGCCTTTTCAAGCTGATTCCGGATGGCTGTGGATTTTGCCGAACGCAGGACCACAAATTACCATTCTGTGGCGTATTCCTGGCACCTCCATCTACCGGAACATGAAGCAGGATTCCGGCTCATGCAGCACAGGGTGGCCTACATGAATGCGTACACGCACACCTGAACTCGTGAGGACTTGCATACATGCCTACATGCATCTACATTCCATCCATACAGAAAGACGCGGATGCACAGATAAGCACACATACAGAAGTATGCACATAGGCTCACATATACACACACCTATGCATGCATGCATGCATACAGCGCACATAAGTAGCAAAGCCTAGAAGCTGTACAAAGCACAAAACTGCGTCGGCGCGTATGGCGGACTACAGCGTCGGCTCGTATATACATACCTCCGGACGGACAGACAGACATATTATCAGTATCCCTGTGGAGCTGCGATCCTCCTCCAGAACTAGATGTCTCGAACTGTAACCTGAAGCGGCAAGCCTCTGCCCCTGATCCGTGCAGGAGAGCAGTGGAACCTTTATTCAAAACGTGTTCATCGCACGGATCGGTTCGTCTCTGTAACATCCTCAGCCTGCTGCAGAGACTGCAGAATGTTTCCCACATCATTGCTCGGCTCAGGTACTTTGCCAACGCTTCATTCGTGAAGGACAGCATCTTGCCAGCCCAGTGTTCGATTATTGATGTTCTCTTCTCGACATCAGGACATGTTGCTGGCACATGTCAGTGACTTGGATATTGTGAACAAGACCGAGTGCTCTGCGGCGGGTGTTGGGCTGGCGCAACAGAGGGGATGATGGCTTTAATCAGTACTCTACCAGTGAAAGGCACCACTTTGACCCCAAAGGCAAGCTTGCAACCTTAAGCCTGCAACGTTTGCAGGTACATCGTCTTGGAAATGACGCCAGTGATCAGTGTGGACTCCTCTGCATGCCATGTCATCAAGGAGACCTCTCTCAGCCTCGAGTCTATTGCCAAAATGCACCACATTGCAGTACTATGTTATTACGATACTATAACCCTATCATCATAGCAAGATCACAACGTCACAGCAGTACGGGATGATGCCCTTTAGGGCATAGGACAAGGCCACACCTGGATCACTGGCCAGATTTCTGCGTGAATTCCCCGGAGCTCCAGCGCCTAGAGTAGCCTCGCTTCACAGGATGTGGTCAACGATTTCCGCATGAGGAACATGCAGGCACTTTGCATCCTGTGAGCAGGCATGTAGACATTTTGCCAGACCTCCCGAATAGAAAGCATGTGCTATGGGATGAGGTTGAACGACAGCGTCCTGTAGTAGACCGTGCTCTGCAGGTGGCTTTTGCCATGGTGGGCAATCGGGTCGACAAGACTCTTCGCAAGGCCATCTTGCTGCTGGCACATCCGGGATTCATTTTGGGAGTGCGATGTGTGTAATGTCTAGGCGGGCCTGAAGAAGTTCATCGGTGACCAGTGGTTCTTTCCCACCGTGGAGGAGGAACTGGCCAGTCTGAAAGCGCAAATGTCACTTTCGGCCCGAGCGAACGCCTTCTCCGCAGGCTGTGCAGTACTGCGTGAAGCATCAACATGCCCGGCGAGTGCAGGATGAGAGGCGAGGGCTCCGGGTTTCGGGTGGTTTTAAGAGCCAGCCGGCAGTATTGAGCCCGTGCAGGTCGAGCCGTGCCGCCTCTGGAATGCTGACTGAGGCGCCCTTGTCCAAAGGAAGCCCTCGGTTCGGAACAGTTTCTGCAGTTTCAGGAAGAGAAGCAGGGCACCGCTGGCCCGATCGACATTTCTACTGTCTGCCTCGCCCGGTTAAAGCTCTGCATTTCTCTTCCATTCTGTGCTACTCATACTGTCGCCCGTGCAGATCCAAGTGCATACTGGAAATGAGATCGGCTTTAGCAACGATCTCCATTCAAGCTGTACTATGGCCGCCTCTGCATGTTTTCCGACCGAACGTTGTGCGAACGATGCGAGTGTACGTCCATGGCACATCAGCAATCTGGAGCAGTCTCGCGGAAGGTCTTCATCAGCTTGGTCAAAGACGTCCCAATGATCATGAGTGAAATTGCGAATGTCTTCAAGAAGAACCAGGCTGCGGTTTTGGTGGGCTTTCATCCTTCGAGTATGAAATGGAATCCGATCTGATCAAGTGCTCGCCCGATGCCAACTTTTAGCAATGAAGGTGAGTATCATACGAGCCCAGATAGATCCGTCGGCAACGCCCTGAGTGGTGCATCCCATTGTCATGTGGTATGTGGTGGGACTTCTGCTGCCAGCCTGACTGACTTGCAGAATGATGAAAGCGGGGCGAAGCACATATATTTCGTCCGCAGCATCAGGACTGCATTTTGCAACAGAAGTAGCAGAAGCATGAAGTCAGTGCTCATGGCCAGGACGGACAACAAATTGACCGTCTTAGAGATCAGCAGGATCCGAGAGGACGCGGCTGCAGACCAGATGCAGGCGCCGTCGGAGCGAATTCGTTTTCTGAGGACCTCGAGGTGGTTTTGAGGAGGCACCAGCTGATCAATTCCAAGGTGCTCGGGGGAACGAAGGGCATAGTTTGGAGCTCCTGTACGACTCCATTTCGAATCGGCCAGGCCAGTGGTGAAACCTTCGAAGTGATCTCCCCCAGCCACGGCTCCATCAGCAATGTGACCTGAATGAATCCGGCATAGTTTCATGGCCCCTAGCATAGCAGACAAGAAGTGGATATCACATGGCCAAGGAGGATATACAGTTGCAGCACAGTGCAGCCGTTGCCTCGGCTCCCGATTCCGAGCACTACCCGTCACTAACTGCGGCCTCTCAGGGGACTGACCGGCTCTCCAGACTGGAAGAGGCGGAATGTGGTGAGTTTGGTCTCTGGTACCGTTTGTGGAGTCTTCAGAATCTCAGAGCAATAGCATTGATGCTCAAGGCTCAAAGCAGCCCTTCTTCCAGCAGAGCCAAGCTGCATGTAGAACGCAGCAGAACCCCAACATGGCTAGAATGCCTTGATCGCAGAAGTTCTCTCAACGTTCAAGTCCGCACTTTAAATTGCCGACACAGACAAGACCGACGAAGCACTCAGACACTTGTCTCCGCATCCTCTAGATGTTGAGCTTGGGATGCTCGCGTGGTCTCGCGCCGTATCCAGTCCGGTGGAAGGCCGGGAGCCTCGCAGAAGCCTCACTTCGAAGTGACGAAACAGTTTCGGGTTCTGTACCAGGGAGCTCCTTTTCCGAGACGGGCAGAGGTGGGGTCTCCAAGTCCAACGCCGGCACATGCACCAGCAATGAAGGCACTGCAGAGACGCGGACCTACCCTCACCGTGCTGGCCGCTGCTGCAGTGCCTGCGCAGCGCTCACTGTGACTTCTACGGGGCCTGTAGTCTTCCTGGCTGGTCGCGTGCACTCATTTCCCAGGCGGTGACTTCGTGCAGCTCGCTGCCTCTAAGACGAGCTCGCCGATGGCCAACTGGTCACGTGGTGCGCCCGAGGGAACAGTGACGATGTGACCTCCATGACTCTTCATGCTTTCAGCCTGTACTTTTTTTTCAGTGTGTCGCTGGACCGCTGTGCTCGCCATTTTTGGATTCAAGTTACTGGACACGTAGACACGTCTCCAAGAGTGAGTTCCATCGGGCTCCTACGATGAAGAAGAATGCTGCCGCAGCGTCCCATGGACGCAATACAGACGAGCCCACATCGCTGTTGCGAGCGGAAGGTTTCCAGCGATTCAGCCAAGGTCAGGGAGACGGAAGGTGCCGAGGAGAACTCGAACGATGACGAGGTTGCTTTGTGTGTCCGCGGTAGTGGCCACAGCAAACGGCAGCAGCTTCAAAGCTGCAACCAGCATTAGCTGCAAGATTCGCGGAGCTTGCTACGAAAACTGTTTTGGGAGTTTCGAAAGTCCGCTGTAACTTGTAACACCTGGCTCGGCTTGCATCGTCCGCCTCGGCATTCGAGCCGTGCGTGGGGGCAGCATTTGTGTTCAGGCACAGCATTGTGGCGGGGGAGGAGGGAGCAGGTGTGCACAGCTGGTGCGAGAAGGCACAAAGTGGGGAGCCTTGTGTTGGCCACTTCCTAAACTATTGTGCCCCTCTTGCGCCGGCGTGCGCTCAACTTTGCCTTGAGCCAAGGCATAAGCATGGCAGAGACACGCTGTACAGAAGTGCCCACATTTCCAGGCCGGATATTGGTTCTCATTTCTGCTTGAGGTTACGATACCCCGAACATTGCGAAGGTCATGGGCTTGCAAGTCACTGTTGGAAGGCGCCAGGTTGGTTGGATTGGAAGTCCAGAAGTGTTGACTGAACACAGTAGGTTCAGGCAGCGAAAGCGATTGAAACCTGAGCTCAACGGGCACGCGTCACAAGTCAGCACTCCGGGATGGTAGCGTAGCACGGTAACGAACTGGGGAGGTCCACAGAGCCTGACAGCGCGATTCGGCAGTTTATGTTGCTTCCTTCGAACGACTCGCGGAACGGAAGCAGCAGCGTTCGTGATCGCTGCGCCTTGCAAGGCGGCTGCGATAGTGAAGCCGTGACTGGCGCATGCTACTCAACCCGAACGGGCGTGAGTTGGGCGTGCTTCTTGGCAAGATGCACTCCTGCCCTCTGAGTGAAGGCTGATTTCTTGAATTCGCCTTCCGATGATGAAGTCCTAGCAAGCCTGCAAATGAGGTGGAGCGCCGAGCGGTAGTTGCGATACTGTTCCTCTCCCGCCGCCAAATGGTAGCTTGATCAGCATCGAGCATCAAAGGCTCACAGTGGTGTGGCACTTTTGGTTTGTGTTCTCTTCTGACCTGACCTTGTCTTCTGCACGACGTGCTTCACGCGACCGGATCTCTGTTGTCCAGGAAGTCTCTTGAACGTTCACGGATCTTCACTTGAGGTGGCGCATACGAGGGCTATTGCAGTTTCGCCGGTGAAACGGCTACATTCACTAGCACATCACGGTCTCCGGCTGAGATTCTCAGAGTACCCTAGACAGGGAAAGGCTACCATTACCAGTATTTATTTCTCCGATGAGGTCAACCAGTGTTTCCGAGACCAGCACCACCCTCACTACCACTAGCTCTGCGAGCTCGAGCTCGCTGAGCACCAGCTTTTCGAGCACCAGCAGTGCCACTGGAACGCGGACACTGCCTTTTCCACCAGAAGGCCTGTCTACGAGGCCGAGCGGAACCGAGAACGTGTGAGATTCATCTGCGCGGCAGGAAGTCCTGTTGCCGAGTACGGACATCTGAGGGTCGTTGGGACTCAAATAGTGAGTCACGGCCTCAGTCTCTAAGCCTCTCTTGTGCCGACATAGACTGCAACTGCTCCTCCATGACAGAGGCAGACTACATGACTACACATGCCGAAACCACTGTACAACATTCAACAACCAACAGCCGACAACCGACCACCGCAGCAGCAACAAGCAGCAGCAGCAGCAGCAACAGCAGCAGCAACAGCAGCAACAGCAGCAACAGCAGCCCCAGCAACCCCAGCAACCCCTGCAACCACAACAGCAACAACTACGATGTCGACGATATTCATGCCGCGACTCCCATCACATCCCGTCACAAGTGTACTGATATTGCTGGACTGATACTACTACTGTTTCTGCGACGAGGAGGAGGTGAGGCAGGAGCAAATGGTGATTCTCATGTTGGCAGGTCGAGAAAGAGAAACTTTCAGCGATCATTGATCATGCTGATGAGGATGACGATGAGACGATCGGAGGAGGAGCAGGAGGAGGGATGATGATGAGGAGAAGGCGGAGGAGGAGGAGGAGAGGGAGGAGGAATTGGATTCAGTTGTTTCCTTGTTGTTGTGCACCCTACTCCTGTGCACATACTTATGCCTGCTCCTTGCTGAAGCTTGAGGTCAGAAGACCGGCGAACCTGTCCGGCTCCGTGGCATGTCGCTTTTCTGGTCACAGCGCCTCGGCTAAAGGTGCTACACATCGAGAGGTGTAGAAGCTATAGTTGCGAGGAGAGTTTTCAGGCAACTTCGAGCTGCGTGAGTATTCGTGCGTATTTCGGCCACAAGCCACGCCTGAAGTAGATCTCGAGATGTTGCGCCATGAAGGTTGCAGCTTGCACCAGGAAGATCCCAGCCACAATAGTAATAGCCTTCAGAGGTTGCATCCGGTGAGTCCCTGCCATGGCACTCGCGCGATCTCCCGCGCCTGGATCACGGCCCGGACCAGGGTCGGCACCCGGGGGCAGCCCAGCTGCTGTGGAGACAGCCCCAAAGGCTGACAATGTTGCAGACTTGTTGCAGCTTTCAGCTTTGTTGCCGGAAGGTCAATGCATTTCGCAGCTTCTGCCAACAACTGACGGAGCAACTCTGCCTGGAGTTTGAGCGTGAGGCGATGCCTCGTGTCCCGTAGGTGAAGCCACAGATGAGCATATCTCTGCTCGTAGGTTCAGCAGCTGACTGAGGATGCCGGGCACCCAGGTGTTGCAGCTGATCATGTGTGCCCACCGCACAGATCACTCCAATGGCTGTAACTTGCCAACTGGCACAACACAACAAGATCTGCTCACCAAAAAACATTTGCTTCAGAGCTCACGGTTTATGTACCTCTTGCTTCTCCCGTGCACTCTTGCAGTCGGCCTGGGCCTCAGCAGTGTGTCCCAGGTCGTGCGCTATCGAGCAGAACTGGCCAGATGTGCGGATCTCTTGGCATACCAGCTGGGCAAAGAGAAGCAGCGACTTGGCTTTGGAGGCGTAGTAGCTCGCGGTTTAATTGTTGAGTATTGCAACGGCAACGCCCAATGTGTTGATGGCCTACTCATCTACAATTCTACACAATATTTGCATGCTTTGCGGCATCAGGTACCACTCGATGCTGGAAAGCATTGCGGGCAACACCTCTATGCTCATGGGGAAAGCGAGTGAGGCCGATGTGGCATCGTGCCTAACGAAATTTATACAACATGCTGTGCCTCTCCAGATTCTCCAGAAACTCGAGTTACCAAGACAGACCCGGATTATGCACACTACATTTAGATGAGACTGCTCGCAGCCACCCCCAGAAACTTCCCTGGGTCAGCTTACGCTGCTTGGGTATGATTGTGCTCGTTCCATATTCGTTTCTGATGATTCTGTAAGTGGGAGGCAATGGACTCATTTTGACAGGCATGTCTACAGAGTACTGGCGTTGACATGCAGGCATTGTTTCTGGTCAGGTGGGAAACAAGGCCAACATGAGCGATCCTTTGATCAAGCAACAGCCCCTCGGAGAGGAACGTCGGCTTTTTGCTTTCAGTGCAGCTTTCTGCTGAGACGTGCCCAGGATGCATCAGATGCTGGACCAAGTTCTGCACGGCCAAACGGGCGCACTGGCGGAAAACCTGGGAGGCATCGACGAACACCGCATCTTGGCCGCCGTAGGCGAAGCCGAAACCTCCCCGAGGTGGTAACTTCGGTGTGTGGAACTCCGCAGGTCGGCTTGCGGAGTCCCACCTGATGAAATCCTCAGAGCTGCAGAACCAATCTGAGGCTATCTCTCTTTGCATGTCATACGATCGTCGCAAGTACCGAAAGAATGCCTGACGCATCTCTGCAGGCTGTTCAGAGGGAGCTTGAGAACATCCTCCAAGCATTGCGCTTTGGCCCTGTTAGCTTGAACATGCAGCCTGGAATCTCCAGCACACCGCATCACGGTGCTTCAGGAACATGCCTCCAGTGGCCTACACCCAGGCCCCAATGATCAGGCTTGGCATCCTTAATGGTTCTTGTGCTCGATTCCGTGGGTGAAACCGGAGGCCACCAGCTCCAGCTCCAGGTGCACCTGTCCTGCGTCCCATGAGCCTCAGATAAACTTCTCAGGTGAGAGCACTGGACACAGCAGAGCACCAAGGGGAAAGTTACTAAGGGCAGGCTGCCCGATGACACCGCCTATGCCACCTTTCCCGCAATATTGCCAAGTCCATCAGCTCCCTGTCAGCGAGTGTTGTTGCTACGGCTTGTGAGGCGAGACAAGCCTGTGTTTTAGGGTTCTGCTTTCTGCCTGATGTGACTTTTTCTGCAAGGTTGGGTGCTCCCGGTATGCCTGTCATGAATCTTGGTTGCAGCAAACTCTGAAAGACTAGGACTGATGGCCCTGCGAAACGATGTTACCCTTCATCTCGTGAGGCAGCCGGGCGTGCGCCCATTCGGAATGGTGCCGCAGCCCGCGAGCCTTTTCGACGGAAACGCCGGTGCGCCAGGCCTGTCATGCTGAACGCGAGTGTGTCTGAGAATCTGCTTTGGGGCTGGTTAAAGCTCGGCGGACTTGACCGTGAGGCATTCCTCCAGTGTCCCCCGGTGGAGCAAGCGCGAGCGCAGCGCTTGCTAGAAATGCTGTGGTGGTTGAATCCGCCAAAGCCGCAGATGCTGGAACAATCGGGTTGAGCAACCCAAACCAGCGGTTTGCGTAATCGGTCGTTTGAGACGACCGATGCTGTCCTGCAAATGCTTTCCACGGCGACATACTACGAGTCTTCTCTGGCACTGGCCCTGCAGCCATTATTGTACAGCAGTGTAGAGCCTTGGAGCCCTTGGACTCTGAGAGATTGGCCAATGACATGCCAAAGCGCGCAAAACAGCCCTGAGCATTCACGAGTGTTCCATGAGAGAGTGGCAGTCGTAAGTTGGATAATGCTGTTGAAGACAAACGTCGGGTGAACAAGTATGCAGCAGGGCCGCAGGCCTAGCTGCTGTGCTTTTCTGACCCGAGATGCCTGAGAAGCCGAGGTGGGGAGGTAAATACTGGAACGAGGACACACTCAGATGGCTTCAACGAGCCGCATCCCCAGCGCCTCAAACTTTGCTCATCCTTCCGATGCGTCCGGCTTTTTCTCCCAGGATTGGGGAATTCAGATCATCCGTGCTGCCATGGGGGTAGAAGCTGGTGGATATCTCGATCGACCAGAGCGAGAGTGCCTCGCCATGTCAATGCAATCTGGAGCCACGGTCACATGGTTCTGCAACCCGAAACACTCCGGCCTGTGGATGCCAACATCCGACAACCGCAGGTTTCGCAAACTCGTGCGAGTCGTTTGGGCCGCGCATGCTCTAGGCCCGAAGCAGCCCACCAAGATTCTGCCAGCCTTGCCCCACTTGTCCGGCAGGCTTGTACGTCATTGTCGACTGGCACGACCATCACGCACCCAGGAATGTTGCAAGGGCAATTCCGTTCTTCCGGCGGATTGCACTTCGGCCAAATCAATGCACTCTTTTGCTTGCCTGGGTCTCATCGCGCGCTTCCTGTGCAGGCAAAAAAGTATGGCCACTTACCAAACGTTCTCTTCGAGACTTTCAACGAGCCTACTTGGCAGAGTTGGAGCCAGGACCATCTGTCTTGTGATACGGAGACCATTCATGTCTACAGCCGTTCCAAAGTTGAAGCTTTTGTTGATATCTCTCTGCACCTGTTTGTCCTTAAGAGTATTACTCCAAAGGGTTTCTGCTTCGCCCACATGAACCGCGATAGCTTTTGTGAAGTGCAGCAGCTCTCGGAAGGCCGTCAAGCCATACCACCAGAGAATTCTCAAGGCCCTTGCTCCGTGGAGTCTTCTGGTTCAGTTTGCAAGTAGTAAGCAGAGCTTGTGCCAGTGTTCTTGAGAATCACCGGCGCAGGTCATTCGGCCATACTCGGACAACATTGTCATTTGTGGTACTCCAACCTGGTCGCAAGACGTTGATATCGCATCGAATGAGCGGATTCAAGGCAGGTGCTCGGTTCATGCAAGAGACTCTTGCGGCTGGTTCCATTCCGCCAGGCGACAATATCGTATACACCCTGCACTTTTACGCGGGGACGCATCACCAGTACCTGCGAGATAAGGCAATCAGGGCACTGGAAACTGGGGTAGCACTGCAGCTTGACAGCAGAAGCGTGCAGAGCAAAGTTGACGATTCTGCATGTGCTTTGTCTTTGCAGCTTCGCGTTTGCCGCGCGAAGGTTAGTATCAGAGTGGGGGACGTGTGAAGCCAATGGGAATGGACATCTGGACCTTGAGGAGGCGCAGAAATGGGAGGATTTAATGGCAGGCGACTCAGGTTTGTAAAGTGCTGTCTACGGCGTGGCCACATCAGCGCTGATGGAGAGAAAGACAGACGGCCATGCCTGCAGGGAACACTGCAGAACGTTTGGGGGAAGACCGGGCTGACTTAGAGGCTTAGAGATCCTCGGAGATTGGCTAGACTTTTTGCCAGATGTAGACACCTCAAGCACAACTGCGACTCTCGCAATACCGATTTGCAGGTTTGGGCCCTGGGCAGAACAAGTGCAACGAGCTGTTGCAGCAGCTGCACGAAACAGTCAGAAGGCGGCAGCAGCAGCACCACCACCAGCAGTGCCGGCAGCAGCGGCAACAGCAGCAGCAGCAGCGAAGACGACGACGACAAGCAGGACGACGACCACCTCAACAGTGAAAAGTGCAGGAACTAATAGCAGCAGGACAAGCAACAACCACAAACATCGCCACAGCAGACTAGCCCGCCACGACCAACACGCAACCGCCACGATCCTCACCGTTATACTGCGCTTGTGCAAAGGTCCAGTCTTAGTCTTCCTCATAGTCTTTCTTTTGAATGTTGCACAGTTTCAGCCGCTTTGCATTGGTCCGCTAAGGCAGAGTACAATATTACTGATGCGAACTGGGCAGCACCATGCTCGCACGACGGAAGGCTTTGCTTTTATTGTTGTCGGTGGTATGGCGTGGAGCATCCTGTGAAAAGCCTCTGACATGTGGCTGCTATGAGGTAGCACCCTACACCCTTCCTGGGATCTGACAGTGAAAACTATAGCCCTGAAACCCACTCCTAACCCCTAAACCCTACTGTAACCCCTACAACCCTACACCCTTAAAACCTAAACCTTAAACCACAGCGGCTGCGATCTGAGGTGAACGACAAGAAGGAGTCTTGTTCTGCACTGCAGCCGGGAGCTGCCACCAACGGCCACTGGGGTGCGGCCGACCTCACACCCTCGGGAGCCGTGGCATGAAGAGGAAAGGAAGAGCCTTTCCGGTCGCTTCTGCAGAGATGTTTACAAAGACTTGAAGAGTAGTGTATGCTGAGGATAGGGGGATTGGCAGCAATTTTTATGTGGTCTCATGTCCGGGCCATGCCTGTAAATGTCCACTGCTGAACACCCTTTAGATCCCCTTAGTCAGATAGGTCAGCATGGCGAGTAGCATGCACCTCTGAGATCTTATTACGTTTCTCACCGGATGCTGACTGAGGACGTTGGGTTAGAGCCTCTTTGCGCCATCACGCGTTTGGAATCCTGCCGCCATGGATGACAACTACAGAAGCTCCCTCTGGCAATTCATCGGAGCAGAACGATACCCAGATCTCTAGCTCGACCGCTCCAGCCACCGGACAGGGCGTCCGGAGGCCAGGTCCGAAAATGTCCGACAAAGTGGAGCTATTTCTACGCGTGAATAAGAGCTTCTTGCCGCGCTCCCGCGCAGGTTGCGTGGCTCTCTACACGCTCTTTTTGATCTTCCACTGAGCGCGGCTTTCAAACAAGGCTACAACACAGCTGTGGTCGTGCTTTGCATTTGGGCTATTGCTTTTTCCGTGGAGCTATCCGTCTAAAGCTGAGATGGCTCCCCCCCAGATAGGCACAGTGCTGGCATGATGAACAAGGCCTGCAGTACCAGTTCCTCTAGCACTGGAGTGTTGCTGCACAGACTCGGGAACGGACTGCATGGGCAGAAATTAAAGAATGAAATGTTTAGTTTTGTGCCTGGATTCAGACACTCATTAAAGGTCTGGAGCGGGTGGAATTCTGCAGCTTCTCCCAAGCGTGAGAGCTGCCTCATGCATGGCCACTTCCGTACATGCATGCTGGACACGTGCTCATTTGAGTGGCGTGATGTCCGATTTACGTTGCAAGTCATAGCTTCCAGCTTTAGACGTCCGGGCAAGTTTCGCTTCGTAATGATGTTTTTGGAGCTTGCGACAACTGAGGGCTGAATGGAAGATCTGAACCCCAGAAATCCAACAAGCTGATCCGATGAACGTGCTTTTGAGCAATAAGGCTGAGTTTGTCAGACAAAGCTAATGGCCCAATAGAACAAGGTGAGAAGACAACTCTCTGCGTAAAGACCGGAAAGACCCATGTCAGATCTTTCTGGTAGCTCTTGGTTCGTAGTGATCATTGCACCCACGGCCTAGCCTTTTGAAGCACTTGCTCCAGGTACATGGACAGTGCGTGGGCGCATATTCCGGGACCCCAAACACCTTTGCAGATCCGAGTGAATTGACCCATTACTGGTACACTGAAGTTAGGGTCCTTGGACATGTTTTCAGTGTTTCCGCAGCATTCCCGTACAGAGTGCCTGCCTAGGGGTGTGCGTGGCACAGGCTAGCATCCCCCTCGCAGAGTGGCGCCGGTCCGGTTTGCTCGTTGCATGAGAACTGAGTCGCCAAACGCCAAAGGCTTGTCTAGCCTTCGGGCTAACAGCTAAGGGGCATTCAAAGAAAAAGGAGTCATTTTGAAACGTACTGAAACGGTGGTGCTCGTGCACCTCCGGCCGTATAGAGCCCATGGGCGTTTGGGAAGGCTAACTCGGCCTTTACATGCTCGCAAAATGAGCGTTCCCCTCACCGGCCTACAAAGTACATAGGGCTGCGAGGCTACTGCGAAAGAGAAAGAAAAGAGCACAATCCAGGGTAGTGCGGGCAAGTTTCCCCGCATGGCACCTGGAGCGGGCTTGGGCTTGTGGCATGGCGGAGCAGCGAGTTCTAAGAGAGGTACGACTGCGGCACTTGGAGACCAAGCATAGTGGTCACCTCAAAGGGAAATCCGATCGCAGCCCAATGCAAGGGCGATCATGCATGGTGCGACTGCCATGCTTTGGCTTAGGTTTTGAGTTCATTGTCGAGAGACGTACAGGGCTCAGCAAAATGTGAAGATGTTGGCTGAAAGCCCAGGAGTTGTACGAGCATGTGCTTTCAATGGCTTTCAATAGCAGCATCTCATCGTACTCATGCATGCATGGCGAAGCCCTGCAGGTTCACACGCCGTGCTTCTGAGTTCTCCGCTTGCTCCGTTTGAGTCGACGGCTGAGCTTCCAATCGTTGTGCTCAGTGCCGCCAGGGGCCGTCTGTCAACCGCGTCAGACAGTCCACTTGGGGACAGTTGCCAGGCGAGTGGCGTTGCCACCCGTCCTGCCTGAAATAGGCCCGGGAAGCCTGCTTCGCATGGCTTCCGATCGCTCGATTTCCGGCTGTTCGGGAGGTGTGGGACCGGACATCCTGGACCTAAACGTGGCCAGGGCTAGTGGAAACGACAAGGCTTGGTATTAATTGCTTTCCAGCTTCGTGCCGCTTCGGTAATCGTCTTTGCAGGACTGGCCCCTGTTTTGGTGTGTCAGCAGCTGGGACTCTGATGGTTGTCTCTGTCTGGAGATCAGCAACGCTAGGAGGCTCCGCATGCACTGAGCTGACACCTACAGTAAGTACCTGAAGCAAACCCTGACTCCTAACTACAACTGCTGACTTGTGGAGGCCCGACCTGGTGCTATCGGCAAGCCTTGAAGGTCAGCTGGTGCTGCAAAGGCGGCCAATGAGTCCGGGAAGGACCCTTTTGAAACGCTTCAGCAGACATCGCAACGCAATGTTCCGACTGAAGGCCCTGCGGCCCGGAATTTCTGCCCAGACAGACACACTGACATACTTCCACGCACGCGCCCACCGACCTGCAAAGCCGCAGATGTACGCAGACAACCGCAGATCTGAATCAGAAGCCGTAGGACGGCAAGCAGCACGTTCATCGAAGTCTTCTGCCAGGACTGCTCGTACGGATCCTGGTTCTAAGCATGATTGCTGGGCATGTGACATACAGTTGCGAAGCAAGAGCCTGTCATGAACACTTTCAGTCAGAGACTGCTGTGCCAGCTTGAGGAGAACCTTAACGTTGCTGCGGCTGCGTCGGCTACACCGCTGCGCAGGTGCTGCTTGGAAAAGCGTCAGACCGCAAGTTCGCTGCTGACTCGGTTCAGGTCGGAGTCTACCGGTGATGAAGTGCAGAGCAGGATGCCCAAGTGGATGCGCTGCCAGCGCCGGTTGTCTTGTAAATTGAATTGTGATGTGGATGCAGTGCGATGTGGTTGCCCACCGTGGGAACGGATCATCATGCAGACGGTGCTCAGTCCAGTGTCAGCCGTCCCCATGGACCATCACGTTTCACTGGCCACCATCATGACATCATCGTCAAACTAGTAGCAACGTTGAGAATATTGTTGACAAACTCAGCACCTCACCCGGACCCTCACCACCATCCATACCACCATCCATACCACCAAAACCTCCACCACTGCCACCACCACCGCCGCCACCATCACGGCCACGCTGTGACCCTCGCCATCCAGGTTTGGCACCATCGGGCCGCTTGCTGCCAGAAGATCTGCGCTCTTTCGCTCGGAATGGCCGCTCGACCTTTGCTTGCCACTTACTGCCGATGGATGTTGACATTGCTGCAGCCACTCTTAGGCTATGTTGTCGTCAAGAAGGTGCCTTGCTAGTGGAAATCTCTGAATTTGCGCATGTCAGCCACGCGAGGCAGTCCCGGACTTTTTGTGGCGACCTGCCTGTGCGCTTGTTCACTCGCAAATTGGCAGCTTTGTGCTCAGAGCAGAGCAGAGCAGAGGAGAGCAGAGCAGAACACTGTGCATTGTATTTTTGCATCGGCTCGACACGGTCTGAGGCCAGGGCATGATCCAGGGCGGCGACACGAGCAACTCAGGCACAGAGATCGAGAAAGTTGAGGGTCGACGCTTTCATGATGCAAGGGCCGTAGAGGAAGTTTCGAAACCCGATGACTTCAAAACGTTCGATCCGCAGCTCTTTCCGCTGCGGTAATATTGCGGTGTGTGGTCCAGAAATCATGGGTTCAAGCTGGATGCGCTTGGCAGCTCCGCTGAGGGTCCCCGGAAGCTGGTAAACCGGATTTGTCCAAGTTAAGCACACGACAAGACACCCAGACTTGTACCCTTCGCCTGGCTGTGATCCTGGACCTGTTCGTTCCCAAATAAGGTTTTGATCCCTTCGCGGCCGCCTAGTCACATAGTCTTTGAACGTGACGTGCGGCACCACGCACGCATACACAGAACATGAAGATGTTGGATCTCCAAAATGTATGTGCTCACTCACTTGAGCGTCACACTCACGTTTTAAGATTTTGATACAAGTGGGAGCGGCATCGAGAGGAGAAGGCAGTGGGAGTGGGGGAAGTTTAGGCGGCTGTGTGCAGACGAAGATGTTTTGAATGACGGTGATCATCGTCATTGACAGATCGTATATCCTAATTAGATCCTATATGTGATAAGTTTCGCAACGCCAAAACCAATGGCTGCAGCTCAAGCCGGCTCAGGTCTCAGGAATTGCAAGTCTCCAAATTTAGCTTGGACCAGACGACATGCTGGAGCGGGGCTTGTTGATGGTAGTTTCTGGCATTTGGCTTGTCTTGCCAACTCCTGCAGCAGGGACGAACGTGACGAATACGACCACTACGACGACCACAGCAGAGACGATTGAGATGTCATTAGTGTCCTACTTGCTCTATGCGAATGGGAATTGCGATGGCGCTTTCACAGAGGAGATGACCGGTTTGGGCTGGTGCGGTCAGTTATTTCCGGGCTCCGCGAAGATCGAGTGCGTCAACGGATCTCCCACCCGCATGGTTTACATTACTTCCGACTGCTCAGGTACGCCAACTTCATCACAAGTCCTGCAAGTGGGCGCGTGCATACCCGCCAGCATTGGTACATCTTCTCTCTACGTAACGAGTGCTGATAGATGCACCGTTACGGGTATGAGCAGCTCGTACGCAAGAAATCATGTGAACGTCGTTCTCATGTTTATGGCCAGGCCATCATCAGGACAGAGTGTTCTTTTCTCCCAAGCACCACGCGTCACGTTTGGGGGCGAATGCCCGTGCCTGCTAGTACACTCCTGAAGCTTGCCGGTGCCGTGTCCAGCGAAGGGTGGAGACCGGGAAGCTGTAGGTGGCAAGTGCGGAGCAGACCCAAGTAAACGCAAGTAATAGAAAGAATGCTGCTGCAAGGTGGTTGCCATGAGGGCACTCTGCACGGGCGCCGTTTGTCCGAAGCGAGCGTGAATGTGGGGTATCTTCTGGGTTCTGGTCACATCCTGAGCCACGGCAGAACAGAGCGCAGCAGCTATGGCCAGGCTTTGAGTCTGTGGGGAAGCTCCAGGGCAAGACTCCACATCGTCCTCAATTCCGAGACCTTCTGCTGCACCCGTCTGCGGCCCTAGCTGTGGTGCGAGTACTAACTTTGTTGTGAGGTTATGATTACTATATTGGTATTTCCCCATTAATAATGCTTAGGGGTGATGCTCACAAACCAGAGCCAGGTCGAGCGCTGCAGGCTCTTGCGCCGCTGGGCCTCAGCTTCCAAGCCCAGGCCTTGCATGCTCGTATACATGAGTCTATGCATAGAATCCTGACTGGCGGACGTTCATCCTGTAGTTGATGAGTGGTGGAAAAGGACAAAAATAAAAGAAAGAAAACCAACGAAGTGCGTGTTTCTTTTCACTTTTATTTTGGCTCTTTTCACGTGTTTCTTTTGTTCTCTTTATTTCGTTTGTTTCGCTCACATTTCGCTCTTCACAGAAACACAAACGAAATAAGATACCAAAATTGTCTGTCTGTGAGTGAAGTCCTCGTATGCATGCATGCATCAGTCATTCATGTACGTGTGTATGCAACATTGCAGGAATGAATGTCTGCCCGTCTGCCTGTCTGTATGTCGGTATCGGCATGTCTGCAATGTCTGCACGTGTGTATCTACGTATGCTTGCATGTGTGCATGTGTTTGTGCGTAGGTGTTGACGTTCATGTGTATAGGTGTGTAAATACGTACGTGTATAGGGACCGTGCTTTCTAATTGCAGAAACATGCGGTAATTTCACGACAGCATGGTTCAGAAATATGGAACCGTTTTGTGGAAATTTGGCGCAGATTGTTCAGAAAAACGCAGCAGATTTTCAAGAACATATTTTGACTTTTAGGGTTAAGGGTCCGGAGCCATATGCATTGCTAGGCTTGACATACATAAATGCATGGGGCGCATGGTTTAGGGCCATATGCAATTCCAGGCTTGTTATAAATGCATGGGGTTCAGGATTTAGGGCAAGTGCATTTCCAGGCTTGGTATAATGCATGGGGTTATGGTTTAGGGTTTAAGGGCCATGCTAACGAATATCGGCAAAAAACGCCTGGTGATTTTATCGAAAACTCAGTTCCACATCTCAGAAAATTTGTGCGTGTTTTTTTGACACCGGCGTGTCATTCGTTGGACATGGTTTCTGACATATCCAGTCGGACATGGTTTCTGACATATCCCATCACCCTGTGTATATGACATGTGCGTGTACATGTATGCATATGTGTATACGTGTGTACGAGCATGCATACTCTGCATATTCTGTACATGTGTGTATGTATATATGTACACATGTATTTGTAAATATTTTTGGAGATTACCGACAGCCGGAGAAAATGCTAGCACTGAATCCGTTGAATTTCAGATCTCTTCTCGAGCAGCCTACTCGGCAATCGCCCTCCACATAGTCAAAGAATCCCATATCATAAATCCTCGACCGGCTTTGCAGCATCTTGCAATGCAACAAGTTTATAAACGTATACAGGATGAGCTGCAACACCACGTCATGAATGATACCCAGCATGCCAAAAGAGTGCTGCGAAACCAGCACTGTACGTCGCCTGCCTTAAGGCTCAGATGCTTGGATGGCGATCGATATCAGCTGTGCTGAAAGGGCGTCAGCTTCCCGCCCAGGCCTGCTGAGTTTAGGGACCTGTCAGCTCTTTCGCCGCTCTGACCTTGCGGGTGCCTGGGAAATTTCGGGACAATGGGTGCAGAACTGAGTGAGGTAGCGCTGAGATTTCCGGATGCCATCTTGGCAGAGGAGAAGGCCGTCAGTCCCGAAGACATGGCAGTTTGCAGAGCTGCTGGTCCTGGCTTGAGGCCACATCCTGGGCGGCTCCGCAGCATCCTCAGTTCTCCAAAAAGTATCACAAGCCCTCCGTCATCATCGCTAACAGTGTCACCACTGTCAGCCTGGCAAGGTTGCAGCTGGGTGACCTTTTGTGGCACACAGACGGTTGCGGTACGCGCTACTGGCATGGATTGCATCGTAAGGGGCTACGAAGGAGCAGCCGTTTCAAGTCTCGTGTTGAGCTGGTACAATACTCGTACTACAAGAGACATTGATTGCTAACAGAACGAAGCACGTCAGTGTTGACAGGCGCCAATGCAGCCGCCATCCGTTCAGCTTGCTGGTAGGTTGGTGCTGGGTTTCAAGTCTCTAATCCTGCACTCAAACTGCGGAGATCTGCTGGCAGGCGTGGCCCTCACAGACAGCCCGCATGGGGAACAGCTGTGTGGAAACCTGTGCCCGCCGCCCAGCGAGACTTCTAGACTTCTGCGCATGAGCACATCGTTGCGAAGCACATGCTGCAGCTATTTAAGCTGCTATTTAGGTTGACAGGATTTTTTTCGTGCAGAGAACTTCGTAGTTGCTGTATCCGTGTTGTTTCTTTGCAATTGGTGAGCTCCGGGCGAGCCTGGGAAGCTGCCTCATGCTGACTGCCATTGGCCATGCCGGGACGCTGTGACTCGCAGAACTCTGCGGTAAGCAAAGGCTCACCTGTCCTGCTACGTCCGCCCACCCCTCTTGCTGCGTTGCGCATCAGGCGAGCGACTGCTCATCGCGGCCAAGGCACCGCAGGTTGTCCGTGACCTACCTGCTGCCTTGCGAGTGCAGGACCTCGAACCATTGTGTGTGTGTATACTTCGAACAGCACAGCTTCATGCACGTGATGCAGTGCAGGAAACTGTGCAGTTTGACGTGAGCAAATACAACTTGCGCGAGCAGATCTCCTCCTTGCTGGTCGGCGCGGATGCTAAAGCCTCGTTCGTTATTTCAGAATCCTTGTGCAAGAAGATGTGCTGCAGCACAGAAGAAGGTGGGGCACTTCTCGAACGAGCAGAAGGCCTTGGAAGATTTCGAGGCGAGGGCAGGGGCATCGTCAATGTCCCGGGTGTAATCTTCTAAAGTTGCACATAAATACTCAGGCATTCCCACAGATTGAGTATATGTGCATATGTACGCATATAAAAAAAAATATATATATATATATATATATATATATATATATATATATATATACATACATACATACATACACCCGCACAGAGTTCAAGCTGTCCCGGCGCCTGGAGGCCATCCCAAGCATCTTTCGCTCCTTTCCAGCTCGGCAGCGGCTTTGCGAGGTTCTCACACAGGCTTCATCCTGCGCAGATCAATGCTGACGCGACCGAAAGCTTACCTTTGTGACCTGCCCTAGCAGGCTTCGGAGTTTCTGGCCGTGTACGAGAGGCTGGTGCTGGAGGTTCTGGTTCCATGGCTCCGGCAGCGCTTGGAGAAACAGGCCATCGCAGAGTATGACTATCTCGAACATTGCTGAGATCTGCAAGCTCTTTTGCATTCCAAATTGGGTCGTAGTCTCCCCACCGCCCGGCCATTCTTTTTGCCTTCCAGCTCTAAGCGAGGAAGAGGTCTGGGCCGAAAAAGAGAGGCCCAGATTTTTCAGCTCAGAGCCTTCTGTAAACCCGGAAGCCCCAACAACAAAATCTTAAACCCTATCCTTCCGTGGCGCTCTGCGCGGCAGGTGGGGACCCTGGGCCCGATCTACGGTCGCAGCACAGCATTTTTTGGACTTTTCCTGGTTGTCTTGAATGCACGGTATATCGATGTAGTCTTTCGAAATAAATTAGTATATATATACACATACATACCTACATGTATTTTTATTTAATTATGTGTGTGTGTGCATATGTTGCATATATATATATATGTAATGTACACGCGCGCACACGCACATTATGTACACTTTCAGAAACGACTGACATGTGTATATATATATATATGTATATATGTATATATATATAGTAAGCAGCCATCAATCGATTTGACCATGACCTTGTCACTGTTGCAACTAAGCCGACGACGACTACCTCGGTTGCTTCCATTGCGACGACATCGGCTACGGCCACGACTGCGACGACTGCTTGTACTACTACCAGCAGCACAATTAGCATCACTCAATGAACATTCTAGCAATGCTTAGTGGCTGTTTTGCGATCAATGAAACCAGCTGAAATGTCAATCACACTACCAGCTTCACTAGCACTGATGCTTGTGCTTTACCACTTCTTGGTGATTGTTCAGCTTCAAGGCCAGGGCAACTAGGGCTTCCGTCAAAAGCATCATTCCCACAGCCTAGTTGATGGGGACGGAAGCCGGCAAGAGCTAGGAAGCGTGTTTTGTGACTGCTGTGCACATTCAAGGACCACGTTTTCTTACCAGTATCCACCTACCCTTCGGATTCAGCCGGGAAGGACCGGTTGCGTACCGCATCGGAAAGCCTGTATCCCAAAATCAACTCAGGTTTGGGGAGCTCTGCAGTGCACTCTTCTTTCTTTCTCCAGGAGCGAGGAGTTTAAGCGCCCACACCGAGATGCAGAGTACGGCCATCAAATCGGGGTGCCTTGGCGTCAGCTTTGATAGTAGTTCAACTCACATTGGTCCTGTGCTTTTTACAGCTACTGATTTTTTGGACAGCTACAGTCGCACTGATGATGGCTCTGGTCGCCATTCTCGTTTCTGCTCATACCACTTGTCAGTCATTACGAACGAAAAACAGTGACCGAGTAGATGTTAATTACTTTGGCCACGCCTGGGCAGCAAATCGAAACGAAACTACTGAGGCCGCGACCAAGCACGAACCTGCAAAATTAGTCGGCATAAGATCTGGACATGTCTTGATACACAAGAAGGTATAGGTGTCTGGCATAGATACACCCGCTACACGTAGGAAGCCAGACAACAGTGACACCGAAGACAGCGAACGCGCACACGAGAGAGCAGCGGCACAAGACGGATAAGCTGCCAATGCCATTGACCCTCGCCGTTAGATCCAAACAAGAACTCAAGAACTTGAAGCAGCACTCACACGCGGCCTGTGTTCGGAAGTGGTATGCCTGTCCCGCAAGGAGGATGGGTGGGCGAGTTCAACCATGTTTGTTCAACATCTTTGGTAGTCTTTATGCTACCGACCGGGGGCGCATCGCTCGCCTTTGGCCCCGAGGAGTTGAACTTCTGGATGCCACTGACTGACTACAACATGACGCAGGCACACCCCTTCATTTACCCAATTTACCCTAAGCCCAAGCAGGCTGCAGTCTATGCAAGCCGATGCATTCAGTCAGGCGACTCTGTGGGTGGAGTCCAGCCCGGGCGCAGAGGATTTCCAGCCCTTGGCCATTAACCACGGCAGCGGCTCGGCGGCATTCGGCGGCCGCTGCGGTCTCTTCAGAAAGCGCATCCCTCAGAAAAGAACCCGAACCGAGGCATTGCAGTGTTCCATGGCACACTCTGCAGACACAAGGCTCGACCCGGACCGGAGCGGATTCTTCGTTTCGAGCAGCATAATAGTACAGTGTAGCGCAGGTGCCGGCGAACACCTCTCCCTTCACGAGCCGCTTGCCGAACAGCTTACAAGCCTCCGCGCTACCTCCTTTTCGCTCTTAACGAATGTTATGGGTCGAAAGATATAAACAGAAGCATCCGCAGAGGGCGCAGGAAAGTCACTTGAGCAGCTACTGCATGTGGATATTCAGCATGCAGTGTAAACCGGAACGTTAAGGCGCACAGGCAAGAAGGTTGTGGAAAAGTCCAGGTTTAGGCATAGCGGAGCTGTGGGACCAAGGAGTGTCTCTGGACTTCCGAATTGGTTTTGGGGACTTCTTTGACAGAGACGTGTGGCTGGCAGTAGACATGTGCAGCCAAGTTGGCTTCATGTTGCGTTCTCCATGCGTTGTGTCCTGGGTGTCTGGCAAGGACTGGCAGCTTGATGGCGTGAAGCATATTCACAGTCGAAGCCACTTGCACTGGACCTGTCCCATATGACATCACAGAAAGTCACAGAAAGTCAGCTTAGGAGAGGTTGTCCAGTGACGTTGCAGATGGAGCGCCTCTCCTCACGGCTTTGACGGCGACGCCCCGGAGTCGCTGCTCTATAGGAAGCATCCTTCAGGCATCTTCAGATATCTTCAGGCAGCAGCTGGAAAACCCCAATTGCCAATTGCGTGGGCATCAACCTGAGAAGCCGGCATCAGCACCACCACGATCTGCCGCCGCGTCGACGCCGTCTCGCCCTGGCAGACCAGCATGTCTCGGATGGCCTGGGCGAAGGCTGTCACTGGCAGCCACAGAATCAGAAGCTGGTCCAGGCATTGCGCGGCCTTCGCCTGACTGCGCAAAAGTGGGCCGAAGTTGTGTAGAACGCACGTTCACTCGACCTCCGACCTCCACGGCCTTCCAAGAACCTTGTCCAAAATGAGGTGTTTGGCCGGGGTCTCACGCCCATTTGCGCCGAGAGCCAGCCTTGAAGATCTGTGACGCTGGATCCGTCACGAGCTTAGCTCAGGGCTCTGTTCTGTATTTGTGGTGACAGCGTGGAGGCCTTGGCCTTGCCATGCCTTGCCTCTGCATCTCAGCTGCCCAGGATGCCGCAGCGCTTTGCCGCGAAGGCGCTGCCTTGCGAGGCTCCGTTTTTTGTGGACGTCTGCACTCGCCTGTGGCCTCGGGTCTGACGAGCCACGAGCGCCACGAGCGGGATGCCAGGATATGAGGGGCTGATGCCAGGAGCTTGGCAACTCCCATCAGCCAAGCTGCATTGTGAAAAGCTGAAGGCCATGTCCTCCAGATGCCAAAGCACCGGGGCAAGCACTGCCTCTAGACCTGCGCCTGCTTCCTAGATCCTGTGCCGACCGGCTGTACGCTTTCTATCCAAAAGTCGCGATGCAGTGACTTACCTAGGTGCTGGGGACTGTGTCATACTGCACCCTCATACTGCCCATGCAGCAGCGTGCGGTGCCGAGGGCTGTCAAACAGGGATGAAATGATTTTGCTTATTGCTTCTCTGACCATCCTGGCACACGGACGCAGGCCCAGGTATACGCCCAGTGGTATACGGATCATGGTCCGGACCTTGTGGAGGGACACGAAGAGTCTTTCAAAATCCTGTGCATGCCTGGATGCTTCTGGACAGAGCCAGGTCTACTTTCGGCTGCGAGCAATTCCAGCGATGGCGAGACCGGAACCCGAACATGAAGCGAGCGAATCCTGTCGGCAGGTCCCACCCGCCCGCTCGCTCAATGTGCAACATAATCCTTGATTTGATTTGCGGACAGATGGTTTCTCAAGTGCAATGCCTAAGTAGTAGCTATAGTATGATAGGCCTTACCAGCCTTTGGCAGGTCTTTTTCGATCTGCCTGGAGTGGCTTCTGCTCTCGGCGAGAAGCGGTGGCCAGAGCCCGGGAGAGTTGCTGGTTGGCGAAAGCTGAGGCACTCAGTTCTCCTACTAAGTAACGCGGAAAGCTGGAACCAAGGAAGTTTTTTGAGGATGCCAAAAATGGGAAAGTGTTTGAGCAGGGAAGCGTTGAGGATGCCCAAACTGTTGTGATGATTTGGATGCTGCAGCGTGAGGTCGCAGTTCCTGCGTGCAGCTGAGAGCGACAGCGACATGAGACAAAAAAAAGCTGCATGCCCATGCCTCCGAGACGAGTGAGCCGACCTTCCAGGGCCTTCAGTGAGAGTGGGCAAGTATCCGGCAGGCGCTGTTGCAGCAGCAGGAGCACAACCGAAACTTGGAGGCGCGGAGAGCGGAGAGAGAGATCGAATATTTGTGTCACGAGCCCTGGTACGCTCCAGAGGCCCAAGTCCGGAAGTTGGTTGAGCGGGACATTTCTGCCAGAGTGGTGAACTCGGTTCTGAAGCGAAGAGTGCGCGAGTTCATCCACCACTCGCGCGGGCCCGGACTTAGGTTCAGCCTTCGGACTGTCTCCCCAGTGACAAGTGTTTGCCATCATCCGTGTTCGGCAGGAGGACTCGGGCGGGGCCTGTGGAGCAGCAAGAATCCTGCGCAAAGCTGCTTTGAGGTTCAACTAGCACAGCGCGGCTCCTCACCTAAGCAGCTGACCTGAGTGTCAGATTTTCCTCGTGAGAACTTTTATCTTTCAAATAACTATGGCAAGCATCTGTTTGATGCATTGCCAATTCAGTTTTTCAACTGGAGCCTCCGCTCCGAAGCCATCAACTTGAGTTGTGGCCAAAGATCTGCAGGTTTTGTCATGAAGCTGTAGCTGGCATAGCCAGTGTGACGTGATTGCATAGCGTTGGCCTCGGGCGGCGTCTGTGGTACGCTACAGTAGCTGCTGCTAGTAGCCCTTATCGATTGCCTGATTTGCAGCACAACGACGATCCCCGGATGCCAGCTCGGTTCTGCACGGTCCTCGAGGTTTGCTGCGGAGCAGCCATACCTTGACAACTTGGACATCTCCGGAAGTCTAAAGCGACTTCGCAGCACTGGTATAGATCCGGCATTCTTCGTGGAAAATCAAAGGTGCCAGAATATCTGTGGTCCAAGATGGACAGCGCTGTAATGCCTGGAACAGTCTTTTTGAACAATCGGTTCAAACACTGCAGGATTACAGGACATGTGGCCAGCTGTGGCTACTCTGAGTCTGCTGCCGCAGGTGAAAAAGAAGCTTGCAGGCACTGGTAGCGCGTTTCCATCGTGGTCTTTGGAATCACAGGTTGACATGATCGGAGCATTTGTCGAACAGACTGCCCAGTACTTTGCGCGTGACATATTGCCTACTGCCACCACAGCCACTGCAATCGCCACAGTGCTGCTGACATGAAACAGCCGCTTGAAGCCAGAACCACAACTGGAGTTACCGTGCCCATGGCTGCTCTTGCCATGCCTACTGATCTACTGTTCTTGTTACTGAGCATGTTCTGTTGTTGAATGGTCTTTGCTATGTGCAATGCATCGCCGCGTTCAGTGTTCTTACTGTTTCCCTGTGTTTCTGACACCATCATCACATCACCGCGGAAATCAACGTGATCCGTTTCATCATTGACAGCCTTATCAACACCAACACCATCATCAACAGCATCATCGTCACCGCAACCAGGACGACCACATCCGCTGTTTCTTCTGTGAATGATGGCACCTTGCCATGGGCAGCCGCTCTTCGCAAGAAAGCTCTCCGCAGGATGCCGGAGATCCTGAAAGCAGGCTTTCCGGGTGTAGCAACTGTGCAGCTGTCGCGTGCGTTTGAATGCTCGGAGGCCAGATCCTGCTCCGTCGGCAGAACTCGCAGAGGAAGATCCTTCTGTTCAGGCCTTCCATCGCCGCTTTCGAGCAGACCTGTAAGGGATGCCGAGCTGCTACCCGGCAGGGCCCGATCTCCAACAAGGAGATAGAGAGCGAGCCTTGTTGCGGCCGACTTTGTGGATCTCTCTCCTGCAGCGACCAACTCTTGGATCCGGTCGCGCAGAAACCTTTTGGAACCGATGCTGCATCTCTGCCGCTTCGATTTTCGAAAAAAGAGTTCTCTGTGCTTTGTAGGACCCCCCCACCTAGTCGAACATTTAGATCTGCATTGCTGCCCTCGACCTGAGCCGGGGCCCCCCCTGCTTCTCAGAATGCATAGATTGCCCAAGGGCCCACGTCCATCAAAGCAGAGACAGGCTTCAGGCTGTCGTGGTCAGGCGTGGCTGACAGAGGATGGCAGAGTTGTGTCTGTAGCAGAGTCTCATGTCATCCTTGCTCTTCCTTGCCCAGTCAAGCCGACTGGTTGCTTGCTGTTACCAAACCCTGTTGAAGATCAGCACTCCTTCTACGTTACACCAGGCCCCGCTCACTTGTGCACCGAGGCTTTGCAGTCAAGACGGCTGCTCAGAGAATGCCCGAGAGATTTGCCTGGCTTTGTCTGGGTCGCCAGAACCTCGACAGGCCGGGTTGGGCTTCAAGCCATTATTGCTATGGGCATCTTTATTCTGAGTCGTTCTAGGTCACGGCGCATTTTCTGTATTTGCATGAGTAGATGCAGCCGTAAGGATGAGTGCTGCAACGAAACACAGCAATGCTGCAAGGAGCTTTCCTCAGCAGAGTCCTATGCTTTGGCACTTGAAGACGGACGACTGGACACCAGGGATGGCTACGGTCTGATGCCGGCCAAGTTGTACGTGCCCGTAAACTTTCGGCAGCTTGCGTACGATTGGTCTGCCCCAAGCTCTTCACAGCCTGCTATCTCCGATGCCGAGATGGCAAAGCTGAGAGAGTGTCTCACCATCTTTATTGAAGCCATGCTCCGCGGCGTGATTGTCCAACTACGAATTGACGACAACGAGACGGATCACCAAGGGTGCAACCTTCTGGCAGTCGTCTCCCTGCCCTCATCTTTAGAAGAGCTGCTCATAACCTCTGGAGGTCTGGAACAAAGCATTCGTATGAGTTGCATTCGTTGGGTGCGCCCTCTCGAGAAGGGTCGAAAGACCGGATGCCTGTGGCCGGTAAGCGAGAGGCAGCCGCGCCGTTGACCAAACTGGGTCTCGACTGTCTGCTCCACTTCTCTGCTTCTCTGTTAGTGTTTGGCAGGCGAAAAATGGTGCACATCAGCCTCGACGGAGGGTGCTTTCTGCGTCTTCGCTTCGAGCAGGAGGACGGCAGATTGCGAGTTGCCAGTACAAAGCGCCTCCTGTTGATTTGGTTGAAAAGAAGCTCAACCTGGGCGCAGACACAATGTCTCGTGCATCGACCTGAAACGAATGCTCGCATTTGCTCCATGGCTCCGTGGCCAGGACCAGGCGGCTTTCTTTGGCACTTGCATGAGACTACTTGCGAAGGCTGGGTCTTAGAATCTATCGCTCATCATGGAGGCTCTTTGACCCGGTTAGGCGTCGCAGTCCGACTCCCTGCCGGATTGACGCCTCCGGCGTCAGGAGCCTTTGCCACAGGAAAAGCGACCTGCCGAGCTTGTCCGGTGATGACTTTGCGTAGCGTGCAGCGCAGAATGTGGTTTATTGCATGCGACTTCTCCGGAGGCTCAAGCCGCATACAGCCCCAGCAAACCCAGACCCAGATGTGTGCTGACTCTACCTTTGACAAAGCTAGTCATGCTGTCCTGATACTATCCAGACTGGACGGGTCAATCCCCGACACCAGCAACCGGCATGCACCCATTTGAAAGGACATGGTCCATGGTTGATGCATGCGAGGCTCCAAGAGATCTGTTGAACTCTCCAGCTGCATCTTGTAAAAATGGGGATGCTTTTGGCGCACATCTCAGGACCATGTGCGAAGCTGCAGTCGGGCTCCCCGCCTTTGACGGGGGAATCTGTGCACACCGACGATCTCGTCTTGTCTCAGGTTTGACACGATGATGAGCGGTTCTCCGCCAGCGACTAAGGAGTCCGTTCGTTTGGCAGATCTGATTTCAGCCTCTGGCATCTTGCTGCAATGCCTGCCCGTTTGCTCAGGTGTTGTTTACCCTGCCTCGGCGCCGCTTATCGCATTTGGTCGTCCATATCTGCGGAGATTACGGGATGCCACATGCAGATGGAGTCGTCATGAATGCTCCAGCACAGGTGAGGCAGCCTCAAGCAGGTGGGCTTTGGGAAGCTTGCAAGCGGAAATGACTGCAGTCAGCTTGGTGCTACTCGTACAGTCCTACAGCTTCCGGTTGGCTTTGCCAGGAAGCCGCGTTGTTTTGAATGTCGGTGGACATCGCTTCACGACAGCTCGGAGCCAAAAGAGTCAAGAGAGCTCTGCTAGCTCTGTTTCTGCGCTTCGTTTTCTTGAGCCCACCGGCATCAGGCACGGTCGACCCTGACAACCGGCAGAGCTGCCGGTTCGGTGCTGGCCGACCTCGTGTCCGGACCGTGTGACCAGGACCCCAAGGGCACCGAACCGAACAGCTCCAGGCTTGCAGGCAGCTCGGTAGGCACAGTAAGTTGCTTCTGTTCTAGATTCCAGTTCCACGGCAGCGGGAGGAGTAGGAGTAGGCATCAGCACAAGCTAGAATACACCACGCAATAGCAAACACAACGATTCTTGACAGAAAAGTTGCGGTTGATATATGGTGCCTTTTGACGGGCAGGACGGCTCTTACTTCCTTGACCATGATGGGACGCAGTTCCACTTCGTGCTTCTAGAAGCGCTTTAACCTTGTGATGCTTCTTGCTTCTTGCTTCTTTCTGTGGGTTTCCTGTGTCTTTGAGTCGATCGGATTTCTGCCAATGCAGGTACTGAATTTTCTTCGCCATGGACCAGAGCTTTTCGTAGCTCCAGAGAGACTTGCCCTCTCTTGGTAGTCATGAGCAACTCCACTTTGCCTGCTCGTCTGTCCTGCTGCAAAGGACTTCGGTGGCACTTCTCAATCTACAGCTTGAGGCACCAGCAAAGTCTTGCAGAGAGCCTTGAACGACTTGCTGGGCTTGTGCTTTCAACCTGAAGGCTTCTCCTGTCTGGCGGGATGAGTTTAGCGGGAGAATAGTGGAAGTGTCCACATCATCGAGGTACTGGACACGACAGCGTATGCCAACGGGTAAGATCCGGAGTTGAAACATCGAAGGTGCTTCGCGAAAACAAAATCATTGCGGCTGTTTTGCTCAGCATGCTTGACATGCAAAGATCTTGAATGGCCGTGACCGTTCTGTTTTAAGGCCCCCGCATGCCCCACGCCTGTGACAATTTGTGCCAGCCGCGCTAGTACCGGCATTTGTCCGCGATGCGAGGATGTTTTCCTGGGTGGTGGTACGGATAGCATGCTGAGTTCATCAGCTTCGAGATTACAAGCACCCTCGACTTGGAGGGAAGGGCACGCTTTAAACAGCGCCAGACGTGAACGTATATGCAGTAAGGTTTGCACCAAGGTTTTAAGATGGGAGAAGAGCAATATTACAACCATAGGCAGTATGAGCCCTGGGAGAGATCCGGGTTCCGAGAACCGAATCCAACGAAGATCTCGATCGTAGTTTTTATATCTCTGGCCAGGCCAAGGCTTTTGGCCTTGCTGACTTGGTGGAGCTGCTCGAGAGCAAGAAGCCCCTTGCGAGCACGGGCCTTAGATGTTACCAGCACAGCCTTTGGAGTGCGGCCGCGATAACAGCTGCAGCAGAACAAGGCAGAGGCAATGTCAACGGTGACAGTAGCACCAAAACGCTTTCAACAGCTTTGATTACACTGCTGCTGCTCCGGCGACAACAGCACCAACAGCAACAACATGCTACTACTACTACTACTACTACTACTACTACTACTACTACTGCTACTGCTACTAATTACTACTACCACTACCACTACTACTACTACTACTACTACTACTACTACTACTACTACTACTACTACTACTACTACTACTACTATTACTACGACTACTACTATTACTACGACTACTACTACTACTACTACCACCACTACTACTACTACTACTACTACTACTACTACTACTACTTCTACTACTACTACTACTACTACTACTACTACTACTACTACTACTACTACTACTACTACTACTACTACTACTGCGACTGCTGCTCACACTTCTGCTGCGACTGCCACTGCCACCATTGCCACACACAACACCGCCACTTCTACCGCTACCGGTACCCCTACCACTTCCGCCACCACGTCTAATACCAAAACAACACCAACTACTGCCACTGCCAATGCTACTGCTCCTCCTGCTGCTGCTGCTACATCTACTGCTTCTACTACTTCTACTTCTTCTACGTCTTCTACTTCTACTGCTACTTCTACTGCTACTACTACTGCTACTACTGCCGCTACCACAACCACCACCACGACCACCACTACCACCACTACTACTACTACTACTACTACTACTACCACTACTACTACTACTACTACTACTACTACTACTACTACTACTACTACTACTACTACTACTAATACTACTACTACTACTACTACTACTACTACTACTACTACTACTACTACTACTACTACTACTATTACTACGGCCACCGCCGCCACCACCACCACCGCCACCACCGCCACCACCGCCACCACCGTCACCACCGCCACCACCGCCACCACCGCCACCACCGCCACCACCGCCACCACCGCCACCACCGCCACCACCGCCACCACCGCCACCGCCACCACCACCACCACCACCACCACCACCACCACCACCACCACCACCACCACCACCGCCTCTACAATGACCACGACGACCAGTACTGACTTCTACGACGATGCGATGCCGACAACCACCACCACCACATTTGGAGTCTAATTTTGCTTCTACTATGAGCGTGACCCGCTATTGCTTATGCACATGGCAACAGCGATAGCACAGACATTGGAGGAAGAGCGACAATAGTATCACTGCTGAACATGTAGAGGATAAACTCGGACTCATGCCCGCGTCGTGCGGGTGCCTCCGACGTTGAGACGTGTTCTTGTGCTCTGTGGGTTGCCATGCCTTCACGACACCAAGGAGCTCAGCAAGGTCACACGGGTGCGTACCTAAATGCCAGGATCCGAGCTGGAATTGGCCTGAGTTTAAGCAGCTGCTTTGTTTTTGGAACTGTAAGTCTTGCTGCTGCAAGGCCGAGGATTACCTGGGTGCTCCTCATCCAGCGAACGAGGCGCACGGATGGTGCTGGGCTGTCCTGTGGCATGCGAATTGCGAGCCGTGTGGACGGCCTGGGCCGCACACAAGATGGCAAGTAGGACTTCGAGCATACCAGTGTTGCCACCCAGTCTGGCAGGTCGAAAGAATGGCAAAGTTGAGGTCTTTGAACGTCATCGACACAGTGAATGAAGCCCCGCACTTGGTGGTACTTGAGTTGAGCAAGCCTGAGCAGACTCTCTGGCACAGGGAACTCTTTGAGCAACATTGCCTCTGTTCTGCATAGGACACTGAGTACGACAACATCACTCGAGCGGTAGCTTCGATTCTCAAGGCGCCTTCATGTGCTGACAGCTGCCCGGGCTGCCTTCGCATGTCTCATGGCTTCCTGCTTCAGTGCTTCCTCATGCCAGCTTCAACAAAAGCAGACAGGCAGGACTTGATACTTTCCCGGCCCGCAACACTTGCCAAAGCAACAGCCGCAACGACCCGCCCCTGTCTGCTGCATGCATGGCTTGTGTTTGAAGCTTAAAGTAAATGCGGCATCCAATGGCGAAGAAAACTACGGAAGCCTTGCCTCCGGAGGACTCGTTTGAAGACTTCTCCGTGCCATGCAGGTGCCCATCTGCTTAGTCTCGCTGGTTGCCGAAGACAAGCAGTGGTTCCGAGCCTCAGAACTCCTTCAGCCTCACAAAAATGGCTGGTGTTTTCGATGGTTTAGCAATCTTCAGGTTCAAGTCCAAGTGTGGGTTGGACGCAGACGAGACAGCCAGGCCGAGCACATATGCTGGTACCGTCCATGAGTCACAGTGGATGGATCAGCTTGGAGCTGCGACCACGTATAGCCAGTCCTTTGAAAGCTGGGAGGGACGGGGTAATTAGTTGTTTCTCGACTGGAAGCAGAAGAAATGAAGTTCATGGTGCATCTTGCCTCAGTCAGTGCCGTCCCAGTCACATGAAGTGGGCTTTTCACAGCATTCAACCCGTCTATAGCTTCCAGATACTTCCAGAACAGAAGCCATCTTCGACTCTTTGCCAGATATATAGCCCATGACGCGGCTTGGTGAATATGCATACAGAGGAACACAAGGAGCGAAGGCAGAACCACGGGTAGAGAGACGCTTGAGGAGGTGGACATCTGCAGGAGGGTGAGGGATGCATCTGCCTAGTCTCGCACAGGGTTGGTGTGCGGGAAAAAAACCGGGTCTGCATTTCTGTATGTGTGTATCTTCTTCGTTGGCTTTGCGGTTCATGTCAGGTCCAGCAGCTTTTGTGCCTACACCTTATTCCCTGAGGCAGTGGAGGCGCTTACAGTTGGGATGAGCAGCTCACGTCAACGGAGTGCGGCAGTTCGGAAGAACTTGCTGCTGAGCTCTCGTCTCAAGCCCTGTCCAGGATGCCAGGATGCTAGTCGTGACAGACGCCAGACACGATATTCGCTTCATGAAGACACCTGGATGCAGTTGCGACCAACCGCATGCACCAAGCTTCTCTCGCATTTTGCTTTCAGCTTCGCTCTTTATTGGCAGCCCGGTTCTTGATTCTTGTCGATGGAGCTTGCTACTTCCCAGTCTCTGTCTTCTACCCTACAACAGATCTAGATTCTAGACCTCATGGCATGTGGGAAAACTCCTGGAGGCAAAGGCTAAGCCCGACGCATCCCTGCAAGCGCTGAAAAGCCCTAAGCCCCAACAGCAGACCGTAAGTGATTCTCAAGGCCAAGCCTTTCGGACTCTGACTCCGTGCAAACCACGAAAACTGAAGCACAGTAATCCTAGAAGTCTCGGGAGCCTTACAGCACTCGCAAACGTGCAGAAGCCGTCGAAGAAGACGAAGCCTGAACGCCGCTACGGAAAGGAATGCCATACTCCCGAAAAGAGTAGCCTCAACGAACTACAAACTGGAAACACTGCTAAATACTACCTGATAGTCAGAATCATTCGAGGCACGATTCAAAAGGCATGGAGTGGGATAAATGAAGTGTCTGTGGGCTGGGTCGCAATCGCTGCGTGGCCGCGATGATTAATCCCGCAGAGGAATAGGTCTCTGCTGCCATCGAATATTATTGGCATGTCCTCGAAGAAATGACGCCAACTACGACTGTTTGGGGAGAATCTACCCGTTGACTGCGGAGCTCGGGGTAGGTTGCATGCTCCCAGTCCGAGTGGTGTTTGTGGTTTGGAATCGCATGCAGTGCCGAGGAATCCGCTGGCCTGTGACTCAACACGCCAGAAGTCAGGAGGGGTTTGATGCTTGTCTTCTCAGTTGGGCAGCTCTGCTCGCAGCCCAGGTCCTTGGCGAGCCGTATATCCAGTTTTATGCAGGCGTCGACTCTACGGATGCGAGACTGGAGCATCCGGACTGTTGCAGAAAGGTTGTAATTGGTGCAACTTCGACAGGCTGCCCCTTGGTGACCTCCGAAGGATTGCGCCCTCAACCCGGTTGCTCTTCTGGCTTTGCAGTCTCATAAGTTTCATGCCGACCAGGTCTTGGGTCTTTGTGCGCCATCGACAGAATTCCAAGAGCCGGCAGCTCAAGCTTGCACAACCGCACTCAGCTGCAGACACAAGTTGGTCAGCATCGTGTTGCTCACCGTCCCGACTTACTGCATTCCTGGGCCTTCCCAAGCGTGTTTGGCCAGGACATTCGACCAGGGGAGGCTGGACACTGCTGATGCACCACTTACAGTGCTCTTTGGTGAGCTTGTGCTGCGTGTTCCTCAGGTGGGCCTTCTCGTCAACTTCGCACATTTGGTCGTGCAGGCCGCTCATGCAACGACCCTGCGGACAGCTTGCATGAACAAACGGACTACTGATGTGTTTGTTTACATGGTGACAGAAGCACAAATGTTCAGCTGCTGACACGACATGATGTACCCTTTGCACGGGTACATTTTTGACCTCGTGCGAGGCATTAGAGGACAACCATCTGGAGAAGCTCCATCAAGAGCTTCGGGGTGAGGACTCGGATGAGGCGAGCAGCCCGGCGGTCACACATCGTGTTCCCATGTTGGCGATCCTGCATCCAGGAACCTAAGGAGGAGGAAGTGCACTGGTATGGAGGTGCCATCCTCAGCTTTTCTGGCTTACGCAGCGATTCATCCTTGGAATTGAAGCATGGGCGTTGACATGCTTTTCGTGCTGTTAGATGCTAGAGGACATTGTGAAGATAGCCTTCCCAACAACCTGCCAAGAACACCTACACGCCCCGTGGGGCCGCAGGGCCGACTTTTGTTTCTTTGCATACTCAATTGATTGCCTTCTGTAGCATGGCCTGGTTGGTTTGGGTCTAGAAGGATCTATTCTTGAGGCACCACGATTGCTACGTAGCCTTAAGCTTAAGCTGTGCTTCTCTGCGAGAGCCAGCTGCTCAGCTTCTTTGGCTTAAGTGTTGTCGAGTGCTGCCTGCAGTCGGTTGTTGAGGCTCTGTTGTTGCTCGGCTGTGGCCTTAGCTCTTGTTCTCTCGAGTGGCCCTCAGGGTTGCTTTTCGGAGTGTGGCCATGGCTGGCACAGCTGCTCCTCTGATTCAGCAGCATGCTGCGGATGGGGGGCTTGCATCCTGCCTGGGCATAGCTCGGGTTAAAGCTGAGCTGGTTACCTTCATGAAGGATGCTTTGAAGATGGAGTCGCTTCAGGATTTCTTTTTTTACGTTGCCAAGGACTCCTGGGAAGCCGAGCTGGACACCAAGGTCTTGAAGCTGGCTGTGGAGGCCAATGTGATAACCGAGACTATGAAGCCGATTCAGCTTTCGCGGGTTCGCATGGCGTGGCAGTCGGCCGCAAAGCTTCAGGACGTGATGGCGGCCCAGTCTTCGGGTTCCAGTTCTGTGGACGATCCTTTGCCAGAGACGGCGCGGCAGATGCTTGACCAACGCTGGAAGAAGCGCTGCCCCGACTTTGTTCTGGACCCTGCGCTTATGGGGGCCTCTGCGATCATTCATCGGTTGTACCGGGAGTGGGTCCAGGGTCAGCCTGCTACGGTCATTGACCTTCAGAAGATGAGGACGGCCCTTGCCGAGCGCTTTCAAGGAGATAAGCTTCAGATCGCCTTAGGGGACGCAACGCTCACGGTCACAGACTATGCATCTACTGGGTCTCGAGTCCATTTTCGCAGCGCTCCTCACTTTTACCTTTTGCACAGGACCTTGACTAACTGCTGGGCCTATGTGGGTAGTGGGGACGTCGAGTCCAAGAATCGCCCTGGCACTCAGGTTATCCAGATGTCGTTTCACAAGCTCTTGGTTACTCAGATACCATTTTACGCAAAGCAGTGGATGTGCCGGAGAATTCTCAATTGTCGTGGCTTGCTCGAAATGACTCATTGACGAGGTCTCGCATGGCTGCTCACATGATGCAGGGGTGGCCGCCAGGGGAAGCCCTGGAGCGTGCCATGTCGGAGACAGTGGAGTGGGCCATGCTTCCAGCCCCGGGGACTGCTGAGGTTCGCGGGCCTTCGCATTCGCCCCTGGATGCACTGGGCCGCGAGCCCAGCGTGAAACGCGCAGCCGATCAAGGTCAGCAGCCCGAGGAGAGCGACAGGCCTCCCAAGAAGCCGCAGGGAGTTCCGCCGCCACCCAAGGAGGGCAGAGCCAGGCAGCAGACGGTCACCACGCTCAAGGGCAACAAGGTTTTGTGCAAGGCTTGGAATGACGATCGGCGCTGCCAGAGGGCCAAAGCAGGCGAGCAATGCCCCGATAGGTGGCACTTGTGCGATCGCAAGTTGGCTTCGGGGCGAGGCTGCGGCGGCAAGCATCGTCGTGATCAGTGCACCCAGGTTTGACGGTCAGGCCCCGATGGCGATCGGGGCACCACTTCAGCGACTTCGGTGCCTACTCATCATGATGTCGTGACACCGGGTGCTCAGACGGTGGAAGCTGTCAGGTCGTCGCCTCGACGAGTCATCCAACTTGGGGGCTCTGTTGAAAAAGGCGTGCAGCTTTCCTGCTTCCAGTATTGCAGCCCCTCTGAGGTTCATGCTAGGCTTGAGGCAGCTAAGCCTATTGCCTGGCGGGGTCGAGGTGAGTTGCCATCCTTTCCTTGGTCAGCTTTGGGTACCTGGCTAATCATTGATCTGTGGAGTGGTATTGCCGGGCTTCTCTTTGCGTGCTTGTCGCTTGGACTTCGTGTGTATGCTGTCGCTGTGGAACAGGAGCCCATGTCGGCGGAAAGGACAGCCAGGAGCTTCCCGAACGTGATCTCGCTGCAGTTTGTCCAGGAGTTTCGGGGGTCGATGATTCAAGGTTTTCTCAAGCGTCGCTCTGTGGAGGGAGTGACAGTTGGAGGTGGTAGCCCGTGTCAGGGCAACTCCAGCCTGAATCGCCACAGACGAGGTTTGGGGGATTCCCCGTCGCATCAACCTGAGGAACTCGTGCGCATCTACAACGAGATCACATCCTTGCCCGAGGCGCGAGGGATCAAAGTTCGGTTGCTGTTGGAGAACGTGGCAAGCAGTCCTCGTGCAGTCGTCCAGCATTACCGTCGTTTGTTGGATACGAAACCGCTGCATACTAGAGCCTCCCAGTTTGGCTGGGTTCAACGAGATCGGCTGTTTTGGTTGGGTCTATCTCTGAGACCGACAGGGGTTGGTCCCTTAACGTGGAGCTTACCAAGCCAATGCCACCCAGTGTTCATCTGGAGAGAGGTTTTGGATTGCACATCGATCCCAAGGCCAACATGCTGGCTGCTTGGTTACCTCGCCTCTTTACTTTCACCACAGAGTTCGATCATCCGTTGGATTCCGATACCCAGGCTTCCGCTCAGGCTGTTGCTCGGTTTAAGGAGGACTCCAGACGCTTCCCAGTTGAGGCGTACGAGGACGTGTCGTTGGCTTGGAGGCAGGGGGAATGGCGCACTTTCACGCCATCGGAGCGTGCTATGGTCCATGGCATCCCGCCCGACGCGGTGGGGACCAGTACACTTCACCACCTGCCGCAGGAGCAGCGCACTAGGGTGCGCAATTCCTGGATCGGCAACGGCTTTCACATTCCTTGCATGACGCTCGTGCTTTTCATTCTTGTCTCGCAGGCCTCCGCGATCTCTCCGCCCATGCAGTGTGTCTTTGAACAGCACCTGCGGGACTCTATACCAGGTTCTCCTTTCGATGAGTCTATGTTGCAGGCATTTCCGGGGCAGCGCACAGTGGAACAGGTAATCACAGACGTTCAGGCCATTCTGTCGGAATTCTCGTGTTGCGCAGAAGCCCCCTGGCATAGCGTTCGAAAACGGTTGCGAGGTCACGCCGTTCATTGTCTGTTTTCCTTCAAGCTTTTCCTTTGGCATCGCGGGCTTAATGAGGACACTGAGGGTCCCGCCTGGGTGGGACAGCGAAACAGAGCTCTTCTTCAAGCTGCTGTTGGACGTCAGCGTGCAGCAGGGGATTCGAAACGAGGGCACGATCATCTCCTTCCCCCAGGCCTTAGCAAGCACGACCACATGGCGGCGGCATGCGGTCTTAGGTCCTAGGTCTCCTTTTTCTGTCGATGATGCCGTGGACCCCGACCTCGATTTCGCCGCTTGGGCATTGGGAGTGTGGGGTCCTTTTCTGCCCAGGTGGCAGGAATCCGTGCGAAAGTGCTTGCACAGATTGGTTAAAGCCTTTCAGCCAGTTGAGGAGTTCCTTTTGAGCGCCTCGCCGGTTTGTGGTTTGTCTACCAGGTCTCCCTTGGTGTTGGCAGTGTTCACGGTGCTCCTTGATTGGCCCGACACTACTCAGCCATTGCGCTATCTCACGGGGTTCAAGGCTGTTGGGGCCATCGAGCCTACCGGGGTTTTCCGAGACATTCCACACACAGAGGCTGTGTCGCAGGACGATTTTCTAGGTGAGGCGGCACAAAGCTTCATCCATGAGTTGACGCACCAAACTCCATCGCCCATTTGGAGTCTCACGAAGGAGGAGTGCGCTAAAGGCTGGTGTTCGGGTCCCTTTTCGGTGTCTCAGCTTGACCGCCAGTTCGCACAGGGGAGGTGGCGGCCGGTTCCCAGGTTTCTCATTACTCAGGCCAGTGGGAAACAACGCCTCATTGACGATGCGAAGAAGGGCTCCCACAATGCAGCCACCGACATGGAGGAGACAGTTTACACCATCGGCATCGACAGCTTGCCCGTGTACTTGCGGCGTTTGGCACAGGTGGTCACCCATTTTTGGGGGCACCTGCCAGACTGGTTTCTGCCCACAGCATGCATCGTGGACCTTCCCGAGGCTTTTCGTGGATGCCCTGTGGAGCCGCAGCAGCGTGGATTCACGGTGGCGGCCACCTTTGATCCAGAACTCAGGCGCTGGTGCTTCTGGGTTTACACGGGCCTTTTGTACGGCCTGGCCTCCGCGGTCCTGTCCTTCAACAGGCTCCCGACGCTACTGGTGGCCGCAGCTCGGAGGCTTCTGGCTTGCGGCTGTGGTGCGTACTTTGACGACCTCTTCGACGCCTCAGTGCGGTACATCGCCACCGCTAGCCAGCAGGCACTTCTGCACATTTTGTCCTTGGCAGGAGCGCCTCCTGCCCCGGACAAGACGCAACCTCATAGGTCCAACTTCGGTTACTTGGGGGCTGCGTTTGACTTCTCCTCTGTGAAGGAAGATGGTGTCATCACTTGCGGTCCCACCTCAGCTTCCCTGCAGAAACTGCAAGACGCAGTTGCCGCGGCCGAGGAAACAGGTCAACTTTCACCTGCGCAAGCCTCCAAACTTCGGGGCCAGGCAGGGTGGACAGGAAGTTTGCTGCACGGCAAGTGCGGTCGCTTGGCCCTCAGGTTCCTAAAACAGCGCCAGTATTCTAAGGAACAAGACCGCAGTTTGTCACCAAGTCAGTTGCGGGAGTTGCAGCTTTTAGTGGCAATTTCGAGGGAGGCTCCTGTCAAGTTTGTCAACATCCTTGAACCACCACGCCGTCCCGTGGTGGTGTATTCAGATGCAAGCTTTGAGAAGGGAGTCGCAAAGTGTGGATGGGTGGTCTTTTGCCCGGACCTTCAACCGGTAGGGCAGGCTTTGACAGTACCTCCCGAGTGGATAGCTGGTTGGGAGCCTCGCGACACCCAGATTTTCGCAGCGGAAGCCTTTTGCGCTCTCCTTGTTCCTTTCAATCTTCCCCATCTTTTCAGGGGCCGAGACATCATTTGGTTCATAGACAATGAGGCAGCAGTGGCAGCAGTCATCCGAGGAAGCAGCGGTTCTTCCGATGTTGATGCTATCGTCCAGATGTCCTCCTTCTTCGTCTTCATGCTAGACTCTGGGTAGAGTGGATCAATTCCGATTCGAATTGCTCTGATGGCTTGTCTAGAGAAGGCATCGAAGATGAGTGGACTAAAGCTCAAGGTTGGGATCTCTCCGTGGCTCATCTCCCCAGTCCAGCCATTCACGAAACATTGGGAACTTTGGGACTCGGTTTCGATTGTCATTTTCGTGTCGCATAAGATATGCTCACGAGAGGCATCGATTTGATCCAATGTACACCTTAGGTGTGGCGTTGTGAACTCGAGTTTCGTGCCCCGCCTTTGCAGAGAAAAGAGAGCCGTCTTGCATCTGTGTGTGCCGTAAAGAATAGATATGCATGCATGTATGTATGTATGTATATATATATATATACACACATATATTTCGTTAATTATTTGTTTACACAATAAATGAGAATAGTATATATTCACATATATACATATATATGTATATGTTTATACATATATATAGACTTAGTGTTACACATATATATATATATGTGTATATCTGCATTGCTTATGTATATGTATATGTATATATATATGTATATATGTGTACATACATCTATATATGTTCATATATGGTTTTTGAATTCAGGCTCCAGAGGTTTATCGAAATTTGTGGACACCGTGGAACATGTTGGTTTCACCGACATATTGAACAGCTAGAAGTCTGGATATGAATCTCTGCTTGAAGACACTACTGTGAGAGAAACAGCTCATTGATTGTCTTCTGTGTACAAAACTGTACTTTCTGTTTTTGTCCTGATTGAAAACTAGAGATAGACTTCGTTTACTCATCTTGCGTTAGTTTGCCGAGGGGGTATTAGTCGTTGTGCAGTCGTTTTTTGATATTCGTTGTATGGCTTGAACTGGTGCTTACAATGAAGAGCCATTGGTCAACAGAAGAGCAGTAATCCACACCAGAATTCTGACATTCATGATGGTTGAACGGTCATCAGTTGGTAGATGCAATTTACGAAAATCGTTTATTTTGCAAAGATGACAAATCCTAGTTCAACCAATAAAAATGAACATGACCTACAGGATGCACACATCTAAGCTGAACTACGCCCAGAGTAAACATGTAACAGTCAACTGCTCCAAAATTCAGAAAATTCGCAACATCGGAATACCGAAGCCATACAACATAGAGTGTAATACCGCGCCGGTCCCAAAGTTCGTCACGCTCTATGTTGTTCACTTGCAACAAACCTGTCCAAGACCCCGTGGCCCCGTAGACTCCTCCACCAGTCCTCCACGCGGAACAACGATAGTGCTATAATTTCATAGCGGGACGGTTCCGCTGGCCCACGGCTACGGTCTTCCTCAGTCCCTGTACTTGGCGTACTCGGTTTAGTGCCTCTAGCGGATGCCGCGGAGCCTTGCTACCGGGCATGCTCATGGAAAGGAGTTCTTGACTGCAAACGTCGGTGTAAGAGACCCTCATGCACGTGCGTATGTAGACGCACATGCACACCCTTGTACATGTCTGCTGTAATTACATCTCAGCAGGCTATAGCGGAACACAATGGGTTGGAAAATAATAGATGAGACTAGAATTCAACAGCACCTAACTTTGTGAAATGCAATGTGCAACTTGGTCACGTGCTCAGGCAAGCTCCGGACCGAGGCTATGCTTGACGCCGGACTCCGAGTTTGGGCTTAAAAGCGGTGGCCAGAAATGCTCTTCAGTCGTTCTCAGTCTATGAAGCTCACTTGGTTGCAAAGTGATTCATGTGGAGTTTCATGTCGGGCAGCTACTCTGTAGAGCAAGGGCCGAACGGGTCAAAGGCAGACGCAAGAGATATTACGGAACGACGTCTGCGACCGAGTCAAAGTAGCTGAAACGTCACGCGACGCCAGGGGTGTCATCGTGGCAAGGCTGCGGATCCTGCAGGAATCACCGGGGAAATTCATGTGATTAAGCAGGCAAGCATCTCTGTCCATTCTTCAGTGCCATCCAAGAGGCACTCCGTAGCCACGGGTAGTGGTGATCAGGATTTGTCCGTGCAATGCTGCAGAGAAGCTGAAAGAGTAAACGAGCTCATTACGAGTGTACCGGGCCACCTGGTCGAGTGCACGCGCCAACGCGCCACCGTTGGGAAGAAGATGCCGGCAGAAGCGTCGGACAAGGCAGGAAGAAGTGCTGGCACGAACAAAGTTCGAACACCACTCAGGAGAGCTTACAAAAAGTGGTTTACATTTTCAGGTGTGAAAGGGTTTTGTGTAGGTATCGCATCCGCGTGGCTTGCATTTGCATTTACTGAACGCCCCTATGCGAGATACACTGCAGGCAAGAAGAACCGGCTCGCTTGTCTGATGCCATAGCTACCGTGACAAGCGAGCCCAGCAGGATTCCTCATTGGCCCGTTGGCTGTTTTATACTCTAGGAGACTATACTGATAATCAGGAACCCCTAAAATAGCAGCGGTATTTTATTGAGGCCCCTGTGGTAGATGTTTGCGAAGAATCGAAGATGGACCGAGATGTGTTCTGCTGGCTTCCCCAGGCTCGTCCAGCTGCGGTCGTGCTGGTTTGGGCGCGGCCGGACTCGATGGAATGGACCTTGTTCTTTGCAAACAAGGCCCCGCTTCATCGACCGAAACTAAGAAAGACTCAAAAGGAATTATCACTTTGCCTGCCTACTGTAGAGACCTTGAATCGTGGACAGGTGTTCACGGGGCTGACAGGTGTCGAGGCTGCGCTTGCAGATACTTCGCAGTTTTCGTGGTCAATCTCCCACGTTTTGCAGGTGATCGCACCGTACAAGTTCCCCGGGGAACCACAAGTGAAGGCGCGGCAGACGGCAACGACTGCGCACATGCGGGATGTTGCAGCAAGAGCCGGTCGCATTTCATCCCTTGCGTGCAGGTATGTGGGAAGATGAGTACCCAGGCATCCTTTTGGGACCACATCCGACTCGTCTCTCGCGAACCTACACAGGTGGCGACCTCGAATGGCCATAGTCACGCAAACTAAAACCCAAACTTTCCGTCTGTAACCATCCTTGGGCAACGGTTTTGACCAAGCAAGGCCCGACAGTCAATTGGAGCCATGGTTCCCTGAAATCAAGTAAGAGTAACGTTTAGACCAGCAGAAACTTTGCAAGGTAATGGAGCTCTGGAAAACGGTGGCTGTCGCGATGACAGGCGTGGCCTGTAGCGTTGCGCCTCATGGCATCGTGCGTCGATGCCAGGCAGGCAGCTGGATACCAAGCCGGGAGGGTTTGCTGCACGTGCGACTGTGCAGGGCTCAGCTGCCATATCAACGTGTCGTCAGAAGCAATCGGAGTCGTGTCCTTCTGCCAAGGTCAAGCAGTCGCCACGACAGCAAGAAGGTGCGCAAACCCGAAAAGTAGAACGTCCGTGCAGCTTGCAAATCCTTGTGGTGCAGCCTCTCCGGGCAGGAAAGATCTTCCTGAATTGCCGCTTCACCCCAGCAGAGGTGCCGATCAGCGTCTTGTGCTCAGTAATGACTGAATGCCCTCAGGTGCGGGATGACTCTGCATAGTTGACAATGCTTCCCAGGAGTCTGCAGCCGCCGTCAAGAACCCTGGGTCAGAGTCTCAAGATTTGAAGATGATTTTTGCAAAGAGTCATGAGTCTAGGTCGTTGTCAATGAAATATGCATGTACACACAACTATATGCATGGGTGCATATGCGTGGTGCACCCCTGCCCGTATCCAGGTGAGATGTAAGTGTTCTTGCATAGTGGTTGGTAGGAACTTGCGTGCGTGCGCGCGTGGCTGGGTGAGTGGTACTGCGGGACAGACCCCAAGCCAAAGCTCGTGACAGCAAGAAGAAGGAATGGGGGCCGGGGCATGAGATTAGAGACCACGTCCAACGAAGCCTCCTGATCTCTGGGAAAGCAGGGCTTGGCCGGCTCTGTGTACCTGCACCAATTCTCCGTCCGGCGTTCGGTCGATTGCAAGTGAAGGCTTGCTGCTTTGCAATGGTTCTTGAGTTTTCAGTTACGTATGGATGTGTATACTTTTTGTGGCTGGCTCGGGTTTCTCAGGCCTCGTAGCAGCAGATAGCACCACTGACAGTAATCATTTAAGGTAACTCGGTAGTGCAGTTTTTCAACCCCGTAAAGTATGCAAGCATCGCCATTCACGTATCCTCGTCGCCTACATCAATATCAACCAGATGATCGTCCCATTTATTGCTTCTCTTACAAGGCCACAGCAGTCAAAGGGCTTGGGTGGGTGGGTGTGTTCGTGTTCTGGTCGTTTGTTGCAGCAACCCTATTCACAAGGCTGGAGAGTCTTGCGGGCCAGTTGAGTGATTTTTGTTGTCTTATGTCTTATGTTGACTCTTATTGTGCCTATACAGAGCTCTTTTAAAGCTCGCAGAAAGGGCGCACCCGGGTGGTTTCTGCCGGCAAGAGGGTAAGCACCAGTGGCTCAGCAGATGGGGGGGGGCTTCACTGACAACCCCAAAGCGTCGGGAGGAGTGCAACGGTGCTGTATACAGAAAGCTTGGGACTCGTCGGTGGGCTTTCGCTTCTTCTCGTAAGAGCTGCTTGAAGGCTGCGTTCGACGGAGAAGTGGCCCAGACCCAGAGGCCAAGGGCAAAGTACATCCCTGGCCTTGTCGGGTTACTCTGAATGTAGGGTTTAAGGTTATACCAGGATTCAGGGTCAACGCAGCTCAGAAGCGATGGGCAGGTTAGTGTGCGTCGTTCCTCGCGGCATTCAGCCTCTCAGACTGGGGCTTTCCAGCTTCGTCGCTTGCTTTCACGTTTGCTCGCCAGGCTGGCCAGGCGAGGGTCACTGGTTCTTCATCCAAATGATACCGGAGCTGATGGCAAATGGTTCTTGCCTCAAAGCTTCAAGTCTGCAGCGCACATGTGACCTGACGGGTGTCTGCAACACAAGGTTCGATGTCTCGACAGCCTAGCCTCCCACAAGAGGCTGAGGCAGGCAGCCTGAGGTCAATAAATGTTCGTGTTGCGCAGAGCTGCGCAGGCCACGAAGCCCCAGACAGCACCAACGTTGTCAGTGGTGTCCTCAACAGGTGCGTCGAGCGTGTGAGCACTCCTCGGCTGAACCCAGCAAGACCGCTAAGCACAGTTGTATGAGCTAACTTTTATACGATCGTGAGAAGGGCGTGAGTTTGAGAAGACTGTTCAGCTTGGCAGGAGTCACCGAAAGCCGTCAACTTGATGGAGGCAGGATGCAGACTGGCATGGCGCTTCGGGAGCCATGAGTTTGAGAGGCGCAAGCGTCGGCACAAGACCGTGTATGCCTTAGCCGGAGCTGATGCTGGCAGTTGTTACATTGTTGCTCCGCTGAGACTTTCCCAAGGCCCACTTCGCCTTTTCAAGATGTCCGCTTGGTTCGGCTCCGAGTATCTGCAAGTAACAGCAGACCTTCTGCAAGATCGCATTCTCTTCACTTTAGTGCTGTTGAGGTGCGGCTGGTAGGACAAGGGTCCTTTGGTGCCGTCACCTTCTGAGAAGTGTTGTCTCACGATGCCGCCAGGAGCGATTCCGTGCAACTGCTTTCATGCCGTGCCCAGGTGTACTTTTCGCTCTGGAGCGGTGCAGCTGTCGCAGTCTTGTTCCCAGCAGCGAGGCATTGAGCCACGCTCGTGTGCATTTTCAGCCAGAACACAAGGAATTCTGCTCAAAACACGAAGAGGAGTAGCGCCATGAGACACGCACCGCACGCCGGAAGGGATTGAACTGTCTCAGTCTTACTTAGGTCACTGCTTGCATTTTGCAGCTCTGCTGTGTGTTTCAGCAGCTAATTTTCGGCTCTTGCTGAGATGATCCCTTTCAAGTTGCGTCAGCTTTCTGGCTGTTCAAGATGTCCTGTGCGTTTGGATGGATTTCTTTTGCTGAGGTGAAAATCATCAAGACGGTTATACCGGCTGGCAAAGATCTGGCGGAAGTCGACAAGAACCCACACTACGAGGAGTGGTCCAAAGCAGTTGTCACACCGATCTCAGGTAGGGGTATTATGAAGACTTCCGGAATCCGGACTTGGCTTGAAAGGCGTCCCTATCTGTGTCCATCTCGCATCCAAATCTGGTTGCCGCCTCGGGTCGCTGATTCTTTGCGCATGGATAATCCCTCAAAGACGCAAGTTAGTGTCTGGTCTGCGGTCAGCCAACGATATCTTGAGCCGCAACATCGTTCAGTGCCCAAGTCATCAAATCTAGACCCCTTCACATGTTGTTTGTTTCATTTTGTGCCCCTGTCTGCCTTTGCTACTTACTGCGCCATCCAAACGGAGGGTGCGGGCCAACGAAAGCTTGAACATTTCATGGACATCATAGCAGTGCTTAGTCTAAGCTCCTTTCATGGGTTTCATGGCAGTTGGACTAACATAATGGGGAAAAATGTTTTTTCCCTGAAGATGTTAATCCTCTGAGGTTCAGACCTTCAAGCACGGAGGCAGAGTAAGCTCCTTGAGTACAAATGGCGGAGCTGAGGCCAGAGGGAAGCGCAAAAGAAGAGTGGCACCATAATACAAACACTAACTCTATTTAGTATGAATACCCTAAAGCATATATGTATACATATGTATATACATATACACATCTATATATATATATATATATATTTATGTGTATGCATATATATATATACGTATGTCCATATATATATATATATATATATATATATATATGTTTGTGTATATGTATACATACACCTATACATATATTGGTAGTTGTATTTGTAGCAGTACGTATTTGGACGATCTGTCGCGTCTGCGCAGCTCGTTCAGGCAAAGGACCTCGGCAATGTCCAGGAAACTTGGATCGTCCAGGACCTTTGCCTTGCACCACGTTCTTACAGGCACATACGACATGGAATACTAAGACATCAGAGCCGTTTAGGGTTTAGGGACCTGTGAGAAGGTCATATTTCCAAAATAAGCTAGGATGACAGTCGCAATCAAAAGTCGGGCATGTCCTGAAAATACCTTCTGCAATAAAGTGATATGTCAACTCGACATTGCAAGCAGACATGACCATCGCACATCTGCTTTGTAAGTACTCAGAACATTGATCTTTCTCTGGTGTGGGAGCGGATGCTCGAGGCATTGCTGTAGGCATACAGTGCGATGATCGAAGCGAGAGTTGCGTCTTGTCTTATGCCGCAGTCTGCAAGTGTGCGTACGCGAGATATTGCTGAAAGGACCACTGTAGTAGTTGCCGACTCCTCAGGAATCACGAGGGCTCTTGCCAACAAAGCCTGGGCCGTTAGACGGATGTTTCGAGTTTTCTCGCTCGTAAGCATCTCATGAAAGGTGTGATGAAGATAATGTGGTTTTGACAGCATGGGAAAGCAAGATCTGTCTCAGCATGCCAGTACCTCCTGCCGCCACAGTCTTTGTTGTGTGAGTTCAAGATACCCGTGGGTGCTTTGCAGTGGAAGCACATTTTATCGTTTTACATCCTGTCTCTTTCAGCACAGAGGGTCGGCAGACATACCGTCGGGGATTGAGCTTACGTGCAGTTTCAATCAGTTTTGCTAGAAGACCTGGCAACAGAAGAACTCTCATGCGCAGGAGTGGTGTGACGGTGGTACTTTGAGCGCGAGCCCTCAGTCCTTTGCAGCCGATTTTGTTGACGTAACATAGCAACGTAGTGCACTGCCAGGGGCCGCTTGCCAAAACCCAAGGCTTGAAGATGAGGCTTCCGCGTCCCATGCCCTCACCAGAGAATCTCCACATGTTCACGGATCATGACCCCTGAGTCCTTGCAGTTCTGGATCTTGAGAGCTCTGACCGCCAGGGCTTGCTAGAAGCTTTGGAGATTTGTATGGAGATCTCACGAGTGCGGGGCCCAAACTTCCAAGTTGCCCGCGTCTCACCACCAACGTTTTCAGCTCACCTAAACAGGAGTGAGGGTGTGCTGCTGGTTGGCGGATAGCGTGCGTGTGTGCGCATCATACCAGATGCAAGGCTGGGCAGTACCTGCATGACATCGGCATCATTCACGGGGATCTGAGCGGCAACAATGTCCTGCTCAAGACCAAACCTCAGTACCAGGGCGGACCAGATCTTGATGTGCAAAGCAATCAGGCAAACCTGAGATTCAGGGCATTGTCTCAGGGACGGGTCCATGCCCAGTGGTAGACTTGCTCGCTGAGGTCCATGCCTGTTCCCAAGGGATACGTTTGCAAGGCGCTTTCGTGTCGCACTCGAGTGGCGGGTTCTCCAGCCTTGCATCGCTGTCGTGCATGCCTAGATGCCTCGTCATGCTTTGTTCAACCTTAGCTGGCTTTAGGCTTTAACTCTGACAGCTCCATTGTCGCCACTGAATTCGAAAGGTTTGTGATTTCGGCCTCGCCCGGGTTCTGGATGGCGAGTCCAAGGCGGCTTTAGGGTTTAGGGTAACTCGCCGGAGCCACTTTCCATCACGAAGAAGGGGAGTACTCAGGGAGTTGAATGGCTTACCGGAGATGCACTCTATAGTATCATCCGACCAGCTGATCTCGCGCCGAGATGCCGCGGAAGCATCTGGACTTTTCAGATCAGCAGAATCCGTATCAACCTCTGCCATCTTTGTGGGGCAGGAAATCATCACCAAGACCTTGGGGACCGTGACCCACATGCCGCCGAAGCCTCAGGGCCCAAGAAGGTGCAAGAATCTCATGGTGAGACGATGCGCCTGTTCGCCGGATAAGCTTTCATTTAACCAGCAATTTGTGAGACATTGATCTTTAAAGTGCTGGCATTGCTTCTCCTACCATTCGCTACTGCTGCTCCTCCTCCCTGCTCACTACGACCACTACTCCCTGTGCTACTCCAACTTCGCCTACTATTCACTCCTTATCGTGCTGCGACTACGACGACGACTACGACTACGCCTTTGCCGGCTAGCTACTTCCTGGCTAACGCGCCTTTTTCACAGGCGGCGAGCTCAGGGCGAGCGTTGGGTGCTAGTAGCTGGTGCAGCATTTTAGTAGAAAGTAGATTCAGAACCCCTCCTTAAGCACTTCTTTTTCAGATTGCCTTGAAGCAGCTGCTTCATAGTTGCTTCTGATATTGGGGCCAAGGACAACTGTTCTTCAAAGTGCCGCATATGTTGCAGAAGGGGGAGTCGTACTGTTGCTCGCAAAATTTTTGGGCAGGGCAAGATAGGCCCGGATAGGCTAGGGGCAGATGTAGGACGATGCACTGAATTAACAGGGTATGCATTTTTCTCAGGTTTCCCGCGAAAAAGAATTGAGAACACAAGCAAGAACAAGCAACCCGCACAAAGCAAATAACTGGCTACTTACTACCCTGACAGATATGACGACAACTTCCGCTGCTGCCACTGCTAGGGGTTCCTCTATTGATGCCATCCTCTACTGCCAGGCTACGGTTGCGAGTGCCCAAGAACTAGTGCTTGCTCTTTACAGGGATCTTCCTGCAGGAGAGTTGCTGTTGTTTTTTTTGCTTGATTCTGCTCACTGCCATCCTGTGCCTGTTTGTTGAATGTCGTGATTTGTTCCTCCACTTCGTGCTGTTTTGAACAGGCTATGGCTGCTGCTCGGCCCGACGGCTACCATGCATGCATGTGTCCATGCATGCATGTACACATGTACTATCATGTACTTGCTGTGCAGATGCATAAGCGTGCAAAAGTTAAATTTGCACACAATGTGTGTGTGTGTGTGTATGTATAAATATATGCAACTATAGTGTATGTAAAAATACTATGTAGATACAGTGGCCATCACCTAAATACATGCATACACACCTGTATGCGTGAATGCATGCGTGCTTGCTTGCGTACATGCATGCACACGTACATGCATGCATGCATGATGCATGCATGCATACATTCATGCAAACACACACACAGAGACGTACATATGTACATGCATACATACATACATACAATCATTCATAGATACATACAGTTACATACATACACAGATAGATAGATAGATACATGGTAGTTGATCTAAAGCTCCTTGTGGTATAATTTATATGAGCGGCCAACTGCATAGCTAAATATGCCTTCGCGAAAGTTCCGCGATGGTGCGGCGAAAGTTACTTTAATTTTTGCGAAAGTTATGTGTTGACCTACTGTTATTGCTACTACTACTGCTACTACTACTACTACTACTACTACTACTACTTCTGTGTAACACAGTATCGAAGACGAGTTTCCGGTTCATGCTGTGTGCAGTTCCTTGCAGCACTGTCGATGCTAAGTGTAAGCAGCGACAAACCCAAAGAATAGGTTCGTGTGGAGGATTTAGCGCGTAAGTTCCGCGCAAGTCCCGCGTAAGTTGCGTTAAAGTCGAAGTCGCCAGATCAAGGCCACCCCCCAATGGACATTGTTGGTGCCTTTCGCGAATGGCTGGCGAAAGGGGCACCCCGTTCAGGTGAACATTAGGGCGAGGCAAGAAGCGGTCCAAGGATCCATTTAAGCGCAACCTCGCAGCAAGCCTTAAAAAGAACACTCCAAGGAACGCCGAACAGAACCCTCACAGGAATCAGGTGTCTAGCTTGCAAAGGTATGTAAGTATGCCTCCGCGAAAGTTGCGCGACGGTGGCGCGAAAGTTACTTTTTTATCCGTGAAGAAGGTCATTCCGGGACGAAGCAATTTAGATCAACAACCACATGCATACAAACTCCACGAAGGAAGCCTAGCAATCTGTGCATCAATTCGAATCGTTCGCTCGTTCGTTCGATCGCAGTCTATCGTGCATGCACTCGCTCACTCGCACATACACAGACAGAGAGACAGACAGACAGACCCGCTAGATACAGAAAAAGATAGTTATGCACACATGCACAGACATCGAGGACATCCACAAATCTAATCTCATGCGTGTATGTACGTATGTATGTAGGCAGGAAGGCAGGAAGGCAGACAGGGAGGGACGGGAGGTAGGTAGGCAGTTAGGTACGTTTGTGTACATGTGTAGGTCTTTATATGTACGTGCAAAAGTATGGGCATGCATGTTGTTCCGAGCCAGGCCTGAGCTGCTGAGCCTCTCAGAGAAGTGTTCGTCTGCAGCCAAGAGTGGCGTTCGGACTGCCTGCGCTTTTGCCCAGTGACTGTGCATGTCTTGGCCACCTCCCAGTCACCAGATACTGATCCGCAGTCGCTGCCCTGATATGCTGCAGTGCAAGGAAGAGCAAGAGTGACAGGGTCGTGCTGACAGTGCTGGGCATTTGGGGGTTGTCAGGTCAGGACATGTTTGGCTGCGGCGCTGCCATGCGAAGCCGTAGAAGCGTGACGCCTGCGGAATCACCCAGTATTTGGCAAGATGCGCCACGCTGCCGAGAAGCCTGCTCGAAAGCGGTTTGCTGCGACGGCTACCACAACGGGGGCAGAACAAGAGAGAACAAGACTGTCGAGAGTCGGTAGCACCTGTCTCTCGTGAGCAGTGGAATTGGGGAACGTGACTGCTTCTTTGCGCCTGAGTCTGAGGCTGACACAGAAGGCAGATGTCTATGCGCTTGGCATCATCTCTTATCAAGTCTACACTGGTCAGGACCCGCCCCTGGAACGCGAGGGTCAGTCGGAGGAAATCGCATAAGCACTGCTCTTGAAGAGGTAAACTAGGAGACTGGGTGAGCCGTGTTTGCACCCTGTTTACTAAGTACAAAGAGGAGTTCAGGAGTTCATGCTGGCCTCCTGGCCGAGCACCGTGGCTCAGGAGCCCTTCGCTGGATTGTCAGCGCCGCAGGTGGCCGATGCCTCGGACGTCTTCTGTCGACTGTCGTGGGGTTGCTGTGGCTCGGGGTTCGTACAAAAAGTCGGCTCCGCTTTTAGATGCCTGTGTTGCTGTGTTGCCCAGAGCTTGTCAGGGAAGGGAGCATTCCGAAAGCTCTGCGGACACCCTGAACCCCAGACCCCCGCAACCGCAAACCCGGAAAGCCCTGAAGGTTATTCAAGTCGCTCGGGGCAAGCGGCCGCAGCTTCCAAAAGAAGCCGAAGCCTCGGATGCAGCCGCGATGTAAGTCCATGTCTACAGCAGGTTTCATAATCTATCTATCCATGCATGCATACAGACAGGCATATGTATATATATATATATATATATATATATGTAGACACGTACATGTGCATACAGGCGGGGTCGGACAGGGCGGGGGGCCTGGACGGCGGATGAAAACACGAACACGAGCATGACTATCTATCTATCTATCTATCTATGCATGCATGCATGCAGACAGACAGACAGACAGACAGACAGACAGATATAAATATACATATATATATATATATAAACATATACGGATATATGAATATATACACACACATACATATGGTCACCCCCAAGTCCCACACCCCGGAAAAATATCTCAACACTATGTACGCATCCGTGCATACATACACGTAAGGGTTACGTTTTACAGACATGCGTTGCGCGCAGCAGCCCCTTCTGTCCACCTCTATCGGGAAGGTTTGTTGAGTGAGTGCTTCGTTCCGAACTTTCGGGCGAGGCTCCTGAAAGCCTGGTCAAGATCTTCCAGGAAACGCTGGCCTCGAATCCTGATGCCCGGTCCACAGCATGTCTGAAGACACAAGCGATTGATGCCCCCAGGTTCTTGTGTGAATGTTGGTTCCGTCAGGAGAGACCAACCTTCGGCGTGCTTGTGGACAGGCTGACGCAGCTCTACAGCGATCTGGGTATGAGCCCTACTGAATGTCTGAGGGATGCTTGTAAGCCGGAAGGTGAAACAACTTGTGCACACAGGTGGTGCCGAGACGGGTCTTGACGTTCTTGATACGTGCCCCGGCTTTATGCGCAACTTTCTGGTCCATGAACCCAAATTTGTGCAAAGGCGGTAGCTTTTCGAAGTGGGCCAGCCAGGGGGTTTTAATAGTTTGGTGCAGCTTGTCAGTCACCATGTCGGGTCAGCGGCCCCAATACCAAGACCTGCTCGTTGTGCTTTGGGAGACTCGAGGCATGCCTATCGGAAAAGTGAGACCTACCCGCAAACTATGCCAAGAAAGGCAAGCGAAATAGCATGACCCTTCGGTGAATTGCCCCTGTACAACTGGCCGTCGCTGCCAAGCAGCACTGGCCTGTGGATGCGGGTGTTAAATTTTGCTCAAGGTCTTGCTTGGTATTTAAGCATGTATTTAGCTGGAGACGTCTTGGGCTTCTGCAGCCCTATGGTGGCTGCGGCAACTAGTATTAAATATTAATTTCCAAGATGCCACCACGACCGCGAAGTGTAAATCAGCTCGCTGCCAGGATAGATTCATCCATCTTTCCTGCAACTGACTGTAGGCCTTGCTTTGGAGTTCTTCACTCAGTTTGGCGGTGATTTCGTGCGGGCGGGGTTACGGGTGTCACTGCCAGAAGCTCGACGCCATTGTGTGAAGACCCTGGATCGTCTAGCGAGTCTAATTAATGTCTTGCCCAACCTGCTGAGGCTCAAGTTGCCGTTCGCAACGAGAGATACATCCTGTTGAATAATTATGCGTGAGAGAAGCACCCCAGACTACCCCGCAACTCATCCGAACTGGGGGGGTGTGCTTGGAGAATCTGGAGCCGGAGGCAGGGAGATGCTGCCCTGGGATCTCGGTCCCTGACCTTGGAGAGGGCGCCTGTTTCTTTGTGTTTCGCCTTTCTGCGCAGGCGGCGGGCATGTGCCAAAATGTGCAAAAAAAGAGCGCGACGCATTGGCTTGTACTTCCAGGCCAAGGCACGGCTTGAGTCGGAGGTGAGGGGGCCGTTATCAGCGTTTGATCCTTTGCCCTCCATGCCCGACTGTTCTCCGGTGGTGAAGTATATGTCATTTGTTGGAATCCCATAGAAAGCTGAATACCCTACCTCTTTCTTCTTCGAGCAGCCTTCTGAAGACCTGAGCTTGTCTACATGGCTGAACTTCAGTGCCTGGAGCGCGTGACAGCACTGTCTTGGAATCTCCAGCACTGATCGCCCAAGAAGCCCTGACCGGGCAGGTGGGGGCAAAACAGAAGTCCGAAGTGCCCCTGCGGAGGATGCTCCTGCAGCCGACCACTCAGACCATTTCGCTTTCGCATGCGTTGTGAGCATACTCTGTTGTTGTGACAGTTGAAGCAGCTGTGTGCGACAGCCCCTCGCACAGGTTGGGACATTGCCGGACTGCTTGCTGAGAGTCCAGGTTGGGGACCCAATTGCTCCGGCAGAAGCTGGCTCCGCGATAGACACCGGCAAAGGGGAAATTTCAGTGCTTGACCGTTGACGTGTGGTGCGGAGGTCCCTCATCCAACAACGGGCGGCTGGTGCCGTGCGCCAGTGAGTTTTCGAGAATTTAAGTGCTCACCTTTTCGAAGCTTGGTAGCATTCTGTTCCAAACGCTTGCTCGGTTCTGTGTTTGCCCCTGCCTGTTCTGCCTGTTCTTCTTATTAGAGAGCTTGCTTTGTTTTCGTCTGTCACAACTGCATGGTTCCGGGGTTGCTTTCAAGCAGCCGCGGTTTGGACATGGCGTAGAGGTATCTCGCCTGAAGATCTACAAAGACTTCAAGCCTATTCTTTTCTGAAGGACATGCAGAGTGCAACTAGAAAGCCATTCGTTCAGACATGGAGCTGTCCCCATTTCGGCTGTCCATGTCGTACATGTCCTGACCCACACCCCGCCTGACAGCTGCACTTTCCAAGCTCTCCTTGTCATTTCCGGCGTGGTTCTCGCTGGAAGGACGCCTGGGTCTTGGTTGACGGCGAATCCGCCCGCAGAGTGGGCTTTTGGAAGGTTCGTTTTCTGACAAACAGGCGCCTTTCCTTGCTTGTCTTCACTTCGAGCTAACCAGGACAGCAGTGAAGACGAGGATTCACCGGAGGCACGTGAGCGCGAATGAGGAAATTTTCTGTGTGCTGCGCCGGCTTAACAAAAAAGGCTCTGCGAGTCGCTCTGGCAGGTAGAGTTCGATTCCAGCATCTTTCCTTGCTGGACCTGGGAAGAGGCAGGGGAAGCAGCGCAAGCTGTGTGCCTCGCTCTTGCGTGCAAATTCTGGGTGATAGTGATAGAGAAGGTACACGCAAGCAAAGTAAGCAGTAGGCATTTTTGGCTTGTGGAGCTCCATACCACCTCGCAAGAGAAGGCTGAGAGCCGGTGCCTGCTGCCCTTGGAGGAGGGTGACCCTTCAGAGGCGTCGCTGCCTTTTTGCTTTGGCTGGGCGAAGAGGGTTCCTGTTACATGAAGGCATGGCAGGAGAGATTGCAGAGCCTCGTTGCCAGAGTTTCGGATGAGGCAGGCTGGGGGAAGATGAGTCATCGTGCGACTCGGTCATGGTCAGGCATTGATCCACTTGCTCCAATACGGCTACGCAATCGTGGACCGTCAGAAGTTTCTGCTGTGCCTCCCTTTGGAAAAAGGAAGAGCTGGTGGGAACCTGCGTCTGCTTGCGCAGGACAATGCACTTCCAAGCGAGCTTTGCGCTGTCGACTCAGTCCTGCTGGTTGGAAGCCTTGGTAGCGGAGGGCGGGCAAATCGAGGCAACATTGCGGCATGAGCTAGACACCTTGCTTGAGCTTAACGCTTAGAGCCAAGAGGGCCTGCATGCTTCTGTCTTTTCATTGCCCAACTAGCTGATGAAGGGTTTGGTCCCGAGGCAAGGTCAAATGTGGGACAGTCAGTCCTACTCGCTGAGCGAAGGTGCTGTGCATCACAACATAAGTGTCACGACCTGAGCAAATAGATTCCACGCAAGACCCATGCAATGGCACTGAAGCAGAGAAAATCGCGCAGGAAACAACTCTGGATTTTCTCGAAGCTTGTGGCTCAGCTATTGCTTCCTCAAGCACCTGGGAACGGCGAATGACAAGCCGACGAGCTCATGGCACCTGTAGTTGCTGACATTTGTGAAGCTAGAGTGCCGAAGAAGTCGCATTGGCCAGTGCAGTCGCCTACAGCTCGGTACGCCTGCCGAGGCCCGCACACATGCCCCAACATTTGCGGAGATCGAGAAAGACCAGGCGAATGAAGACAGCGTTGTTCAGTGTCTACCTTCTTTCGCATCCTGCTTGTCAGCGTAGATTGCCGTTGTGTGCTTCATCCCATTTGACTCTTTGACTGGCATACTTGCTCCCTTCCCAACAACACTATTCCCAACCTCCCAGGCCTCCGAAGTCTCCGCCCTTCAAACGCGTGGAAAACCAGGGTTTGCTTCGCATACTACGGCGACTGCCGGCTTTGAAAGGCTCGGGCCTTGGGCTTTCCGAGCACCGGCGAAGTGTCTCCGGAGCTCCGCGTGCTCCTTTCAGGCCTCTCCATGCAGCACCTGAGGCTGCAGGTCAACAGAGGCCCGATGAGCCTCTGTTGCCTTCGAAAGAGCCTCAACAACCAACTTGTTCCGAGGCAACGGAGGCTGCTATACCATGCACACAGATTCTGGTGTCTCTGAGCCAGCTGATGGCGCAGTGCAAGCGGCCTGCCAAGCAGTGCAACGTTCCTGTCATGTTTGCACTGCTGTGGCAGCAACACTTGGAAGTGGTGTGGTTGTTCCCGGGTGTACGCTGTAGCGAATGCAGCAGCAGTACGGCTAAGCCAGCAGCCAGTCGTGTGCTATTTTTTCTGGAGACCCCACTGGAGTTTGAGGTGTTGCGAGCGACTGCGCTTTTCTACTTGAACGAAGGCCAGACTCAAGAGCTGGTGTGGTTCAGCGTGTTTAACCGAATGCACTTGGGCAGAACACAGAGAACACTGGAGGCTGGCAGGAGGAGCACGGTGGCGAGTTGCGACTCTATCCTTACCCGCTGCCTCCGGTGAGGCTCTCCTCGTGCATGTTTCGGCATTCAAGAACACTGAGACATGCACGGTTGAAAGCAGCCTTGCAATTGCAGGATTGCTCCGCTGAGCGGTCGACTTGTGTTGTTCGAGCGCGGAGCTTGGTGCTTCCTTGTTAAGATGTGCCGATACATATCCTCACCCATCGGTTAGTTCGGACGGGCAGCTGATAAGATATTCAGGCCGCGCATGGTCCACGAGGCCGTCACTCTGAAACATTGGTTCGCTGGTTTCCTCATAACTGGCATAGAGGGCCGCCAGGAGCACGAGCCTGCTGGATGCTCTTGCTTTCCACGAAGGTTCTTCCGAACTTCCACATGAGGTACTGCTTCACGCTTTGGCGCCAAGCCGAGAGAGCGGCTGCACATGAGTGCGTGACCCTCCTTTGGGGCTGTCGGGTAGGTGTGCAACCTCAATGACATCCACTGCGGCGAGTAGGCGCCGAACTCAATTTGCCTGGATGCATCTTTGCGAGTGTCAGGGAGTGTTTCCACATGTCGGCCATAAGCAGAGCTGGCCGCGCTACATGCCCCTCAAGACGAACATAGATCATTTGCCTGTCCACCGGAATGGGGAATCGGGTCGGTCCCTCTTTCTCTGTCTCTCTCGCTCGCTCTCTGCAGTACCTTTCTGAACGTTGAGACGATGACAGACTTCGAAGCTGCAAGCAGTGCTTGCATTGCATTTCGGAGGCCGGGCCTGCACTGGCACGTTCCGAGCCCCCCCAAAGCGATGCGGTCTGAGGTCTGCAGGCACGCTGGCTCCGCAGCTGGAGTCTGTGCCGAGCCCTTTGCGCAGCTTGTTCTTTTCTGAGGCCGGCGAGCTGCAACATTGAGACTTAACCTAGGTCCTGGGTAGGAGCTAGGAGTGCGAGGCTCCAACCAGTGCTTGAAGAAAGTGTTCAGATGCTACTTGCTGCATAATTTGGGCTGTAGCTCAGTTTTCAAGTTTAGCCATCGCGAAACTGATCGTGACGACCTGGAGTGAGTGACACTCTCTGGAAGTCTGATTCACCGCCTTCTTGGGTCTTCGATGTGCATCCGCCATGTTCTAACGGTGCATGGACAAACCGGCGGTCATCACAGGAGTGGCCAAGAGGGGCAAACTCTGAAGGACTTGGATGATGTCCTGAAAGAAACCTAGCCACGGCTCTGGGTGTCTCTTCATTCACATGGGGTTGTGGCCTCTGGTGATCTCAGGAGGAAGCTGTCCTCTAGGCAGTGTGTGACAGTGAAACGTGCATGAATGATCGGGCTC